GTTTTGAATGAACAGCATGTTAAAATTGATGAATGCGTTTTTGGGGTCGACCGCTGGATAGAATGGACTTGGTCTGCGGACGGGTTGAGATATGTTGACCAAACCACACATCATAAAATGAAAAAAAAACGACTACGTTTCGGTCCGTCCTGCCATTACCAAGTCGTGTCCAGGACGGACCGCGAAACGTCGTCGTCGTTTCTTTTCTGATGTGTTGTTTGATCCTTAGTAACATAATGGATTCACGAACTACCTAATGTTCAATTTTGTTGTGTAATTAGTTTAAGAAGCTAATACCCATCCTGTGGGCAGGGAAAGGGTTTTCTCGAATCCATTGTTGATGTGACGACTTATATTGAATTTTGTAACTAGCTCATCAAGGTTGTAACTTGCCTAGCTAAATGAATTGTGGGGTTCAGTCCCTGAGCCCATTATGTGGCTCTGTAACCCTTTCCACCACCGCCCACAAGATGGGTATGGGGTGCAAACTAAAAAACTTAAGTTATTTTCATGAAAATATTCTGAGGCCGCTTGTGGGCAATCCAAGGTTTCAGTCATAACACGAAATATTAAGAAACGGCAAGACGAAATAAAGCATCGTGAACACAAATAAAGAAGGAAAACTAAAGAAAATTGAATACACAAGATGTCGTGACGAGTTCTTGGCATCTCAGCACAGGAAAGTTGATAAGGAAAACATGTACCAAAGGAGCCGGTCGGCCGAGCAGACAGCACGCTGGACTTGTGATCATGTGGTCCTGGGTTCGATCCCAGGCGCCGGCGAGAAACAATGGACAGAGTTTCTTTCACCCTATGCCCCTGTTACCTAGCAGCAAATAGGTACCTGGGTGTTAGTCAGCTGTCACGGGCTGCTTCCTGGGGGTGGAGGCCTGGTCGAAGACCGGGCCGCGGGGACACTAAAAAGCCCCGAAATCATCTCAAGATAACCTCAAGAAGGAGATGAATAATGAAACATGGTTAAGAGGTAGCAGGAGCAATAACCCTTTAACCCCCCAGTCTAACCGCCCAGACCAACAGACGCGCCACACCACAGAAAACCCTCCACAACCTCTCCCACATTACTTGTAAAGGAGGAAATGTATATGTTTATCTCTCAGAATGTTCGGTAAATGCGTTTATTGCTTGTGATGTGTGTCTATGTATGTATTAACACGATGTACTGAACTGGGTGAGAATAGCTTGAGCTACCTCATCCCTTTGTGTGTATTTTACCTCAATAAACTTATTTCACTTTCAAACCCTCCCTCGCAGACAACCGTCCCACCAATGCACCGAGCAGTTCTTTTACAATCCAAGTTACGTACTGACCTAACCGATGTAAATCAAATTATAGTACTACCCAGAGAATTTATCAAGAGCTAAATTATAAAAAAACATTATTGTATAAGAGTGCATTTCGACTTGTATCCATGATAGATACTTCGTCTGAAGAGAAGCTCCACTCTGGCCCCGCGCTCCCTTCCTGTGACGTCACGGTAGATGGAATAGTGATGCCACACTCACCGTAAATTTATTTGTACTCACCTTATTTGTACACTTTAATTTCATATTTGCGGAAGAGAATAAAAGTGTCAATATACACATGTAAATGGAGGACAGTAACTCTTTCACTGACATGCAAGTACAATTTTTTTTTTTAAATTTTGCAAAAATCAAGTAAGAAAATGCTTCATCGTGACTTTTGTGTAAAAGAGACTGCCTCCTCCATCACTCACGATGCATTAACAGGCGGCGTCCCCTGCACCGTCGCCCTGCTCGAGGACACACAGCAACTACACTATCACTGTACAAGCTCATCAAGACTGTAACTTGCTTAGCTAAATGAACTGTGGGGTTCAGTCCCTGAGCCCATTATGTGCATCTGTAACCCTTTCCAATACCTAGTAGTGTAGATGAAAGGTAGGAAATCTACTAGGTAGATTTCCTACCTAGTAGGAAATGTAGACGTTTATCTCTCAGAATGTTTGGTAATATGTTTATTGTTTGTGATGTGTTTATATGTATGTATTAACACGATGTACTGAACGGGGTGAGAATAGCTTGAGCTACCTCATCCCTTTGTGTGTATTTTACCTCAATAAGCTTATTTCAATTTCAATTTCAATTCCACTACCGCCCACAAGATGGGTATGGGGTGCATAATAAATGAACTAAACTCTCTGTAATGGTTCCAAAGCGGCGACCATCCAAATCCCGGATGGTCCCGGTAGTACAGTCGGCTTCGTGCTCGAGACACACTCGAGAATTCCGATTGTGTAGGACATAAATGGTTGGGCACGTTTCCTTTCCACCTAATGTCTCTGTTCAACTAGCAGTGAGTTGGTCCTGAGGAGTTAGTCAGCTTGTTGCGGAGTTGCATCCTGGGCGGAGTCAGTAATTCGACCTTGAGAGGGGGGGGAGAGTGCGTAATAAGTCTACCGTGTATGCATACCCTCTGGCTTCCTGTCCCCGGACACAATGAATTGTTATTATTATAAATACAATAACAGTATCAACGGACACTTACGCCATCGCTTCTCTCAACTTCTTCCTCCGTGCCATGCCGTGCTTAACCCGCCAGCGGTTAATACTATTCTTCAGTCTTGCTCTAGGCATGACTTTTAAAGTCACTAAATGCCGTAGTCCTTCAAATTTTAATCAGAATAGTGACACAACCCGCCCCAACTGTGACTGAAGGGAACTGACGCGCCGGCTTGGGTTGTTTGGTATAAATACTCAGGCTCAGCATATCTAAGCTACGGGCCGCTAGCTGCCAGGCGGCGCTACGCACACAACTCTGTACAACTATACTTTCCTCTATATTTACATTTATTTTATATATGTCGTTAATAGCGTCACTCTAAGGAGGACTATGTTTGTAATTTGTGTTAAGCAACGGCAGGGGAAGTATTATAATTAATAGCCGGTATTGGGCATTGTGCATCAGGTACACAGAGAGCCACATAGTGCAGGTTTGATAACTTTAGCTGTTTACTAACGAACAAGTTATGTTAAAATAAAAATGTAGTAATAAAGACACGTTGTTTATGCATTATTTCTGCAAGTGTAACTCTTAAACCACTTCATTACCTGAGCATATTGTGAGAATTGGGGACAAAACGAGGATGTGGCACCTGAGCGTGATCAATATGACGCGGGGGCTGTGTAGTGACGATACTGACGCCTGAGCACCTCCCTAAGACTACCTAATACTGACTACAGGCACGGCTTGGTTTTCGTGTTGGTGTTGGACTTACAATTGGGGCTCAGTCCCTGAGCCCATTATGTGCCTCTGTAACCCTTTCCACTACCGCCCACAAGATGGGTATGGGGGTACATAATAAATGAACTAAACTGTTGGACTTAATTCATGTCAACCTCTGGAGGGTTATTAAGGCCACCACAAAAGTTTATTGGAAAAATCAGCAGGTATACCTTATAGCGTATATTATTATGTTATTGTTATAATAATAATTATAATTATAATAATAATTTATTCACGAAAAGGTACAATGGGTTGGTGAGATTATATAAGGTTCGTATTTGTACATTTTTGCAAAGCCACTAACAAGCATAGCATTTCGGGCAGGTCCTTAATCTAACATTTCAGGTAAGATGAAAAGGTACATTGTAGCAAGGTTGTATATTAACAAATAACTACAATATAATTTGACAGGTAATTACAGTGGTGAAGATATGTCTTAAGCACTAATATTGGGGAAGTGGGCAGTACAAGATACAGTGTGAGTCTGAAGCACAAGGTAGGAAACTATGAGGATGAAATTAGGGACGTTTTGGTTTTACATTAGAATATGGCATTAGTTGGACCATTTTTTAATTCTTCAGAGAGAAAGTTTCAAAGCCTGGGCCCTTTTTATTGGCATGGAGTGTTTGCACAGATTAAGTTTGATGGGAATATCAAAGATATATTTAGTTCCGGTGTGGTGCTCATGGGTTCAGGGAAACACCTATCAAGGAAAAGTTTCAGATTAAGATTAGCATTCAGGAACAGATTAAGATTAGGATACAAATATATCTGGCAATACGGTGTTGATGTCAGTGAAAAAGATAAGGAGTGTAAATTATGTAGTATGCCGCACGCCCACACCTTAGAACATTATGTATTAGAGTGTCAACTTATTGATAACTACAGAAATAAGGAAATAAGTAGTGTACCACATCAAATTGTTTGGATGTGTAATAGTGGTATGATAGACAGTATACTTAGGAGCTACAAGAATTTTGCCCCAAGAGTGTAACAATTATATGCTGTGCTTACTATATTAACCTACAATGTTAAATGGGATTCTTGTAATGTTAATTGTCTATTTGTACTTACTGAATTTGTGCGCCCCTTGAGGGACTTGAAGTAGAGGGGTAGAAATAGCCTAAGCCACTCTATCTCTTTGTGATGTATTTCTTTCTTGTCTCAATAAACATACTTGAACTTGAACTTACCTAGCACAGGAGCGGGGCTTAATGTGGTATGAAATTCGTGTTATAAATTCCCAGTTTTTTTTTCTTGCTGGGGATAGGAAGGCTGTTAGAATTAACCAGAATTTCATAGTCCAAATATTAACCTATTCCAGGATGCATCCCATAACAGTTGTCTAACTCCAAGCACCTTTTTACTGCTAGGTGAATAGGTGTATCATGCAAGTGGCAGAACATAGACTATTGTCCTAACACGTGAAATGAACCTGAGACTTATCTGCTATGACCCGTCTGCGCACACACTCTTTTTGCTTAGAAAGATAATTATTTTCAGTTTAACGGAATACTGTCTGTGGAACAAATTATAACATTTGCAGCAGAAAATTATAAAAAATATGTACTACATATGTCAATGTTGTCGTGACACTGTGTGGAATAGTCACTACGAGAACAGGTCGAAATTCAGCGAAGTATCTACTTAAAATATTACCATTTTTTATGAAACTATAAAGACTATCAAAGAAAACGAAACTATAGATAATGCGACACTAAAGGAATACGTTTAACGTAGGTAGCAGATGCTTTATTCATTGAACACAGTTCCACACACAACAATTTTAAATTTACATGGACAACTAAAATATAAATTTGGAATACGGGCAGCAAACTCGTCAGAGAATATCTATATAACATGTAATACAGAGGCTAAAATTAGTCCAGATAACCCAACAGCTCTTTAGACTTTAGGCATTGTATGTACTAGCTCTATCTATAAATCCATCAACGTTTTGTATCTCACCTTGTATGTATGTACTTTACCTGAATAAATATTTGATTTGATTTGAACATTTACATATCAATGTTTAGCAGAGATTAAGAAAATAATTAAGAGATAGAGCAATTCAGAAAATGTTCAGTGGTAATAATACAGCACCTGGAACATCAGCATGACTCAACCCACTATAAACCACTTATTTTCGTGAAAGGGGACAATAGGAGAACATAATTACACTTTCACCGCGTCAGGCTTGGATACCCATGTGCGTGGGAAATAAGCTTACTGGTTCTAGAAGAACAGAGAGAAATGTCAGCATCGTCAAGAAATGCCCGACAGACAACTGGAACATCATCTAACATTGTGCATACAACCTCCACTGTAACCATTTAAGCAAATATATACTGATAATTATATTGTGTGTTCACACTGTTCCTTCTGTCACGATACCTAAAAGAGTTTAGATACTTTCAGTCTCTCATCAAAGGTTCTGGCATATATTGAAATTGAAATTGAAATAAGTTTATTGAGGTAAAATACACACAATGGGATGAGGTAGCTCAAGCTATTCTCACCCCGTTCAGTACATCGTGTTAATACATACATAGATACACATCACAAACAATAAACATATTACCGAACATTCTGAGAGATAAACATATACATTTCCTCCTTTACACTTGGGTTATAAACCAATGGACCCGCGTACCCGCCTGTCCTCGGGATCAATGGGGGGGTGGGGGACCTTTGAGAAGCCGCCGGCTTTCCGTCCCCGTCGAGGTAACGAAGGAGATAGTGGCCCTCCAGGTAAATTTAGGTCAATTATTCTTAAACAGCACCTGGTTGATGGGGTTCTGGGAGTTCTTCTACTCCCCAAGCTCGGCCCGAGGCCAGGCTCGACTTGTGAGAGTTTGGTCCACCAGCACATATGTAGGACTGACAGAACATTTAGGATGCATAATTTTAAGTGTTGATTCTGATAACATTAATGAGTGTATGAGCTGGTTTCAGACTAATAATATTTACTGGTGAGTCACTGTAGGTTAAGTGCTTATAATTATCTGAGAGATAGCCATGACTCGGCTATATGTGCAACCAGCTCAAGGTTGCACATATCAAGTTACACACAAACAAATATACACTATGAAACTATGTGTAAAACTGGTTAAATGTTGAATAACCGAAAATTTCCAGTGCTGGGCCTTGAGCTCCAAACACATCCGTCATCTAGGATCCGTGTTGACTGGTTGTAATGCAGCGCAGTGCATGACGCGCTAGGAACATTTCCCCCAGCAGTACAAGGGAAGCCAGACCATAGCACAGCCCCAGCAGGAGGAACGCGCCTTTCAGGTGCTCCAGGTTCAACGGCACCAGCTCCTCCTCCACCTACGTGAGCAAATAGGAAAATAAAATACCTCCATCTGAAAAAAAAAGTCAAGAAAACATGAGGATAAATGCCTCTATACGCACAGAGAAAAATACATAGTAACATGTATTAGAGCTAACCTCAGCGGGGCGGGCCAGGAGCTCGTCAGGGTAGATGGATCTCTCCTGAATGACGCGGGTAGTGATGACGTCTGGGAGCCAGTGGTCAATAAGCCCCGCCTCGATCATCCACTGTGTCATGACGGTGATCCGGCGACGGAAGGGCGCACCTTTCCTGGCGGAGGAATGATATAGAATGTCATCATCCAACCCGTTCTCGCACTTTCGTATAGTCAATATTGACTTATTAAATACGTGCATATGTGACATACTAAACATACTAGTTTACCTTGAAAAGCTTCATATAAAACACCGACCTTACCTAACCTTCTTAGTATGTTAAGATAAGCATCTTATTGCTTCGTAATTACAATTATTACTTAACCTATTATAGGAATAGGTTAGGTTATGTTAGACATCAGTCGAATGTCTACCTTGTTACATAGGGGAAATATGGGAATTTATTAACTAAATATCATTTTATCGTTGACAATATGGCTCCTAATTCATCATTTCAACTTACAACTCAAAGAACACATAACAATCAAATACACGAAAACATTACTAGGCTCCACCAGCATATGCATCTAAAATGTTATTGGGAGAGGCCTTTACTTAACCTTTACTTAAACTTTACTTACTTAACATTACTTAACCTATAGGTTAAGTAATAATTGTAATTAAGAAGCAATAAGATGCTTATCTTAACATACTAAGAAGGTTAGGTGAGGTCGGTGTTTTCTATGAAGCTTTTCAAGGTAAACTAAAATATTCACAATCAATTAGTATGTCTCATATACACTTATTAAATAAGCCAATATTGACTATAAGCAAGTGCGAGAACGGGTTGCAGGAAAGCCAAAGAACCTAAGAGACTACATGTCGTGGACTCCATTAGCAGCTCATTATCTTCTGTGTATTATAAAACATACTTTAGTAACCACGGCTAATTGTCTCATGGTCCTCCACGAGTTCTTCAAAATGTTACATTATTTCTTAGCCAAAATAACAATTATTTTTTAATTTTAACACTTTCCATCGACTTCCTGTGACACTTCCAGAAACAAAATGCTTTCAACACTCTTTTTAATACTCAATATGATTAGTACAATACAATGGTCATGATTCTTCAACTTTATCACTGGACCATCTGTAATATAATAATAATTATAACCAAATTGTAATGTTAAAAATAACAATTATGATAAATGTGATTTTAAAAAAAGGGTTTTCTCTGTTTAATGTAATTAGATAACTACCTGAACTTTTCCTTCTCAATAAGTCTAGGAATGAACTTAATCCACCAGGATGTGAAGAAACTTGCCTAAACCTTCCTTCACCTCCTCCCAAGAGGTGAAGGAACTCTCCTTCACCTCCTTCCAAGAGGTGAAGGAACTCTCCTTCACTTCCTCCCAAGAGGTGAAGGAACCTTCCTTCACCTCCTCCCAAGAGGTGAAGGAATTCGCCTGAACCTTCCTTCACCTCCTCCCAAGAGGTGAAGGAATTCGCCTGAACCTTCCTTCACCTCCTCCCAAGAGGTGAAGGAACTCACCTGAACCCCCACGACGTGCCTGCAGATTTTGGGTAACTTCGGCTGCTGATATGGATGGTGCAGTGACCAAACCTGTCGGTATAGCGCGAGGCGACGATATAATCATTTTGGAATTTAGTGGTGATGAATGCGTAGCGCCCTCCGGCCACCAGCTCCATGTTCTTATCCAGCTCGTGTGTCTACAAGAACACAAGAAAGAACTGTGTGTGTGTGAAGGAGATCAGGAGTCAACAAACTGTTTATCAGACAATATCCGCCACACAAAATAGCAATGCGGTCGTCATACCTCCATCTTACTATAAATCTTCTGGAGGATTGGGTCGCTGCTCAGGCTGAAGTAGAAAGCTGAGGCTCCCAAGAGCCTCTCGCTTCCCCATCGCCATCCCTTCTTTCTCACAAGATCTTCAAATGTATCCACCGGCGCCATCTTCTCCCTCACCGTCAGATGAGCTGACATTGATGATCGGTACGCGGCTGTGATCACCAGACACGTCAGCATCCACCAGCCAACAAATATCTATGTGGCAGAACAAGTGTTGACCCAGAGTCCATAAATATCTGTGTAGTAGAACAGTTTGTGATCTAGCGCCCGCTAATCAGCTGCGTGGCAAGAAAAGTGATGATTTAATAACCCATGAACACCTGTGTGGTAGAACAGGTGTTGATCTAGCACCCATAAACATCTGTGTGGCAGAACAGGTGGTGATCTAGCACCCATAAACACCTGTGTGGCAGATGTGTTGGTCAGAAAGGATAAAAACCTTCACATAAGTTCACTTTGAAGCTTAATCTAGCTTCAAAGTGATCTTCATAAATAGCACTAGATTTTGTACCTGGCGGTCCCCGGGTCGACTCTAAAAGGTTGTGTCATTTAACTGTTGGGAGCCTGGCTCGACTCGGTGCCCAGATTGACCTAGTATTTAGGTCGACCCAGTGCTTGAGGTGACCCCCTTAAAAGGAGGCAATGGTCTGACTCCGATGACAGATCTTTGCTCTAGTTCCAAGGTGAGATCGATGACAGTCTTTGCTCTAGTTCCAAGGTGGCTTCAATTTATGAAATTCTAGGGACTCAGCGAGCCACTTTTCTTATCCATAGATTTCATCAGGGGAGTAATGGGGGAGGGGGGCAATCCCAACGTGTCTATGTTGATCACTCCACCCTCTATCCCTCCTCACCAGTCCCTTGAGGTTAGCCCCAAGCATCCTTGAACAGACAGTCGGACAGCCATTTCCTTTTATAAATATAGATAAAAATAAATGAAACTACAGAAGGCCTTTTTGGCCCATAAGAGGCAGCTGCTATTTATACCTATTCAAACTCATTCATATATATGTCTAACCTATGCTTAAAACACTTCAGTGAGCGTACATATATTTGGTATATCGATTGGATACCCAGCGGTGCCCGGGTCGACCTGGTTCTTAGCTCAACTTTCCATCAATTCGCCAAAATAAAATAAAATATAAATTATGAGAAACATTGCCGAGGGGAATTCATAACTTCCATATCAACACGTCCCACAACATAACTATTATTAGGCTTTTAGGCAACAGTTTTTTATGAAATCACAATTTCTTGGTTTTAATAACAAACTATGAAAAGTATTTTTGTTTTTGCCAACACCAACGAATAATGTTATATGATAGATTAAGACAAAAAAATTGATTGGAATATCTTTTAATGGGAAAATAGTGGTGACCCCGACCCCACCCATGTTGAGCACCTACCCCTCCGCAATTACCATGCAAAGTTGGGTAAGGTTAGGCCCAAGACATCACGTTCTTGTGATTTCATTGTGTATAATATGTAAGCCACACTTAAACACTTAAAGTCTTACTCTGGCGCTAGAGTTTTGGGGGGAATCAGAGGGAGGGTTTTCCATCAGGAGACTCGAGATGTAGAAGGTGGCGAAGCAGAGTTCGGCGGGGCGCCCAACTGTCACCCACGCCCACGCCTTCTGCAGAAGCCACAACACCACCCCGGAACCAATACAGCTCCACGTCACCACAACCCACACGTTCCCTGCAGAAAGTGCTACCGGTAATGGAATCTTTAATTATAATGACATTTTTAACAGAATCATACTTTACACAAAGTAACCAAAGTAATCTGTACCACGTGCCACCCTTCGGTTCTAAGTGTAATTTGGTCTGTGTTACCTGGTCAAACCCTTGAGTTCTATATAATTAGATCTAGGTACTGACCATTGAACATGTGTCTGATATAATTATACTATTGTAGGTAGTAAATTATCCTTTAAAGAAACGTAGACTTTACCGCTAGATTGCTGTATGTAAATCTCGTCTCCTGCCTATGTGGAGTTAGAGAGGTAACGTAAGATCAAGGTGGAAAAGTATTTCTGTTGTACTTGGGGGTTTTAGGGTTAATTAATAATATTAAGGTAAAAACTTCAGCTGGAGTTTCCATCATCCATGTGGTTGAGGTTTAGGTGATCTGCACTTGACAACAGTCCTTTCATAATTTATTATTTATTTGGAAACTGTTTCCCTAGAGGCCTACCCCAACCCCATTAGGTAGAACTCCCTTACCTTTATTCTTACCCTACCTTAGCACATCTCCCCCCCCCCTGTTACAAACATTTGTTGACTGAAATTCAATGACTGTTCTTAGCATGCGCTACACGTTGGTACTAGCGATACTCAGTACAAGGTTTAATATATTATAAATTTTATAAAATTATTGATGCCCCGACGAGCGCCAACAAGAGATTTCATCCAGCCAGCGAGCATTTCAGGTGACAACAAGTAACGTTAAGGTTACTATAGTGACGGACTAGGCTCTAGAATAGGGCGTTTACCTATTACACTAATGATAGGGATTCTAGGCCTAGAAGCTTACCCGATTACGTAACTGGAGTTACTTGATTTGATGACTCACTTGAGAAGGGCTTGACAAGTGCAAATGAGTGTCCCAAAGGCTGCGACTTAGCCGAAACGATGACGAAGGGGTCGGAGGCGTAGATCCTGGAGTGGTCCATTACCTGCAGTCTTGGAGCAGTGGGCGTTATGGTGGTGGAGAAGTCTGCGAGCTGGTGCTGCAGTGTTCCCACCAGCCCACTCCAGTTACCATTAGAGTTCTCAGTCCCCCAGTCACCGTCCCACGCCTCGTGTAATTCGTACCTGCAATGGACATTGATGTTGTGGACACTGGCTGAGTTCTCTTGACTTCCAGCCATTCATGCGCGTCTTTTTAATTATTAAACAATTATCTGTTTTGTTAACATTCAACCGCGTCTGTGAAATTATCCTTTACACATTTGTTGATATTCTTTTCGTTTCTATTTGTAAATGGTTCCTTGAGTGTGGTTCATGCAGAGCGAGGTAGAGGGCGTGGAGGGTGTTGTGGAGGAGGACTTCGTGCACATGGGCTTCTCCACCCACAACCACCACGTGTATGTCTGAGTGATACCTTATATAGGAGTCATACATCATGTGAGAGAACGGGAGAATCATACATGATGTGACAGGTAAAAGCGAGACATTCATTATGTGTGAAAAGCTTTCCTTTATCTAAGCGAAACTGAAAATGAAGAACATTTGTTTTCAAGTAATCTTGAAACTCTTACGACATGTCAGTAAATGTGCATATATATTTACGAAGACAGAAAAACATAAATGCGAGGAATACTTTGATAAGGACATATGTGAGGCTACATTACAGTAGAAAGAGAGAACAGGCATACGTGGAGCTGAGATAAACAACCAGAAGTGACAGATGGAAGGTTAGAGAGAGACTTGTCGGATGCTAGAGGAACGTGTATGAACCCACGTGAAGTTTAGATGAGTGGCGATGTCTTGGAGCATCCGTGTGTTGAGGGAGTCCCGGGGCGCTGCCAGCGTGTCCCCGCCAACACCCACACGCTCGAAGTCGATGGTCGGAAAATACCGTCGGACCACCACGCGGAACTGGTGCCCCATGAAGTTTTCCCGGCTTTCTGTGACACGGACACCAAACTATTGAAATTGGACTTGCTAAGTCAATCAATTTGGAGGCACTCACTAACAAAGCAGCTGAGATGGTGTACTCATTAACAAACCAAATGATATGTGTCACTCACTAACAAAGAGCGGCCGATGTAGGTGAGCGGAGTGAGGGTGCCAGAGTGCTGCGAGCTTCACTCCTGGGTCCCCACCAAGGCAGTACAAGCACCGTTGGTACACCGCCACTCCATGCTCCTCCTCCTTCCTCTGCCTCTCCTTCAGGCAGCATCCTGCAAGCCAGACACTCTATACTTCCTTTTCTCTACAATATGTATCATATTTCTCTTCAAATCGCGTTTCAATTATTTCCTAATTTCTAAAATATTCCTTATTTTATGTTTGGCTACCAAGTTAAAAGTTGTCATAAATATTAATTACTTTATAGCCATATGACTCCCACTGCCACTGATGTGGGGGGTTCTAAGACCTTACAGAAGTATTTAGTATGTAGTTAATTCTTCGTTGGCAGTTACAGCCCCGCTCCTGTGCCAGGTAAGTCCACTACCGGCTCACCATAGCCCGTGCTACTTGGAACTTTTTGTTCCGAGCAGTTGAATCTAAAACAACAATCATCTTCGTTAGCGTAGTAAGCAATTAACGCAGATATACAACCACGCAAGCACACTAAAGAGCCGAAGCCCAACCCCGCAACACAACTTGGTAAGAAGGTGACCCAAAGGACCTTATAGTCAACATGGATGTGTATGTCACGTTGACTCCTTTCTTATGAGCTACGTAAATAATGGTCTTAGTATGTAGTCTTACCATCACAATTCTGGCTGTGTCTCTTGGGTAAACTCATAGAGGGACAGTTGAGGGCGAGACGGTGGAGTGTGCTGGCGTGGAGGGCGAGGTAGAGGGCGTGGAGGGTGTTGCGGAGGCTGTGGTGGAGGAGGACCTTGTGTACATCGGCTTCTCCACCCAGAAATACCACGTGTGTTTCCGGGTTCCTCCACAGCCCAGATGCCTCCAGCAAGCTGTTAATGTGAGGGTAATATTGGGTCTTGTTTGTATTACTAGTGAGGAAATAACGGGTCTTTTTAGCATTACTCGCTGGGATCTTAAGATTTAATTCTCATCATCTTCCATGATCATTAAGACTCTAAACTTAGAGTTTCTAATCTTCAAATATACTTATATACTTAACATAACTCAGTATTAACCTATGATCAGGGAATATACACACTGAAATATACACCTCTTGGTGTACATACCATATTCTAGTAATAATCATCTCTCTGGACTTTATTATAAGAGTTATGTTTTGTTGTATAGTTTTACAGAAAAGTGTCCAAGGGTTGGAAATTTAATATTATATGTTTTAATTTCATTGGTTACACAACTTTAAGAAGAACATAAGAACAAAGGTAACTGCAGAAGGCCTATTGGCCCATACGAGGCAGCTCCTATTCTATAACCACCCAATCCCACTCATACACCCGTCCAACCCGTGCCCGAAACAATCGAGGGACCCCACCTCCACAATGCCACGCGGCAACCGGTTCCACAAATCAACAACCCTGCTACCGAACCAGCATTCACCCAAGTCCCCCCCAAATCCAAACCCATCCAACCTATATCCACTGCTTCGTGCTCTGTCCCGTGTTGATACTTCCAACACCCCATTAATATCCCCCCGGTTATGTCCATTCATCCACCCGCAAACCTCCATCATGTCACCCCCAACTCTTCGCCCCTCCAGTGAACGCAACCCAAGCCTTGCCAATCTTTCTCCACATGAAAGACTTCCAATTTGGGGAACCAACTCAGTCATCCCACGCTGGACACGCTCAAGTGAACCTACATCCATTCCACAACATGGCGACCAAAACTGAACTGCACAATCCAAATGGGGCCCAACCAGAGCAAGACACAGCTCGAGAACCACACCAGGTGTCTTGCCACCAACGCTGCGACCAACAAATCCAAGTGTCCGACTTGCCCCACCACGAACATTCATGCATTGATCCTTTTGTTCCAAACTCCCACCAATCACAACTCCCAGATCCCCCTCGCAATCCGAAACTGATACTGACAACGGATTAAACTACAATAAAATGTGTCTTTATTGGCAATTTTACTTCGTAGAGTATTCCAGCTGTGTCGGTGGAATATCAATTATCAAAACAACATCACGATGCAATATGAAATGTGAATTCAAGATCAAAGAAGTTATTACAGATAAAAATATAAGAATGAAAGTAACTGCGGAAAGCCTATTGGCCCATACGATGCAGCTCCTATTTATATCTGCCCGAAACGCTGCGCGTACTAGTGGCTTTACAAGATTGCAAATACTATGCAATGTATTCTCTCTAATCCAATGTACCTTCTTGTATATAAATAAATAAATAAATAAATAAATAAATAAATAAATAAATAAATAAATAAATAAATATCCACCCAACTACATTCATATATATGTCTAACCTATGCTTGAAACACTCAAGGAACCTACTCTGGACGCGTAGGATAGACAACTATCGAGGACGTGTCTCTGGTACTGGGCGAGGATTACCTCAACATTTGGTTGGTGTCGCTGCTGTTAGTCACGTGGACGAAGGCAGCTCGGCAGGAGAACTTGGCCTCTCCCCACATCCCCTGGAGGAGACGATCCTGTGTGGACTCTTCCAAGGACATCGCCGTCAGCGCCTCCACCTGCACCACGCCCTCCCCACGCCTGCAGGGAGAAATGACCATCAGAGTCCCAGTTACAGCCCCGCTCCTGTACCAGGTAAGTCCACTATGGGGCTCACCATAGCCCGTGCTACTTGGAACTTTTTGTTCCAAATAGCGAATCTTCAACAACAACAATATCAGAGCCTCCACCTGCACCACGCCCCCCTCACGCCTGCATGAAGAAATTACACTAAATGTTTCCGCAAAGTAAGCTCCATTTCTGAGAAGTTACGTTGTTAATCCGTTTTTCCACCCTTGTGCTAACTCAAAACTTTATCACAAAATATAAATTTACTTCCATTTCTTCTAGAAGGAGACTTGGGGCCAGATTCACGAAAACACTTACGCAAGCACTTACGAACGTGTACATCTTTCATCAATCTTTGACGGCTTTGGTTACATTTATTAAACAGTTTACAAGCACGAAAACTTGCCAATCAACTGTTGTTATTGTTATAAACAGCCTCCTGGTGCTTCGGAGCTCATTAACTGTTTAATCATTGTAAACAAAGCCGCCAAAGATTAAGAAAAGATGTTCAGGTTCGTAAGTGTTTGCGTAACTGCTTCGTGAATCTGGCTCTTGGGCTCTACTCCTCTGCCTCTATCTGAGACTTTATCATATCTACGTTTGAATACATGAGCATAGTTAATGATGCCCTGAACAAAATTAATGAATTTTTTTTTTTTTAATCGTGTCGATATCTGTAACCTGGTTGTGTTGTGCAGTTATGTACTATCTGGATCTTCCCCTTAGCGATTGGTGGTTAAATATTCTCTGCTTATTCTCTTAAGCAAGCTTCTCCTGGCTCAGGAACCTAAACATCTGGGGCCAGATTCACGAAGCAGTTAGTCAAGCACTTACGAACCTGTACATCTTTTCTCAATCTTTGGCGGCTGTGTTTACAATTATTAAACAGTTAATGAGCTCCGAAGCACCAGGCGGCTGTTTATAACAATAACAACAGTTGATTGGCAAGTTTTCATGCTTGTAAACTGTTTAATAAATGTAACCAAAGCCGTCAAAGATTGAGGAAAGATGTACACGTTCGTAAGTGCTTGCGTAACTGCTTCGTGAATCTGGCCCCTGGAATTGTTAAATACTCTTTGTCAGCATGGCGAGGTGGGGGTCCAAGCTGGCGCTTCATTCTCTAATATTGATGACAGGTTTACAGAGTTCTGATGGACTCTATAATCACATTTATTGTAACCATATATTTGCAAGATTTGTATACGTTGTGTATATTATCTTGTTTATGTGCGCATAAGGAGATTGATTTGATATAATAGCCGCCATAGGTATTTATCTGAACGTGTTCGAGCACATTGCGTGATAGACCTTCGTATTGGCTAAGAATTACGCGGTTTAATAAAAATGTTTTTTCCTATTCACTGAACGAGATATTTTTATTAAACTGCGTAATTCTTAGCCAATACGAAGGTTTGTCACGCAATGTGCAGTCGCGCCTCCACAGATCTCCAGTATCATCTCTTGATACTGGTGATGGCTCAAAAGGGTCACCTCTTACGGGCTATTCATGCCCATGCCACCTTTTGGATGGCTTAATCTTTATCAATCATCAATCAATCTTAGGTTCCTGAGCCAGGAGAAGGTCTTATGAGGCTAGAGATTGGTGTTTTACTACTGCGTGTGTAGTCGCCCTGCCCGAATGGCAGTTTGTCCTACATGAGTGTGTGGTAGTTTTATCCGAGTGTGTGAGTCTTACGTGAGTGCGTGGTTGTCTTACTTGAGTGCATGGTAGAGAAGGGGTGAGACACTCCTTGCGGTAACCAGTACTAGATGACATCCATGTAGTTCTTCATCCACCAGTTGCACCACCAGCTGGAACACTTCATCCACACGACCACTCGCCTTTCGGCCGACCTCGTCCATATTATCACTCACCAGCTTGCAAGCCTCGTCCAGCTTCTCCCGGGGTAGTTCAACTTCACTCGCTACGTGTCCCATACGTCGTCCATCGCTCTCCAGAGCATAAATAACAGTGGAACAGAGGCACACGATCACTACCAGCATGGTCCTAATACCTGAACAAATATTGAGAAATGAGCTTGGAATTAAAGCGATTTATATTTGGGTCAGTATTTTTACTATTTTGCGAGAGTTAGAAGCCACTTTTGAGCTACATATATATTGGAACTACGGAGCTGTGGGCAATATTGCCATGGTTAGGATAGATCCACTTATCATCAACTCTTATTATATAGAATGCGACATATGACTGGTATCACTTATTCGTTCTCTGTCCATATATTGCTGCCCTAAAATGTGGTCTCATTTCCATTGCAGATGTTGGCTATCTTATTAACTACGAACATTCCCTCCCCGCTCCATGGATCCACACCAACATCCTCTTTATCCTAACTTTGTTAAAGAACGCTAATCCTTTGTCAGTGGTTATCGTTCCTTGGGTTTTGTTCGTCATATCTTGGTACTCTATGGTTTCACTCCTCCATGGGAGAAATCTCCCGTCACGCAGGGTGCAGTCGCACCTCCACAGATCTCCAGTATCATCTATTGATACGGGTGATGGCTCAAAAGGGCCACCATTTACGGGCTATTCATGCCCGTGCCACCTTTTGGGTGGCTTACTCTTCATCAATCAATCTTTCACTCCTGCAGTACACGTCTTGTTGAGCACTCAATGTGTATTCACTTTCGACTCATGCAACTATCTTATCATTTTTCTTCGTCTTAATCATAGGGTTCCTTTTGGTGATGATGGTCCTCTTCTTGCCCGCTTTCTTTTTCTCTTTTACATGGGTTTATAGTTATCATTCTCGTCCTTAAAAATTATACTTTCCTTTACAGCTTATCCGACTCCTCCTTTAACTCAATTCAAAGTTGCAGGCGATGAGTCACAATAACGTGGCTAAAGTAAGTTGACCAGACCACACACTAGAAGGTGAAGGGACGACGACGACGTTTCGGGCCGTCCTGGACCATTCTCAAGCCGATTGTTCCGATCAAGACAATCGACTTGAGAATGGTACAGGACGGACCGAAACGTCGTCGTCCCTTCACTTTCTAGTGTGTGGTCTGGTCAATTCAAAGTTTCTCAAGGTTCGAAAAACATTATTCAAGAAAGAAAACACGAGATATTACCCCATAGTTTTAACTGTAGACGTCCGCCCATGATGACTTGTCTCACAAGACATCTCCTGCGTGTCCTTTATTGACCGATTTTAGTAGTTAATAATCCTTGTCCACCTTTACTCGCATATTTAAAGCTTTCCAAGCTTTCTGGGACATAGGTTTGTTGTGCTGGTACTGTTGTCTACATTACAGTTAATGTAGTTAATGTATAAACTGTATATATACAGTTAATGTATCCGAGCAGTTGTTTCCTGGAATTCCTTCTTTTGGTAATTATTTACTTCATGGAATTCCAAAAAGATGTATTTCCAGTTCCATTCACGGGTCTCGAACTGTGGAGCCAACGCGTGTGCGGCCGACGCTCTATCGAGTGCCAGTTGTATCAGGGTTCGAGACCCATACATTCTTTCTTTATTATGCACCCCATACCCATCCCGTGGGCGGTGATGTAAAGGATTACAGAGGCACATAATCTAGAATGGAATGTTTATTCCCACGGAAGTGTGGATGGCAATTTTTTTTTCAAAGTTTATTTGCATTTTCTATATTCAAAATTTTAGGTTTCCATGTTACTCCATCAGATGGAGACACCTGGAGGTAGAAAAAATATATAACTTTACTATATTTGTGTTCCTTATTTTGTCGCCTGATCTAATGCAATATAAAATAAATATTTATTTCTCCAGTTTTGTACTGTTATAAGATATATTAGCAAACATATCTTATAACATGCGTGACACAAAGAAAACATTCCTGGGAACTTGTTATTGATATTCACCCTCACCATAATTTATTACATCCATCCTTTCAACAGTGTTCCCGGAAGGAAACTCTAAACATTACAGGTAAAGATTGTGAACTGGACACGGCAGTAAATATACGTTAAATGTTGACCAGACCACACACTAGAAGGTGAAGGGACGACGACGTTTCGGTCCGTCCTGGACCATTCTCGAGTCGATAGATATTCTCAAGTCAATATACGTTAAAGTTCTGTGATTTCATTAGTGTGTGGTGATATAATACCAGGCCGCTGGTCTCACCAAAAAGCTCAAATACCTGTGGTTAAGTTACGTCAGGAAACACCAGAATGTTTTAAGAAAATCTCACAGGGAGCATAGATGCTTATTTCATCATTCTCAAAATGATGTAACAACTTAAATAAAAAATAGTATATATATACACCAAACAAATATAAACCATAGCTCACACAGCAGTTTTACTGAAAGTCGATAATATTCCTGTCTTATATATAGAGAATTTTGACCAGACCACACACTAGAGGGCGAAGGGACGACGACGTTTCGGTCCGTCCTGGACCATTCTCAAGTCGACAATCGACTTGAGAATGGTCCAGGACAGACTGAAACGTCGTCGTCCCTTCACCTTCTAGTGTGTGGTCTGGCCAACTTACTTTAGCCACGTTATTGTGACTCATCGCCTGCATATAGAGAATGTCACAATAATGTGTCTGAAACAAACCTACACATATGAAGTAACATTAAAGTGAAGTCTGGACCGGCCCGGATCGATCCGTCTGGACCCCTATAAGCTCATTTATTTAATTTTTAATGTGTGAGTTGCTGTATTTCTGTTTTTAATTAAAAATAATTTAAAGAAGTTTTAAATATAATACCCAGTAGGATATACAGGTCTAATTCAATAGAGGGGGCAACTGTTAACAACTAAATACTTGTGGCCCTTTGATAAAGTTATCGGGGGTAAAAAAAAGTCATCTTTACCTAACATACACCAGAAAGGGGTAACTATCAGGAGAAAGCGCCAAGCCATCACGACTATATAGCACTGGGAAGGGATCAGGATTAGGATTTGGGATGGGGCGGGGGTAAAGGAATGGTGCCCAACCACTTGGACGAACGGGAATTGAACGCCGACCTGCATGAAGGGAGACCGTCGCTCTACCGTCCAGTCCAAGTGGTTGGGCGAGTGTGGGCAGGTAATGTGTGTAACCCTGATTTAATATCAGCTGGGTGCCTCAAGATCCCTAGAGGATTCAGTTGAATCCCAGGTTACATTACTGTTAACATATCGTGGTCCAGTATTTTAACGTGTGTTGTTGTTAAAGATTTGCTACCTGGAACAAAGTTCCAAGTAGCACGGGCTATGGTGAGCCCGTAGTGCCTTTTAATTAAGGTGTGTGCTTGAGAGTATCAAATTTGTAGGTTCGAATCTTCATGACTCCTGATTTTCTTAATAATTCTGATTTTCTTAATAATCCACTCATGGGAATGGATTGAGAACTGTTACATAATTATTCTGTCATATATTCTACATCCACGGCTAGGTTAGGTTTCATTACGTTTGGTTACATTAATATGGTGTATTATTGACGATAATGTGAAATATGTAATTCGAAAATTATTTTACTGTACCCGAAAATTCCGTTTACAGAAAAGTAAATTCTTCAAAGAAAACGTTTTCCGCGCATATTTATTATATTTTTAACACACAATTTATAATACAATAAAGTTATAACTTGAGAATACTCTCTGCTCAGGACAAAGGTTCACGTGTCTACTTACATGTAGACTATTACCGGAACCGTTATATGCATTTAGACTATCACAAATATATAGATAGCTATCCAGATGGATTGAGGGGGGAGGGGGAAATTGTGGTTTCTCATAGTAATGTATTTGCTGAGGTCGGCCTCATTTGTAATACTGGTTTAATGTCACGTTTATCAGGACATATATATATTTGTTTTCCGAATTATTAAGTATTCATCATAAAACTTGTTTGTCTAAATGGTAACTTCAATGCTCAACTTTAAATACAAATGTGGTGGTAAGAGAAACTAGTGAGAAAAGTCATTGCATTGAATTACTAATGAATGAAAGGCGGAGCTTAGCAGGAGAAGCTTCACGCTTCTAATTGTGAAGCTTTCGCTTCACAATTAAGTTTAAATTTAAATTAATTAAAAAATTAAATTAAATCATGGGTTCGTATCCTGGCCGGGGAGGATTTACTGGGCGCAAATCCTTAACTGTAGCCTCTGTTTAACTCAACAGTAAAATGTGTACTTGGTTGTAACAACGATTCTTCGCGGCGGGGATCGTATTCCAGGGACCTGCCCGAAACACTACGCGTACTAGTGGCTGTACAAGAATGTAACAACTCTTGTATATATCTAAAAAAAAAATTAAATTTTGCCCCGAGGGGCGAGTTTATTGGGCAGCGCCACTCATCTTGTGAGTGGACACACCGCCATAGCAGCATGTACTCCCCAATAGGAAGAAAACCCGCTGGGTTGTTCATCCTGTCACTTGTACCCAGACACAGCTGGGACACAATTAAGTGAGTGCATAATGGACCATAAAATTACATAAGCTGAAGAATTGTAACAATAGCAAACAATATTTACCACACAACGGTGTTGACAGAGAACGCCTGACCAGTGACAGGGTAAGACAGGTGTTGTCTTGCTGACACTGCGTAAACACCTGCCAGCAACCTCTCATGCTGGCATTACTTACACCCGCAGCGACCTGCGCACTACTTCCTGCGCAGCTCTATCATCACCCTCCCTGCCTATTGGTTGTTCTCGCTACGCTCTACACCAATAATCCTTCGAATTATACCCTCACTACCCCCTAACCACCACCTCACAACTACTCCACCTCAGTACCAGCACCTCACTAGCACCACCATCCGCTACACTCGCCATTACTCTACAAAAAACTAACGTCACTATTATACAACACTGCTACCATTATTATACATCACCGCCACCCTTATACACCGCTATTATTGTACCTCCGCCACCTCTATCCCAGGACTTTGGAATGGGAAAGGAAGCGGTCAGGCAGTCCGGCCCTCGACGGTCACTCCTCAGGTGGCTGGCAGTCCTGGACGGTCACTCCTCAGGAGGCTGGGAGTCCTGGACGGTCACTCCTCAGGTGGCTGGCAGTCCTGGACGGTCACTCCTCAGGTACTGGGAGTCCTCGACGGTCACTCCTCAGGTGGCTGGGAGTCCTGGACGGTCACTCCTCAGGTACTGGGAGTCCTCGACGGTCACTCCTCAGGTGGCTGGCAGTCCTGGACGGTCACTCCTCAGGTGGCTGGGAGTCCTGGACGGTCACTCCTCAGGTGGCTGGGAGTCCTGGACGGTCACTCCTCTAGAAGGCTGAGGAGTGACCAGTCCACAATCCTGTTAATTAATATTTACTTACGAATACACAATGTTCAGCCCGTCCATACGAGCGTTCCCAGCGTTACTAAACTGATATACTAAATTGCCCGAACCTAACCTTACCGAGGACCCACGAATTGAAAACGGGACAACACTACCAATTTTGCGAGTTGCTATGTTTTTAGTATACCAGTTTTTGGCCTTAAGGGCATTTATACGTCAAAATACGATATACTATTCAAGAGGAAAGGTTGAATTATAATATATTTGTATGTAATTGGCTGTAATTGAATAGCAATTACAGTTTATGGTATTACCAATGGTGCATATTACGGTATAAGGGACTCGTAGGGCTCGTGACAATCTAGTAAATAACAGTCTGATTGGACAGTAAATGTTCTGATTGGACAGAAGAGTGAAGACTAAGTGCAACCACACTCGGGTCCAGAGAACAACGACAATCGACTTTAGCCAGTGAAATTGAAATTGAAATTGAAATAAGTTTATTGAGGTAAAATAGACACAAAGGGATGAGGTAGCTCAAGCTATTCTCACCCCGTTCAGTACATCGTGTTAATACATACATAGACACACATCACAAACAATAAACATATTACCAAACATTCTGAGAGATAAACATCTACATTTCCTTAGCTAGTGAAGACACGAATAAGTGAAAGAAAGGTAGCTGCAAATCTAGGTTAGATGGAGATTGATGGATTTTCTTCTGTGAGGACAAATCCATGAGACCAAACAACTGGGAAGAAATTATGTGATCTCAGTTGCAGGATACTCAGGGGGGGGGGATGCAGGGGGAGCCGGTCGGCCGAGCGAACAGCACGCTGGACTTATGATCCAGTGGTCCTGGGTTCGATCCCAGGCGCCGGCGAGAAACAACGGGGAGAGTTTCTTTCACCCTATGCCCCTGTTACCTAGCAGTAAAATAGGTACCTGGGTGTTAGTCAGCTGTCACGGGCTGCTTCCTGGGGGTGGAGGCCTGGTCAAATGACCGGGCCGCGGGGACACTAAAAAGCCCCGAAATCATCTCAAGATAATCTCAAGATAATCTCAAGATACTCAGTTGCTTATACTCAGCAAAATGGCCTTTGCTAGATGTGCTTGTATTGACCTGAGTCTCATAGTGTTTCATTCTGCTGTTTGTAGATGTGAAAATGTTACTTTATATCATTTATAAATTTATCTTATAATCTTATATATCGTTATCAAATTTCGCCTATTATTCTCCTGTTCTCTAGTGCGAGTATATGTCCGGTTCCCCTCAGTCTTTCCTCGTACTTCAGGTCACTCAACTCCGGAATGAGTATATCTTTGGACCTTTACTAGTTTTGTCGAGCATTTTTAAACGAGTGGGTTATGTCGGGTGTGCTTTATTAACAGAATAAAGTACGTGTCAAACACGTACTTTATTCTGTTAATTTGTGCTTCTTTATGCTTTGTATCATTTCCCAGTTTTCAGTTATAATAATTTCCTAATTATTCACATTGAAATAATGTATATAAAGATGTACAGGCAATTAATAATTATGTTATTAGAAAATGGGATTTCAAGTTATTCTGAAAAATCATTATATGAGAAGGAAAGTTTTCACTTGGCACTTTACTTCAATGTGATGTTCTGTTATTGTTTTTATCATATACAAGCAGTATTAACCATACACTCTGGCAGTGATGATCCGTGATTATGTGAACACCATCCTCGCCTTCTTCTCCAAGGACCATTCCTCACATCCTCACTCCAGGTGAGTCTATTGAAATACCTTTTTTTTATACGAAATAGGTAATTGTAAAGGCAAAGTTGTCCACTCGCAGTGCAAAGCCTTGGAAAATCTTAAATGTGAAAGCAGTTACATAGGCAAGAGACTATTAGATTTTATTGAGAAATATATTTTGAACTTACAGGGTTAGTTAGGGCACTGATTATTGCTATATTTATTGATCCTCGTCTGTTAGTGATCCTCAAGCAACAGCTAACTTTTGCCTATAGGTCAACTTGCCAACAGTTAAGGGGGATTGATCAGCCAGGCAACAATCTAATTTTAGGTTGTTACTGGCAGAACGATTCGGGCAACGGAAAGGGTAAGTGGAAGAGAATAATTATTAGTTTAACAACAAACCCTACTACCATATTATTGGCTTCCAGCTTGATAGTAAATAGAAGGTTCAAAGTAGACTTCGATCAATGCTTCTAAACCTAAACTAAAAGCTATACCAAAGCAACTATACTCAGCTTCATGCTCATCTAACTGGCATTTGTCCTAACTCATACATGTTTTTGTTCCTTTCGTCAATTTACATTCTTCAGAGAGACAACCTGGGTGGCAGACGCAGGGAAGACCAGACGGGTCAACATACGTGGAGGCGTTCGAGACGAGGATCAACCACAACCTAATACTTACACCTCCAGAGTTACCACAACTACAACCACATCTACAGCCACGTCAAAGACATCTACAGCCACAGCTTCGACCACCACAATCAGTCCAGATCCTCTCTCCTTCGCCATTGTACTAGCCTCATTCATCGGCCTTGTAGGTCTCATGTTACTCCTAAGTTTATAACTGCATCCTTTAATTCGCCGATTTTATTTGCACATTTAAACAAATATTTAATATTTAGTACCAAGAGTTAAATGCCTTATAAGAGAACAAGATTATTCTGTATGAGTAAGACATATTTCCCGATATTTTTGAGTATGACACAAACATGAAGTCATCAAATAAAAATCTATACTGTGCTCAACAATATATTTCTACAACATTGTCTCATGCTCAAATATCCTGAGACTTTCAGTATCACGTAGCTAGCTCTTGACACAGACAGTGTAACCCTTCACATAGTCTGGGGTGGCTGTGTAAATGACCGCGAAACTATGTTAATAAAAACAATGGTTCAGGTTCCGAGGGCGCGAGGCTTGGGGCCAGCAGGGTCCTGGAGAGACGCCCGCACGCTGGCCTCCGCCACTCTTCCCGTGGTCGCTGAGGTCACCCTTATCACCGTATACTGCCGTGAGCATAACGCCATTAGTATTTTGTTCAACAAAGACTAGGGTTCTACAGTAGTAGAATAACATTACTATATGAACTACCAGACACCCAGAGCGCATCTAACTCCCAGGTACCTATAACTCCCAGGTTATCACATGCGTTTTCGCAGATGCTTATGTAACTTGCAATAGCCTACACTAGGTAGATATTGCTGCCAGTCCTGATTAATGACCCTTGGTGCAGTTGGTATTTCCTCTCCCACATATGTAAAGGTTGGAGAACAGTCATCACTATAAGCCTGAACTTCAGATATGAGGTGTTATCTTGAAGTAGACATTCTACAATGTCTAAGTATGTTAGCCTGTGGTATACTAGTGCCAATTGAGTGGCTTTCAGACACACAACTGATAATGTTCGAACATTTCTTGAACAGTTTTTCGCTGACTACCTCTGTTCAAATCGCCAACCCAGGAAATACTTCATTCACGTACTTCAAATACAAGTAATCACCAACAGAAACTAAACACCTAATCTAACCTACGTAGAACTTTAATATATAATAATATTAAATTAAGTATGAGAACAAAGGTATTTTTAGTGCACTGTATATTAAAATTTATGAATGTGTATTGAGGGTCAGCCGTTGCTTGAGGGCAGGTTGAATAAACATGGGTGTTTGGCGGCTGGATTAACAAATATTTGACTGTTGTTGAGGACGCGCTGTGTTCACAGTACAGGCTGAAAGTTACATAGTAAATAAAGCACGTTTCGAGTCATAGCCTCGAACATGGCTCGGTAAACTTTTAAGTCCAAATACTGGCCTCTGTAGAGTTTTTGTAGTCAGTATTGTACGTTGTGAACCTCGCAGCCGTTTGTTGATGAAGGGTCGAATTATTTGTAGTACATTTTGTAACTACCGCAGTGAGATTCGAGCGGAATATGAGTGAACGTTCAAATTTCAACAGCTGTAAGTCTTGTGTATTGTGTAGGCGATGAGTCACAATAACGTGGCTGAAGTATGTTGACCAGACCACACACTAGAAGGTGAAGGGACGACGACGTTTCGGTCCGTCCTGGACCATTCTCAAGTCGATTGTGAGAATCGACTTGAGAATAGTTCAGGACGGAGCGAAACGTCGTCGTCCCTTCACCTTCTTGTGTATAGTGTTTTTCATTCATAAACAGGGTGTTTGGTGGCTGCATTAACCAGCATTTGGCCATTGTTTATGGAGACAGGCAGTGTTTATGAGGACGGGCAAGTTTAGTAACCACTGTTGATAATTCTGATACATAGCTCTGATTAAACACTCACTCATTCTTGTAAATATCAATCTCTTTCCAGTTTTTTTATCATGGACGGTGTCTATTATTGTAACATAATTCCAATACACTTTCATCATCGTGAGACGTGTGCCTGTTTGCTTAGGGAGCCACGTTTAGCTACATTATTGCGAGCCTTCAATATTTGTTTGTCTTCCAGTATGGCTCCCGGGAACCTGTGTACACAAGCTGGAGAAAAACATGTCACACTGGCCGTATGACGTTCATGAAAACAGAATACATAAAGCTGTACTTCCTGTATTTACTTTATAGTTTGAATCTATTGGAAATTATTGGAATATTGAACAAGCAACTTTTTAAAAGCCACAAACTTTGGTGCTACACGTTGGTGAAGGGTTGAAATTTTTGTCTAATATTTTGTTGTTTCAATAAGACAGCTTCAGAATGCTGCTACGTCTACTGAGGGATGCTGTTATGGTATAAGATGCTGCTGTAACATATATTGTGTCTCTTGAAGATGGCGTTGTTATTATATAAGATGCTACCCTTAACTCAGACCTGTCAGGACTTGTCTGCTATTATTTCAAGTACTTCTACTTCTTTATTTGCCCTTCTGCTTGACAACAAATATATTTTCTCTAATGTTCATCAACAATATTATATTACATTCTATACGGCAAAAGTTCTGCTTTATATTTGTATGGCAATAGGTATACTTTTCCTTTCTGCATTGCAAATCGTGTAAGTTCCTTTCTGTATAGTAACAAGAATGTTTTGTTCCGTTGTGCTGCATAGAGGAGATCCTGGGAAGCCCAACAGTTCTAGGCTACACCACCGTGCAGCGACTGGCCGAAGTCCTATACTTCCTCATTGCCTTCTCCTGCCCATGTGTTATTGTGGCTCTCTTGTGGCATGGCAGCTCTTCACTCCTCAGGTCTGGTACCCATTACCCCCATCCCCCCATTCTCAGACTCAGCACCTCTTCCTTACCCTCCCTTCTCAGGTCCAGCATCCATTCCTCAACCATTTTCTTAAGTCCAACATCCCTTCCTCAACCATTTTCTTAAGTCCAACATCCATTCCACAACCCCCCTTCTCAGGTCTAGCACCCCCTTGCCCTCAACCTCTTATACTAATAAAGCTGCAAATAATACAATATTTATATTATTTTGTATACTTATTTAGTCAATAATTAAAAATTTTATGTTTATAGTTGAGCAAATTCATTGAAATGTTGTTAGTTTATTTATATTTTCTTTCAGTTTGATTTGGGAGTTGAGAGAAAGTGGCAGAGGTACCGAAGGCAGGGAATGGGGAGGGTTCTGTATGATGGTGTTACCGGCGGTGATCAATTCTTCATTCTGTGGGCTCTGGTACATCAGAGAATTCTGCCGATTCAACACCGCGGCCTCTCTACAGGCAAGCCTTGATAGCCTGATTATTCTTTAGATATTCTTAATTATATGGTTGTCTTTGTTATTAATGGAATCTCTTGTATACCGCCTGGTTTAATGATGTACTTCATTTTGGTAATGATAGTCACCTGTATACCACCGGGGTTAATCATCCAATATCCTCTGATTATCACGTATGAAACTTTACTCATTTTCGGTTGCAATCTGTCTCATTTGAACAGGTGATGTTCACAGTGGCCTTCGCGTGGACGCAAGTGATAACAGTGTTGCCTCTTCTTCTTCAACTGCTTCTCACCTGTCGTCTTACTGCTCGCCTTGAAGCCCTGACCTGTAACCTCTCTCACACCCTCACAACTCTCAGTCAGTCCACTTCTATCCACCTTCCTCTGTACCATCCTCGAGGGACTCAGATCACTTCAAATCACATTTTTCACAGTTATTCGACTCCAGGACGTCTTCTTCCCTCGTCCTATTCTTATTCCCCGAACTTCTCACCACTACCTGAACCTCAGCACAGCCATACCCACCTCCTTACTGCCTCCAAGATCCGGGATATCCAAGACACCGCCAAGAAGAGTCCAGAAACCATCCCCGGAGTAGAGAAGAGAGGAGATAGCGGAGCCTGTCACCTGCAGGAGTTCGCCAACGAGCACCAGCACTTACGGGAGGTATTCAATCGACTGTGTGACGTTCTGGGCCCTACCATCCTCCTCTCCCATGTTCTTCTGGTCTACACAGTGATCATGGGCATATTCACCTTCGTCTTCAGCTTCAAGGTTTGCTCCTTTTATGTTATTGTTATAATGATCATAATCGTAAGTTTACTGTCATTGTTACTTAGAAAAATAACGTGTTGGTACCTGAAAAACGTGCGACAAACCGTTAGATTAGATCGTTGAGTTAGATGATTTAGGTGTATTTACAGAAAAGCTGGAAGTGAACGAAGGTTGTCTCGATTCATAGCTTCAAGTATGATCAGGTTAAAAACATACAAAATACAGCCCATCCTCATTACAGTCCGCCCTTATCAAAGGCCAAAATTGGTTACATGCAGGCGCCAAACCCTCTGTTTATGAATAAAAAAAAAAGGTTTATACACGACTCACAACTGATGACGTTTGAACATTTCTCGAGCAGTGCTTTGCTGACAACTTCTGTTCGAATCTCAGCTCTGTAAATGTCTCACCCACGTACTACAAATAAAACCAAGTTTATGAATGTCATTTATGAAATGATAAACACTGTGTTTTTTGTTTGTAGTGTCTGTACGTACATTTTTTCATCTAAATATGGCTGCTAGGTATTTATTTATTTATTTATATACAAGAAGGTACATTGGGTTTGTGAAAATACATAGCATAGTATTTACAATCTTGTAAAGTCACTAGTACGAGCAGCATTTCGGGCAGGTCCTTAATCTAACAGATAATTTTTAATAGGTAAATTCTAGCAGAATTAATAAAATGATAACAAATACATTGCAGGTAAAGTGCTAATTCCCGAACCCCACCAACCAGCTGTACGTCGCCTAATGAGATGATTCCCTTCCTTACTATCATCCACTTTTGAATCTATTTATTGAATTACCATTTTCCATCTCTCCCCATTTTGTCCATTCCATTTGCTCACGTCTCTTATGCAAAACAAGTTCTTTTTAACATCACTGTGTTTCATCTACACCTAAAATTTTCATCCAGTCTCCTTGTTACTCCCCTCCTAACTCATAACACAATTTTAAACGGAAATGTGATAAAAACGAACGAACAGTAGTTGCATTAAACTATGAAATGTTCAAAAGTTCGATCCTGCAAAGCACATCTAGATGAAAACGCATACAAGGATCATAAGATTACCATCCATTTTCCCTTGGTCCCTGCAGCACCTGCTGAATAACGACCTGGCCCTTCTGGTGGGCATCGTTCTTTCTTGCCTGGTCACCCCTGCTGCCCTCTACCTGTCGGGGGCCAGAGCCGACCGCCTTACAGATCAAGTGAGTCTGAATTGAAATTGAAATAAGTTTATTGAGGTAAAATACACACAGAGGGATGAGGTAGCTCAAGCTATTCTCACCCCGTTCAGTACATCGTGTTAATACATACATAGACACACATCACAAGCAATAAACATATTACCGAACATTCTGAGAGATAAACGTCTACATTTCCTAACAGTCTGTACTTGTACATGTTTGATCTGCCTGCACCAGTACGCTCTGACTATACCTGTATGTTCTTCCTCTATCTGTATGTTCTTCCTTTACCTGTTTAATCAATATATATCATTCTTCGAATTCATTTTATATGACATTTATTTTTTTAATAGTCAATTTTGCAATTACACTGGTCAAATTAACCTATGGAGCGTTTCCTCTATATTCAACATTACTAACTCAGGTTACTACTCCACATGCACGATAGATTACTTATATACAGACTAAGGCTTGTGTTTTAGATATCACTAAAGAAGAATGTTATCGCTGCATCATTTATGAAAGATTATCTAATATAACACTAACTACCCAACAGGCGAGTGCCCACCTTCCCTTGCTAGTGAGATTTCATCACTTAAGACAGGACCACAGAAGCTTTTCACAGGTAACAAAAATATTGAATGATTTATTCCTTAATTTAGGGAAACATATTATTGAGAGAACAGTTCTAATGTGAAGAAAATGTACAATATAAGAATACATGGGGACCGAATTACAGGCGTCATGCTCAGTGAGGAGTGTGAGAGTTGAAATTGAAACTGAAATAAGTTTATTGAGGTAAAATACACACAAAGGGATGAGGTAGCTCAAGCTATTCTCACCCCGTTCAGTACATCGTGTTAATACATACATAGACACACATCACAAACAATAAACATATTACCAAACATTCTGAGAGATAAACATATACATTTCCTGAGTGTGAGAGTTGGATACCGAAAGTAAACAAAAACAAAAAACGCAAATTTAAAGTAGATACGCTTATAGATCAACTTCAAATATGTTTATTGAGACAAGGAAGAAATACATCTCAAAGGGATAGAGTAGCTTAGGCTATTTCTACCCCACTACGCGCATAGAAGCAAGCGTTAACCGGACGTAGAAGCCGTAGTGAATCGGTAATGAATCTGACATTTGCAGGAGGCTTGCAGAGGCGAAGCAGGTGTGGTGGGGGCAAGCACAGGACGACCCTGGGTGTTCACGGTGTGTGGGCTCTACACTGTGAACCGGGGCAACCTACCTGCTGTAAGTATTGCTTTCTAGTCAAGATTGTGTAACTTGCTTAGCTAAATGAATTGTGAGGTTCAGTCCCTGAGCCCATTATGTGCCTCTGTAACCCTTTCCACTACCGTCCACAAGATGGGTATGGGGGTGCATAATATATGAACTAAACTTAAACTAACTAGTCTATATGTAATATATATATGGAAAAGCACATAGAAAAGCATTATTTAAAAACAATAATAATTACCGTGTTTTCATAAGATATATAGAATTATAAGTAGCTAGTTCATTAATAATTCAGAATTAATTATGAATTTCAGATTGTTCAAGCCGTCACATCCTACTTGGTGATACTTCTTCAGTTCTACTTTTCAGAGCTGTATAAAGAGTATTGAGGACAGGGAGGGGGGGGGGAGGGATTATCAGGGGAAAGCACCAAGCCATTACGACTATACAGCACTTGGAAGGGGTCAGGATAAGGATTTGGGATGGGACGGGGGAAAGGAATGGTGCCCAACCACTTGGACGGTCAGGGATTGAACGTCGACCTGCATGAAGCGAGACCGTCGCTCTACCGTCCAGCCCAAGTTTAGTTAAACACTTCTACTCAAACTGGTTGAGTAGAAGTGCTAAACTAAATATTGCTTTTGTATGCAAAGTGCTAGAAATGATAGTCCACTATATCTGTACCCTGAAATACAAGTGAAATACAAGTAATACCATTCACTAAATTTGTTGTATTGTAATGAAATAATTCACATGCAAAACTGTTTTATTCTTATTTAGTAAAGAAGTTAATATGTTACTTTATTCATTTCACCTGCTGTAAGACGGAATCTAAGGCCCTACTTAAAAGCAAGATTGGAGAGAGAGGATTCATAGAACGATTCCATTACTCCAAAACAATAATGAACTAGTTTAGTTTAGGTAAATATTTGCTTAGCATCAGTAATTGCAGCCAATCACCTCAGTCACATATGACCCGACCTATGGGCTGTCATGGGTACTACAATTGAGATTATTTTGTCAACCTAATAAATTTCAAATACTGTACCTACTAAACAACCAATCCTATTCTTTGATTATATTATAAATACTTTATTATTATTATTATGGAAAGAAATTTATAATACAACTTTAAAAATCCATTGTGCATCTCACCCTTAACTACTGTATCTAACCATCTACTAAGACAACTACTCGGGAATAGGTTAAGTGCAGAACGCTAACAATTATCCCACAACTGAGTTAACTTTCATAACGTGAAAAGTTGAAAACCTCAAGACTAAAAACTCAGCAAACAAGACATGACAAGGCTGATTATTCTTCACGAGACCTTTAAATCACTAAACCACTTCTTAAAAAGATCCATTATAACTCATACGAGGGACTAGTAGAACTTTAAGTTCAACAAGCCACAATGTAGGAGAGTCAACAGATGCCTTAATTCCCATGGAGTTTCCTTCTCACCAGTTATAAATGCCATGCCAGTGCTTCAGCTCAAAAATACAGCTGGAAAATACTTAGGTATAACAGAAACTTTCAATAAGCAATTAACAGACTCGTCTCCAAATCGAAATCTGAAAATATGGCCTTCAGGTAAATTCTGGTAAAAATAAAAAAGCCTTCCTAACAAATCTGCTTAAGTTTCTGGATACACTAGCCAATTGCAGGAGAAAGATTCCCAGTCAACTCAGTGAATGGACATTAAGTTTATTTTTTAAATATCTTGCCAAAACGCTGTGCGCACTAGTGCCTTTAGGTATAGTATATACTTGCTCCATCTAAAAATCCAGCATTCTGCCTGTAACTCATTTTTTATGTATGTATTTTTCCCTAAATAAAATTGTCATTGTTATTGTCATACTCTAGAGTCCCGCCTCATGACTGACCAAATAATGAAGACATTATCCGCTATATATCACGCCATTAGTTAAATAATTGCAAGTTATATCTTATAAACATATCAATTATGAAAGTAGCTCACCATATATGCAATGCTATCTATCTATTAGGCTATCTGTTTTAATTTCGAGAATGCCTATTGAATTTAAAATAATTTTTAATTTAATCTTTGGCTGCAATATAATGCTCTAATTTCAGTTGGTAAACAGTTAACATACTGCCTTATTTATATATACTTTAATTATTAATTAGATATATTTTAGATAGATATATTTTACAAAAATATTAACTAGAAGAATTATAAATTATACAATAAATCACAGTTCGTTGTTAAAATTAAAATCTGCATTAAAATCCTAGGTTGAATCCGGATGTTATTGTGAAAACGAGAAATTTGGCGCGTATTTCCAGCTGATACTGTTTGTTTACCCTCGAAGTCAGCATTCCCGTGAATTCTATATACTTTCCCAGTTCTTAGCATGTAAAATGGTGCTTCAAAACTCTGGGAGGTTTCGATCTGACAAGTTCGAAAAGAACAAGGATGGAGATGCCAGGTGAGGGGTTGGGTGTCCCAGGGAATTGGTTGTAGCTCAGTATACTTAGTAGCTACAAGAATTTTGCCCCAAAAGTGTAACAATTATATGCTGTACTTACTATATTAACCTGCAATGTTAAATGGGATTCTTGTAATGTTATTTGTCTATTTGTACTCACTGAATTTGTGCGCCCCTTGAGGGACTTGAAGTAGAGGGGGGTAGAAATAGCCTAAGCTACTCTCTCTCTTTGAGATGTATTTCTTTCTTATCTCAATAAACATACTTGAACTTGAATTGAACTTGTAGCTCATACAATAGAGGTGAAAATCTGTAAGCGGATCAGGTTATGTCCCCATTTATTTCTCCCATTTCCATTTAACCACATTTTCTTTATATAGATTTTATATACACTATTTTGATTTGGGTTATTTTTTTCAATTCTGGATATTTTGTTGAGGTTTGGGACCAGTTGGAATTGTGCATGACAAAACTGCTAAAAGAAAATAACAGGCAAAATTAAAAATTGCAGCACAGAAGTGCTCAGGTAAATTAATTTATGAATACCACATAGACATTATTGGTCCTAAATAAACATGGAAGGTTTAAATTCAATTTTTCATGATAGCTATACCGTATTATAAAGATGAATGTTGATTAGGCTCAATCACAAACAAATTTTGTTTACACAATTATATTTCTAGTAACATATAGATTTTTAAAACTCTAGTCTTAGGAGTTTTTTTTTTTTTGTTTTTTGTATCTGTTCTATACAGTACCTATTTTATTTGTTTTGGGAACTTTACCTTACTCAATATTTCTTTCCAAATAAGTGTTAGTCTTTGGTGATTTATATTTACCCTTCCCTTATTTTTGCCCCCATGCAGTGGACAAGATGAGGGATCTGACAGACGTCTGCAGCAGAGTTTGGAAAATGATGCTAGTGATGCCAAATTTGGCTTCAGCCGTTACAAGGAGCCACAGGAGAGGGTGGGATGGCTCCTCAACATGCACCCTGTAAGCTGCCATAGGTTCTTTTCTAGACCTATTTAACCTCAGTGTTTTACACTGCTTTTGCATATTTTTTCCAGTTTGACAGTGCTGTTAAAAAGTTTTATATTACCCTATAGATATTACTTGAGGTGCTGTGTACAGTATTATAAAATCTTGTTATTGTGCCAGCTTTAGTATATTGTAGTGTCCATACCAATTATACAAGAAATATTTTATTTTATTTATTTATTTATATATATGTCAAGAGTTCTTACCTTCTTGTAAACCCACCAGAACTGTGTTTCGGGCAGGTCCTTGATCCTAATTTTTCCCTGGAATACGACCTGCCAAATTGTTTAACAACCAGGTACCCCATTCACTGCTGGATGAACCGACACTACAGTTAAGGATTGGTTCCCAGTGAATCCTCCTTGGCCGGGATAAAAACCTAGGCCAAAGTGCTCGCAAAGCGCCGGGCGAGTGCTTTACCACTGCACCACGGGGACTGTCTACAGTATTATTACTGTATCTTCATTACCCTTTCTCCCTCGTCGTGGTCACACACCCTCATCCAGATCTGACTCCTTAAATTACAGTACTTATAAGTGTGCGAAATTGGTCAGTGCCAAACAAAGTTGATTCTGTGGTGGAAGAGTGTGTAGTTCATTTGTTTTGAGATAGATGAAAAAAAGAGAAGGCATGTTAGAAAGAGAAGAGAAGTTTTGTTATTGCCAAAGTAATGCATCAGTTAGTTCATTTTTGTATTCATGTACAGGTATTATTAATTTAGTTTTTTAGGGGTAGGGTGGAAATCTAATGAATTATTTACTTTGATAAATTGTGCTACTGTGTTACATTTTATAGAGATCTATTTCTGATTTTAGACAGAAATTCTTAATGAAGACAAGCGACTTGTGAGTGCTGTTGACTACTACTTTATCCAAGAAGATGGATCCAGATTTAAGGTAAGCCAGTGGAGCCATTTTCTCCATTACAAGGTGGATGTAGGAAAAAGAGAGCAAAGTGCCAAAGTGATAGAATAAGAGTAAAATTTTATGTGATTTTGGAAATTGTGCCAGGTTCAAGATGAATGAATAGTTATAAGTTCATGGAAAGGGGATTAGAGTATTTTGGTAAGGTTGCAGTTTGGGCCCTTGAGTGGGTAGCAAAATTCTTAGGACAAGTTTTTTGTATTATGTCTTATGTGTTTGTTAACTCACAATAAAATGTGTACATAATTATGGGTATATTCATGTACAAATTTACAGTACAGTAGCTACCTAAGTGTAGTTACAGGATGAGAGCTATGCTTGTGGTAACCCATCTTCCCAGTACCAGTAAAAATTTCCAGTAACTTTCTCAGCACTACGACCCTGCAGGGGTGCTTGAAAATCCCCGTGCTGTATAGTATATCACCTTTGCCTAACAGCATGACTTGATTCCCAAGGACACAATGGTATCTTACATAAGGGAACAGACAAATGGGCTGCTCTGAAATAAACTTTTCACGTATACTGAATGCCTTCTATTTCTGTACTATTGCATCATATTTTCCTTTGAGGGATTCATTTCTACGTACCTTGATACAAAGCTGCATTTAATGTACAATTTGAAGTTTGTACAGTATAGTAAAATAACCTAACAATTTGTTCTTATTTACAGGTGTCTCTACCATATCGTCCTTATTTCTTTGTCATGACAAAGAAAGAAGTTATACAAGATGTGACTACTTTTTTGAGTAAAAAGTTCTCAGGACAATTAGCCAGTGTTGAAGTTGTCAGGAAAGAAGATTTGGATTTAGTAAGTTGTTCTGTACTGTTTGTTTTTGTTATTAGGTATTCCTCTTTGTCATGTTCTTATCCATATGTTTTTCTTCAAGGTTTCCATTTAATCCATGCAATATACTCAGAAAGCTTCATCATATTGAATTGTTCATTTGATACATCATGCTATTGTGATTTCTGTGTGTATATTGAACTGAACCCTATAACATTAATTGGATAGTGTGTTTTGTGGCAAATGTAAATTTTTCTTAATATAACAACAATAGCTGCCAGTAATGAGAAATAATTTTTTCAAATTGATAGGGGTCAGCCCCAACCGAACCACACACCTGTGTTCCTTGCACCTTATCTATAATTACCTAAATGTAGTTGCAAGATGGTGTAACTACACAAGCGGTGTCCCGTTTTCCAAATACTGTATTGTTATCATATGATGCTTTGAAATTGCTGATGGTTTTAGCATCCACCATTTTTTCACTTAAATTGTTCCAACTTTCTTTAACTCTGTTCTCGAAAAATAACTTTTCATGTGTGCTTGTGTGTGTGTGTGTTAAAAACTGGTTTAAGGCTTTCTTTCATCGTACATTTCAGGATAACCATCTTACTGGCTTGAAGCAGACATTACTGAAGCTGTCTTTTATGACTGTCAATGACTTGATCAAGGTAAGATATTAACACTTGCATTCTGATGACTCTAAAATGTGTCATCCTTTCTCTGACAGTAAGAGTTCACATGATGTTAAAATGTGTCATCGGACTGCTATTCATAAACATTAGTACATTCATCTCTGTTGCATATAATAATTCTGTTTTTAGAGCATTAATTTGTGAAAATTTGGACACCAACTTTAAATGATGACCATATACAGTAATCTGAAAATATATTATAAATATTTTTATCTGTATATTATTATTATTATTATTATTATTATTATTATTATTATTATTATTATTATTATTATTATTATTATTATTATTATTACAGGTATTAAGTACTGTAATGATATCTTCCCATATAATAACACAGGATAAAATCCCACACTTGTGTATTTGTGAAATTTAGGTACAGAAATTACACCAAGTCTTACGCACTCTACTAAGTGCTTTGTCAAGGTCTTAAGTATGTAGTTAGATCGAGGCTTACATCTCAACGTCTAAACTTAATTAGACGTCGAAATGTAAGTCTTGTCCTAACCACGCACTCAAACCTTGACAAAGCACTCAGTAGAGTGCATAAGACTTGGTGTAATTTCTTAACATATACTTCACAAATGCAATAGCATAACACATGTTATGCTATTATTATGACTTTGTTAGGTAAATAATGTACTGTTATGTTGTGTAAACTAATTCTACCACAAAAGGCACAAACATTTATTATTATTAATACAGATTTTTTTTTAATTTGAATTTGAATAGGTAGTGACTAAGTGTAAAGAACACTTAAGCTATTGCTTGTGGTAATTTTCCATCATGTTCCCATGACTTTTAATAGGTTTTCCAAGTTTTCATCTATACAGTTCATCATCCTCCGAATAGATTCATAAATAATGTCTTGCTTTGTTTTCTGATCTTCAGGTACGGCAATCAATTCAGTCAGCTGTTAAAAGGAGCAAAGAAGCAGCCAAGTCAAAGACAGTTTACTCAGAGATGTTTTCTGCTCAGTTTGTTGGAGAGTCAAGTGAAACTAACAGGCGCATGCAGGACCACATGGAAAATCTACTTGATATGAGGTAGTAGTAGGCCCCCCCCCCCCCCCCTGCAGTCTCAGGAGACTATCGAGTTGAGCTCTGATAGACAGTATTAATAACCGAGATATGAGGTAATGCTTCAGTTATTAATACTGTCAGTGAAATCAAAATAATCACATATTATTGTGTTTGCATAGAGCACTTTCTTTACAGTTCTCGAGTTCCTTAACCTAAAAATAAAGAAATGTAGAAATTTTTTAGACCATTAATTTTTGCTTCTCATTGTGACTTGCAACAAAAATTGTTCAATATGTCTTCACTGTCTGAATTGTCTTTTGCATACCTCTGCTACATTTATTCCTTAATTCATTGGTATTTAGTCTGATTGCTCCATTCATACATGCCTTGATTACTTTATCATAGACCGTTTGATTATATTCTTTTCATTCTTCCTTTGATTACTCCACTTATATTTCCTTTCATTACTCTAATCATACACCTTTTCATTACTCCAATCATACACCTCTTCATTACTCCACATACACCTTTTCATTACTCTAATCATACCCCCTATGATTGCTCCAATCATGTGTCCTTTGAGAACTCGAATCATGCACTCTTTCATTACTCCTCTCATACACACTGTGATTACTCCAGTTATAAAATCTTTGATTACTTCAATCGTATTCCCTTTGATTATCTTGAGGTTATCTTGAGATGATTTCAGGGCTTTAGTGTCCCCTCGGCCCGGTCCTCGACCAGGTCTCCACCCCCAGGAAGCAGCCCGTGACAGCTGACTAACACCCAGGTACCTATTTTACTGCTAGGTAACAGGGGCATAGGGTGAAAGAAACTTTGCCCGTTGTTTCTCACCGGTGCCTGGGATCGAACCCAGGATTACAAGTCCAGTGTGCTGTCCGCTCGGCCAACCGGTTCCCTTTGATTGTTCTGCTCGTATACCCCATTTGATGCAGGGTGATATGTTTTGGAAACTTTGCCTTGTATCAAATACATTTGTTCACCTAGTTGCCTGTAGGTACCTGTGAGTTAGTTTTCTGTTGTGGATTGTATCCTGGGGAATGGCCAGTTTGTAGGTTACATTTATTGCATTGTTGTACATCCAAATGATGCCATAAATGTGTTGTATTTATTGCAGGAGGGAGCATTAAATATTAATGATAAAATAGGTGTTGGGTAAAGAATGGAAAAAGTGAACTTTTGGAGTCTTCAGAATTTATTCCTAATTTTTTAAAATACTGTGCTTTAAATTTGATTTGCCACACTTATTGTGGGAATTTATCACCTGAGCTAATCGAGGGGCTTCCATTAGTGAGTCTTGTTTAGACGAGATTATTTTATATTTCTGAATGTGAGCCATGCACTCATGATTCAGACATCAATACATTTGTTACTTCTGTTAATTTCTTGTAACCAATTTCTTTCAGAGAATATGATGTCCCTTACCATGTTCGAGTTTCAATCGATTGTAAAATTTTTGTTGGCTTGTGGTACTCCGTCCGAGGTGGTGGAACGGGATCGCCAATTATTAGCCGACGGGAAGACCTGTTGGTGTGGCCGGATTGTATTGTCTTGGCTTACGATATTGAAACTACCAAGTTGCCACTTAAGTTTCCTGATGCAAATACTGACCAGATTATGATGATATCTTACATGATTGATGGCCAGGTAAGGAGAGTACAGGATTTATCACACAGGCAACATGTACTGTACTATATACTGTAGTTTGGATTTGAGTAAAGTTCAGAAGAATGTTGTATGGTATTGATATTTAAATATAGTCTCCAATTATAAGGGAAATATGATTTTGATTCTTTTATCATATGTTAGAGAGCATAAGAATTTTATGTTTTTGACTTTTACTTCTCTAGCAGAAGAATTTTGGTACCTCAGTCTTTGAATAAAAATAAGCTGTGCAGCTTCTGTATATTTCATATCTTTTTATGTATAAAGCACTAAGTTAATGTTTTTATTCTTGCTCCTAATTCAACCCATCTTCCAATAACAATCACAATTTGTGATAGGATGAAGGTAAAGTAAAAACATTTTTAATTGTGGCTGTGTATATTATAAATATTGCAATACTGTATACAATTGTTAGGTTCATACAAGGTCAATATTGCATGGGATGGAGGAAGGTGCAAATGAGATAGGATAATACATCTGGCTGGCAGTAGAGGATGGGTGACCTAAATGACATGGGATAATATTTTTAACTGACTGGGAACAGAAGGGGATAATCAAAACTAAATTTTATTATGCAGTACAGAACTTGATTTTATTATACAGTACAGTATAATAAGTTGTTGAGAACAAAGGGTGATCAAAACAGAAGGGGATAATCAGAACTAAATTTTACTATGCAGTACAGAACTTGATTTTATTATGCAGTATAGAACTTGATTTTATTATGCAGTACAGAACTTGATTTTATTATGCAGTACAGAACTTGATTTTATTATGCAGTATAGAACTTGATTTTATTATGCAGTACAGAACTTGATTTTATTATGCAGTACAGTATAATAAGTTGTTGAGAACAAAGGGTGGGGTAATCAAAATTATGCACATATAGCCTTGAATGTTGTACCTGCATTTACATATTTTTTTAATTTGTGTTTAAATTAGGAAAATGCTGTGTAGAGCTGTTTTTCATGTATGTATTTTAATAGCAGTCAAGTTCAAGTAGACATCCTACAGTTTTTATCACAATTAAATGTCATGCTGGCATGCTTTACTCATTAAGAATATGCTTGCTAAATTTTTGGTGCATGTGTAATGCCTGAGAGCTGTGAGGACAAGCACACATTGTGAAGAGGACATTTTTATTATTTTCAGTGTATTTAGATAACTTTTTTTATAATATAGTGCCACTTTTTTAATTTTAGGGTTACCTCATAACTAACCGAGAGATTGTCAGTGAAGATGTTGAAGATTTTGAATACACCCCTCGACCAGAGTTTGAAGGACCCTTCATGGTTTTCAATGAAGCTAATGAAATGGCGCTCATTCAAAGATTCTTTGATCACATCTTAGAGGTAAGTTAAGTAAATACAAAAGATATTACATAACTCTAGCATACAGTTATTATGTTAATGGGTGTTAGTCAGCTGTCACTGGCTGCTTCCTGGGGGTGGAGGCCTGGTCGAGGACCGGGCCGCGGGGACACTAAAGCCCCGAAATCATCTCAAGATAAGAATATCTCAAGAAGAAGATACAGTGTCATCTTGTTCCAATGGAACCCAGTCTGGCAGAAAATTGGATGTGACACAGGATTTGGTTCCAGTTTTTTAAAACACTTGCAACAGATATCATTGTGATGAAATGAAACACCTGTTCTCTTGCACTGGATCACACTTGAGATAGGTTTATAGAAACATTTGAAAAATACATTAAATTTATCAATACTAATTGATGGATGTACTATTACAAAATTTATTGTTACATCTATAAACAAGATGACCTGTTTAATCACGTTCCTGCATAATTTCGTAGAAAGGCTTAACCCAAAATGTGCTTTGAAGTTGAAAGGTCAACGAACATGAACAAATCCACAAGGGCCGTGACGAGGATTCGAACCTGCGTCCGGGAGCATCCCAGACACTGCCTTAATCGACTGAGCTACGACAGGGTTAAAAGGGTTGAAACCGAAGTGCTACTGAACTTACTGGATAATGAAATGGCGCTCATTCAAAGATTCTTTGATCACATATTAGAGGTCGAATCCTCGTCACGGCCCTTGTGGATTTGATCATTTGATGCATTATGTTAGTGTGATCTCTGTGTGTGGTCAATGAACATGTTTTGAATAAAAGACTGTGGTGGATTTCATTTTGAGAAGACAGTTTAACTCAGTGGAGGCTGAAGTTTTGCTTGTCATTATAAGTATTTTTCTGATATATGGGTGTTTGGTAAATGTTTATTTAAATGTTTGGTAAAAATAATGCCATTTATTGTCTGGCAACTTTGACAAAACCAACTTGCAGTATTATGGGATCAAATTAACACCTAAAATGTCAGGAACTCTACAAATTCAACAATTACAAAAATTTATTCATATGTCTTTAGTGCATTTATAGTTGGGTTCGTATACATAAGTTTACTGTGAATTATTTACCTAAGAGAAAGTCTTAAAAAATGATAACATGAATATTTGATGATAATACAATTTAATACAATTTTGTATATGAGAATACATATAAACTAATCATTTAATGACTTTGTACAAAAAATTTGCACACCCTCATTTTTGCTCTCATTTGGCAGATTCTAGGCCTAACCCAAATCAAATTCACTCCCAACACACAGTTCATGCAACATAAATCTGACTTCCATAGGAGTCAAAAGGCCTGTCAGTAATCCATCTCTTTGTAACAGTAGTTCCTTCAAATTTCCAATTATGCAGTTGGGGTCCTGCTTTCGCTGCTGACTAGGTGTTTTGTTTTATCCTGTATACCTGCCACAACATTATATACATATCACTCATTTTCAAGTTGTATTTCCTGACAATTAAGTATATATTTCTGGAAAAGTTGGAGTGGCCAATGACAAGCAGGTGCCTGAAAAAGGAATCAGGTTTGCTAGATGGATGATTCCCATCAGACAAAAGGATATCATTTGTTTGTGAACAGTTACTTTTTTTTTTTTTTTTTTTTTTGAGATATATACAAGAGTTGTTACATTCTTGTACAGCCACTAGTACGCGTAGCGTTTCGGGCAGGTCCCTGGAATACGATCCCTGCCGCGAAGAATCGTTTTTTCATCCAAGTACACATTTTACTGTTGCGTTAAACAGAGGCTACAGTTAAGGAATTGCGCCCAGTAAATCCTCCCCGGCCAGGATACGAACCCATGACATAGCGCTCGCGGAACGCCAGGCGAGTGTCTTACCACTACACCACGGAGACTGTAAATTCAAGTATCAAGACCCATACTTCAAGTATGGGTCTGGACATCAGGCCTAATATGAGATTGCAATGAGTGCAATTGCAGTGACTACTTTCTCAACCATTACAGGTGTTAAAGATTAGGGGCAGGGTGCATGCATGCAGGTCTCTCATACAGCTGTAGTTAAATCAATTTCAATCTTACCTGTATTATATCTTGCACTGTTGTCCAATGTGGAATATTTCTTTTAAAACATTACTTATATTATTGGGCCCAGAGGCATTGTCCATGACATTTGTTACCCTTCTTCATGAACTTTTTATTTTTCTAATTTCACCCCAAAATTCTTAAAACATTTCTCTAGAAAGGTTATCAGCAGCTTCTGATCTTACAATGTTATCTATATTACTATACTAACATGCTGAAATATGAAAGATTTCTTAAAACAAAAAACAACTAAAATAACTTTTTCCCCATATTTATGGGATGTTTATGAAATTTAAATGAAAATTTCAGTTTCATTTCATGTATTTTATAAAAATACTTTATAAACTACCTTACTTTATTGCTTCCTAAAGCACGATTCTACAAACCTCTTGTTAGAATTTGGTGCAGTCACAAGTTGAGATTGTGTGTTGACAGTTTGGGGATCTTTTCAGACTGGTCCTGTCTAGTCATTCTTGTGGTAGGGAGACACTGGAGAACACCTGAGCTCACCAAGAATGCAGAGAGAAAGTTGCTTTACATTAACCTAAAAATCCTCTCCAGACCAAACTTTTAACATCAAAATACTAGCACTGACACTACATGAAACTACTTTAGATCAGTCTTCCTACATTTTATCTTGATAAGTCTTGCAGGTTATATCAGTAGGTATATAGACCATAGACCAGAAATTTCCAATGAGTAGCTTCTGTTATCCTCAGGAACTTGTACATGCCATGTTAATGAATGCTTCTTCAGTGTTCTTATTTGATAACCAATTCCCATTAGATTTTTATATGCCCTGTAATGTATAATACTGTATTTTAAATTACTAGTTAAAATAAGACTGCTGCATTGTAATTGTGTAACATTAGTTGCAGGTTTTTGTCTTTCTATTAATGAGAAATTTAAGGTTCTTGATATTCTCTTTGTTTTTAATTAAAGCCATTAATATTTTTCACTGATGAGTCACTTACTCTCTATTTTAAAAAGGTTTTATTTGTTAAATAACATATTTTTCAGTTACTCTTTTGATCTAATTTAAAGTATTCCATGAAAGGTTTTCTCACACAAGGGCAATGATATATCACTGCTGTCTAGGTTATGGTGATAAGCTACTATGTTAATAAAGTATTGGTAATAATGTCTTGGAACACTAATGTGAAAGTAAAAAAGTTTCATTATGAATTGTTTTCTCTCCAGGTGAAACCTCATATCTTTGTCACATACAATGGAGACTTTTTTGATTGGCCATTTGTGGAGGCACGTGCAGCATTCCACAATTTAGACATGTTCCGTGAGATTGGCTTCTCCAAAAATCGGGAAGGAGTGTACTTCTCTCGTCCCTGCATTCACATGGACTGCTTGTGGTTGGTCTGATATTTTGATGTGTGAACTTGAATCATCACATTTTATTGCAAAATTCTTAGTTTACATTTTATTGAATTGTAGTGTTCTTCTGTAATAATGTTTGTAACTGGTGCGAAATATACTTTTTGTTTATATGTCGTTTATGTTTTATCTACAGTTGGGTGAAGCGAGATTCTTACCTACCTGTAGGATCACAGAATTTGAAGGCTGTGGCCAAAGCCAAGTTGCGATATGATCCTGTGGAGCTTGACCCAGAAGATATGTGCCCTCTTGCAGCAGAACAGCCGCAGGTTAGCAGGTTCTATGTTTACAGTAGTTTTATATTTAGCCGAATGACATGACACTTTATGTATATTGTAACATATTACTGTAGTTGATATATTTCTCTATGTTTTACACCCGTATCATCCCATAGAGGTCGGAGTAAGGAAAGCGAGATTCGGTATATATGTTGTTTGATATGTTTACTTTCCTCAACACGAAAGCATTGCACAAAGTGTGTCATTACTAATTATCACATCTGTTGCGTATTACTGATTATTTAAATTATGTTTTAGATCTTGGCGAATTATTCGGTATCAGATGCTGTGGCCACATATTACCTGTATATGAAATACGTCCACCCATTCATCCTTGCTCTCTGCACTATTATTCCCATGGAACCAGATGAGGTAAGGATACAAATATATTAGTATATTATTATTGTATAATATTTAATTCATAGATTATTTCTATTTATTGAAAGTGTTATATTTCTTATATTTTGTAGTCACTACTGTTAGTACTGAAATTAGGTCTTACAGGCATCATGATTACATAACTTTTTATGCTTGAACATATATGATATTTATATATGATTCCCTTTAATATTTTCATACCTTTCTTTCTAGAATTGAAAACATTTGTGCTAAGTTATTTATCTACAGGTGCTACGCAAGGGATCAGGCACGCTGTGTGAGGCTCTGTTGATGGTAGAAGCTTATCATGTTAACATTGTGTACCCAAATAAACAAGTGTCCCAATATAACAAGCTTACTTCTGATGGTCGTGTTTTAGATCAAGAGACCTATGTTGGAGGACACGTAGAAGCTATAGAATCGGGAGTATTTCGTGCAGATATTCCTTGTAGATTTAGGATGGTAAGTAATGTACTGTGTTTGGATCTTATTCTGTATTAAATAAATTTGAGATAAACATTTTGTGACCTCATTTCTAAATGCTGTTCCCATTGAAAATGGCTTTTGATTAGAAATTAAGCTTCCTAAACCAGCTATATATACTGAGTCTTCTGGGTCATGCATATAGCTTTTTGATAGGTTTTGACAAGTTCAAAATAATTTCAAAATACAGTTTTGAATAAGAAAATAAAGGGATGAATGAACAGTCCATTTATGGTCCTGTTTAAGCAGATGTTAACCTATGTACACAGCCCATCACATCTGTGCTTTTAGGTTTCAAGCTGAATAACGGATAGTAACCTGTTCACTCTTAGGTTTCAAGTTGAACCAATGATAGTGAATGTGACCTTCAGTCAAATTTTGACTGGCTCATTCTTTTAGTTTTCAAAATTTTCTCACGTTCAGCTGCAAAAGGCAAGTACAGAACTGTATTTGTTCATAGTACATTAATATATATAATAATGTCACAGATTTTACTCATTTCAAAATTCATATCAAAAGAATTTGTTGCAATATAACCTTAATTCCAACCCAATGCATAAAATTGATTGCAGAAATATATAAAATCTATAAAAATGTTTTCATGAAATAGAAGCAAGGTATTTTTCTATCTGGCTGCTCCACTCTTAAAAGGTTAACAAAAAATCTGAATATTTAAGCAAATATATTAATCAATGCTATGGGGGGCATTAAAGCATAAATGTATGTAATAACTGATGTTTTTGGGGAAAATTAGTGTAATGATTGTCCTAGATATTTAAAATAATTTTTTGTTATACAAATTCATAATACGATTATTTGTATAATTCGGTGTGTTAAGCTCCTTTATATCTACAGGTTCCAGAAGCCTTCCAAAAGTTGTTGGACAATGTGGACCGCACAATTAAGTTTTGTGTTGAAGTAGAAGAAGGTATCCCATTAGAACAGGTGACAAATTATTCTGAAGTGGTGGATGATATTAAGAAGAAACTAGTGGATTTACGGGATACCCCTTGCCGGTTAGAAAATCCCCTGATTTACCATCTTGATGTTGGAGCTATGTATCCAAATATCATTCTCACCAATCGACTTCAACCATCAGCTATGGTTTGTCCAAGATGAAAGTTTTCTTTTAGTAATAATCATAATATTACTGTCATCAGTTTATTGGCTAAGACAATAAAGACATAAGTTACCTAAAAGGTTATTGAATGAAACAGTCATTGACAAGTATATTAGTGTACATAACATTTCACATGGTGAAGAAGCTCTTAATCGTGTGAAATATCATTGTGTTAGAAGTACTACATTTGGGTGCGAATGATGGAAATTGTTAAATCAATTGGGGAAAGAAATCGCAAACTGATTTGCACAGAGGAGGAAATTGCAGGTAGCAGTATAAGGGTTAAGTGACTATTAGCTCAGATGGCTTAACTTTTCAGCTGACATTTGGATAAAGATACAATGACACAGAATAATAAGGTACATAATGTATTTACTTATCATTCAGGTTGATGAAACTGTGTGTGCTGCCTGTGACTTCAACAAACCAGGTGCAACATGTCAACGCAAGATGTCTTGGATCTGGCGAGGTGATGTCATACCGGCATCTCGTAGTGAATTTCAGAGGATTCAGCAGCAGTTAGAAACTGAGCGTTTTCCTCCTGCTTTTCCTGGCATGAAACACAGAGCTTTCCATGAGCTTAACAAGTAATTACTCCCTGTGTATTTTTTAAATATTAACCTTTATTAATAACAACAGTTATGTTTGAAGATAAAACATTATTTTTTTAGTATCCTGTTTATACAAATCAACTTACTGTTGCATAAAAATCACGACGTCTATCTCATATTCATTAATATCTAATTTGTGCATGCATATTTTTATATTTGGTTTAAGATTATACTGCACTAACACTGTTATCAAGGATGTTATATGTGCATGTCATTGAATCCTAACCATTATATTGTACCTTCCCTTCATGTCTTAAACCAATTGCATTACTTTCCCTAATGTCCATAATCTTTATTTGCATAAGTTATGAATGTTGTTTTTTACTTCCTGCCATTCTATTATTCTTGCAAGTCCCCCCTCTATAAGCTCCCCTCTGTAACCCCCCCTCAGTAACCCCCCCCTCAGTAACCCCCCCTTTGTAACTCCCCCTCTGTAACCCCCCCCTTTGTAACCCCCCCCTTTGTAACCCCCCCCTTTGTAACCCCCCCCTTTGTAACCCCCCTTTGTCAGCCACCCTCTGTAATTTCTCTAAATGTCTTAACAGAGAGGATCAAGCTACTGCTGAAAAGAAGCGTCTCCAAGAGTACTGTCGTAAAGCCTATAAGAAAATTAAGGAAACAAGAACTGAGGAGCGTTGGCAGACCATATGTCAGCGGGAAAACAGCTTTTATGTCAACACTGTGAGATCTTTCCGAGATCGCCGATATGAATACAAAGGCCTTCTGAAAGTGGCTAAAAAAGAGTTAACAGAGGCACAATCAAAGGTATAAATAAGGCTGAAGTTATGTACTGTAATTATATCAATATACCTTTCAATTAGTTTTGTTAATTATACAAAAATGAAGAGGATGTGGTATTAAATTTAGGACTAGCATATAAATGTAATTAATCATTTTCCTATGATTACTGTATTTGACAAATTAAGTTATTAAATATTAATGATGTTGTGGATTTCTAATATTTATGTATATGTATATAACTTTTTAGTACTATATTTACAGCCCTTAAATTCTGCATGGTGACTGCTTCTGGGCAATAAGGCCATGGTAATACTGCCCATACTCTTATGTACTGTGCAGCCTGCTACTTTTCTTTGTTAGATTTTTGGTATCTTGTTGCATTACTACAGTATGTCACTTCAGTTGATCTAAAACAGGTTATAAGTAATTGAGGTACACTGTACTTCTATGAGATGTTCTCATCATGTGAAATTCGTTTAATCTGTTACTCAGAGTTTACACATTAACTACATTTAATATACTGATATTATTTCAGGGGGATCCTTCAGAAATCAAGGCAGCGAATGCTCGAGCTGTGTTATATGACTCCCTACAGCTTGCTCATAAGTGTATTCTCAACTCATTCTATGGTTATGTCATGAGAAAAGGATCTCGTTGGCACTCCATGGAGATGGCTGGTATTGTCTGCTATACTGGAGCCACTATCATCACCCGATCTAGGGAAATTGTTGAGCAGGTAAGACCAATGCGGTATCATAGATTTCATTTTCTTCCTTTTAATTTTACTGTCATGGTGAGGGCCTGAGCCTTATGTTTTTTGCTCTAGGTGGCCGAGTGAGCAACCTCAGATATCACTCAGAAAGTAGTGTTTCACCATTCTTGATACCCTACTTCTTTCTTCTTTTATCCTTTTTAATTTTACTGTTGGCAACTGCAGTAAAGCTTAAAGAAAAATCAATAAAGTAATATTTGTGATCATTAATATATTGTATATCTATTTTTCTGTTATCATTTGCTGATTTGTGTTGTTATTTCCCAGTTTTATGTCAATGATGTAAGTATGGGTATACTCTAATACATTTATATGGATGTAATGGCATTAACCAAGATTCATTAACAGATTCTGCTACTGTTTAAAACCTCATTGCTTGCTATGCAATGAGGTTATCATGTATTAGAAGCCTGCAGTTATAGTCAAATCACAATTTGGTCCTTCCCCATGTGTTTGAATCCATGGCTGGATGACATTCCCAGACAGAATTACAGCAATGGAGCGGGTTACAAGATACTTCCTTTGAGCTGTGCCAAGGACAGATTTATGTACAGTACATGTACACATTACATTGTAGGCCAAAAACAGTTCTCAGTCACTGTTTTTGTCATTTATGTGTACATAAATAGAGGTGTTAGATACAAATAGTGTGAGCTAATAAATGATACAATGAACATCAAAACATACAAGGTGAACATATATCTTCTCTTGCAATAATATGATGTCATCATTGTCATATTGGGCATCAAATGACAATGAACAATGAATGACCTAGCCACCTGGCTTCCTCCTATAACTCGAGAAACAAAAAAAAAGAAATATATTTTATTTATTTGGCTTTACTTTTTACATGCAAATGTAATATTCTATAATAATGTTATTTTTGGTCACACAGACAAAGTGACAATTTTGATAACTGCATGTTGAGGATTACAAGAATATATATCATAAATAGTTTGGTTTAGTTTCAGATAAGAAGTAATTGAAACATTAAAGGAAAAATTCAGTGAGTTAAGTGATTTAGCTCTACAGTATTGACATCTATTCTTGCAGATTGGTCGTCCATTGGAGTTAGACACTGATGGCATTTGGTGCATCCTCCCGTCTTCGTTTCCAGAGAACTATGTCATCAAAACCAATAATCCTAAGAAGGCTAAAGTAACCATATCTTTTCCAGGAGCTATTCTTAATGTTATGGTGAAAGATCATTATACAAATCACCAATATCATGACCTTGTGAATCCAGAAAAGTTGGAGTACTCTGTACGATCAGAAAACTCTATTTTCTTTGAGGTTAGTATATATTCACTCGTTACGAATTAATGTTCACTTTTGTGTTGTATTTATGAAGCATTGTAAATATCAAGGTTAAAGCTGATTTCTATGAACTCATGGCATCTTCTGATGAATATATAAATCATTCTGCATGATTTATATATTCATCAGACTTATATTTATATTTGTTATTTACCAGTACATACATTTGATCTCAGGCACATGATTTGTATGTATTCCCTCTGCATTTCTCTATGCCACTTACTTGCTCCATAAGCAAAGAACATCCTAGCCCCAGGACATGTCTAAGCTTAGTCAGAGAAGGCGGACAATCTGTATCTGCACCGTGACAATTTTTTCAAGTTTCCTGTAAGGTTATACTGATGCTAGAGGGAGACACTGGGGAACTCTTGATTCAGTCCAGAATCACTGCTAAAAGGCATATTTCAAGAACTTCAACACTTTCCAAACATTAATTTACAACTGAAGAAGTTCCAATTATCATTCATGCTAACCAATGGATAGACCACCAGGTGGCTACACCTGTTATGGTGTTGGTGCTGTCACCTGGTGGCAGTCTGTGGTAGTGATCAATTGGGTTCTTCACAAATTAGCTAGTGTAGTTTGGTAGTTTCTTACACCTGGAAAGGCTGTTGAGTTTATGGAATGCACTTCTTTATCTGTATTCTTGGCTAGATTCTCCAGCATCTCCCTAACACCGATATGACTTGACAGGAACAGTTGGAAAGATACCCACTGTGCTGGTGCAGGAAGTTAACTTGCCCCGACTGCACAAAATCCTGACCAGGAGTTGGTAGGATCTTATGGAGCAACTGAGTGTATTGCTTTTTCATATTTATTCAAAGTTTGATTGACTATAAAAATTACTCATATCAAAATATTTAAATTTTAGTTATCTGTTGATACATAGCTTTATACATTTTTTAATTTTGGTTATGTGAATGTATGTATCAGTAACATTGGTGTTATTAGGTGGATGGCCCATATCAGGCAATGATACTCCCAGCATCTAAGGAAGAAGGCAAGAAACTAAAGAAACGTTATGCTGTATTCAATTTTGATGGCTCATTGGCTGAACTTAAAGGATTTGAAGTTAAGCGCCGTGGAGAATTACAGCTGATTAAGATTTTCCAGTCATCTGTTTTTGAAGCTTTCCTGAAGGGGGATACTCTGGAAACATGCTATGCTAGTGTTGCTAAGGTGAGAAACATTTTAAAGTAGTCTTTGGTTTAATCGGTAAATTCAAAAGTAACTATGAACAAGGTTTTTAGATAATGAAAAATAATGTCTAATATGACATTGTGAAATGCATAGAGGAACTGTAAAGTTTTTAATGGCCCAACTTTTCTAACTAGTGTTATAATTACAGCTAAATTTGTATGAGTTTTTACTATACTATGGAGTACAAAATTAAAAAAAACTCGTGTACCTAACACCATTATTTTTGCTGCTCCAGTCAAATTTATTTGAATAAATTTAGGCTTTTATTATGATAATTATTATTATAATTAACTCTTAATATTATGTGGTAGGTACATTCTTGGAAAATTTTGTAATTACAATATCTAAAACTGCATTCAAAACTGAATAACATTAAAATCACTAGGGCTATATTTTCAGACCTGACAGTTATATATTAGAGGCATACTCTGATTCATATATTGGTGTTATGTGTGCAGAAATTGAGAATGTTTGTGATGGAAGGAATTGGCAAAAGGGTGGGAGTGTGTATGTTTATGTAAAGAATGAGACTTCAAAGACAGAGAAGAACAATTGTAAGCGAAGGAAGCAAGATCATGCAGGCGATGAGTCACAATAACGTGGCTAAAGTAATTTGACCAGACTACACACTAGAAGGTGAAGGGACGACGACGTTTCGGTCCGTCCTGGACCATTCTCAAGTCAATTGTGTTGACAATCGACTTGAGAATGATCCAGGACGGACCGAAATGTCGTCGTCCCTTCACCTTCTAGTGTGTGGTCTGGTCAAAGCAAGATGATAATGCTACACACTGTAGATTCATTAAGAACATCTATGGTCAATTGCATACTTAGCTAAGCTCACTGTTTTCTGCTTTACTCTTCTCATTTACTTCATACTTGTTTTAGAACCGATTTGAAACCTGTAATATGCAATGTAAACAGCACAAATTGCTGAGGATACAGCTTAACTGAGGAGGAAGCAGTATCCATGACTTTTTCAAAGCATTAGTTTACATGCAAACACATGTTATGTACTGTAATATACTGCTGTATGTAATTACCTAAGTATAGTTACAGCATAAGAGCTTCACTTCTGGTGTCTCGTTTTTTTCATATGACGTTTTGAAACTTAAGACGGTTTTGGCATCCACGACTAAGATTTTATCTTAGACTTCCAATGCATTACCTACATAAATTTCATTGTAACTATCCTCTGTGCTAATAGGATTGTATTATGTGAATGCACCAAAATTGTTTTAAAACTTTTGTGCTGAATGGCAATCACATCACTGATTGTGATGTGTAGTTGAATGGTTAATATTAGTAAAGAATAAATATGTTGGAATTAATAATAGTACACAATATAAATTTAGGGTCACTAACTCAAATAAAGTATTGTACAGATTATGTTATAGTATATGGATAATTAATTTTTTAAAAGGTCTTATGCAGGAATATCCTTAAATCACTATACTCACTACCGTCTTTTTCTTCCCTGACATCTTAGCTATATAGTCACACCATACTGGCTTTGGGCTTTTTATATAATTACTTAATTTTGTTAAAGTTTAAACATCAACATTCCATTCCTTTCCTTTTATTTTAGGTTGCAGATTATTGGCTTGATGTCTTGTACAGTAAAGCTGCCAATATGCCTGATTCAGAATTGTTCGACTTAATCTCGGAGAATCGGTCAATGAGTCGCAAACTGGAGGAATACGGAGACCAAAAGTCCAAGTCCATTTCCACAGCCAAGCGACTTGCAGAGTTCTTAGGAGACCAGATGGTGAAGGATGCAGGTCTCAGTTGTAGGTTTATTATCTCAAAGAAACCTGAAGGTGCACCAGTTACTGAAAGGTGAGATTGCTCAAGAAAGAAACAGAAAGACTGATAAGTTTTATGGTCAAGGTCAAGTGCTGGTATTAATCATTGAGCATTACCAAAAATTATAACTTGGCATTGGTTTTCTAATTATCTAAATCAAGTAGTAAGTTTATCGGTATCCTTATTACCTAGAGTAGAATATTAAAAAAGATGTTAGTCAACCTTTCTTTATCTCTTGCATCGCCTAAAAACTTAATATAATAGTCCTCCATAAGTAATAAAATTAAGCACAAGTAGCAAATGTTAATAGAAGATTATTATTTTTCCTCAGGGCCATTCCACTTGGCATCTTTCAAGCAGAGCCATCAGTGAAACATCACTATTTGCGCCGCTGGCTGAAGAATCCTTCACTGACTAACTTTGATATCAGGAATATTCTTGATTGGAATTACTACATAGAAAGATTGTCAGGAACAGTAATGAAAATTATTACCATCCCTGCAGCCCTTCAGGTATTGTTCTTAGTTGTTTTATATACCCAGCTACATAATATACATTTACATTAATATATTTAATTCATAACTTTTTTATGCTAGCCCCTTCAATAATTTACCAAAACTTAGCTTAGGCACCGAGTTCCAAAGATCTTTCCAAATGTAACAGGCCCCTATCACTTATGTACCCTACTAGTAACCAAGATCAGAATCTAGTTATTTCATAGAGAGAAAGGGAGCATGGGGCGAAGAGATCGACCCAAAACCGAGGAAACTACAGTATTGAACAGTGGTACCTCCGTTTTCAAATTTAATCCATTCCCAGAGTCAGTTCAAACACTGAATATTCGAAAACCGAAACAAATTTTCAAATAAATAATGTAAATTGAATTAGTGTATTCCACATTCCCAAAAATATGAACTTAAAAATACATTTTATACATACTGCTACTCATATGTTGTACTACAGTATGTACAAGTATATCTTATCGTTATTGAGATCTCTTGTTGGCGTATTGAAGACAGTAAGGAAGGGGGGGTAGGAGAGGTGTTAGTGTTTGGAAGGGGAGTCCCCTTCCATTATAACAGCAGTGATGACATTTCTGGGGTACTCTCTTGCATTTTGCAGGCATATCACTAGGGCCTGGTTGTGGCCCCACTGCTTGCTTGCTTGTCTTACTAAGAATCTGTCTAGACACTTGTTTTTCCCTTCTTTTTAACACTTGTCTGTAGTGAGACAGCACATTCTTACTATGAATGATCTCTTGTTTTACTCTATCGTCATCCTCACAACTATTTTCTTAGGTTGAACTTTGAACACTTAACTTACTTGGAACCCCATGGCATGATATATAACAAGAACTTTTATGTTCAAAAACCAAAAAAGCACAAAAACTATAAAATTCTTTACAAAGAATTCAAGTGCAGTCGTCACAAGGCGGGAGACACCGGTAAACTGAAGCGCGACACATGCTCGGTCGGCTCATATGTGTATCAACAAACTCGAGCACCGAGGCAAACTTCGAATTCCGAGTCAATTTTTTTTAAGAAATTGAGCTCGAGAATAGAAAAATTTGAAATGAAGGGCGTTTGAAAACTGAGGTTCCACTGTACAGTACTTGTAAATTCGTAATCGAAATAAGCCATTGCTCTTAATAGGAAAATTAAATAAGGAAAACAAGGCAAAATGGTAAACATCCCTTCTTTTAACTCTCCTAACTGCCATCAGATGGCAGCCAAGGTCACCTAGGGTCTTAACCTAGGTGACCTTGGGATCTCGTAATTTTGTCCCCTTTCCTCATAAGTGAAAAGAGTGCAACACTGGAGCCTTTTTATTTTGGTCTGGTGACTGGACGGTTTCCTGATTTTGGTTTGGTGACATTCTTGGTGGTGTCCTCTATCATTGGTGTATCTATGATCCCCATGCTTCTCTCATCTGTGAAAGAACCAGACATTAATTCTGGTTTTATGTGTCTAAATTTAATTGTACATTTTTTTTGTAAAGATGAGACTCAATGGCACTGATGAGACAAATTTTAGAGTTTTTATCAGTGCTCTTTGTTTGGGATTACTGTGGGATGAGTAACTTTATTTTTTGTTAGGAAGTGAATCAGTTATTTTGGTGTACCTAGATGCGATAAGCCATCCTGCACTATCCAGTAAGATGTAGTTGTTAATTTGCTTTTCTAAACTAGCAAAAAAAAAATTATACTCTGCCATTTTTTATTACATTTGAATTTATATAACATTGATGCTATATTTGTCCGCATGACATCACAATGTTTGGATTACTCGTGCTAACTTATGTTAACTGATAATTGAAATATAAAAAATATTCTATAATCAGGGCATTGCTAATCCAGTGCCTAGAGTGGCTCATCCTGATTGGCTCCACAAGAAGGTACTTGAAAGGAATGACACCTTCAAGCAGCGCCGCATCACAGACATGTTCACTGCTGCTCCAAAAACAAAACCTCAGAGACGGCTACAGACTGTGCAGGAGGATGTAAGGTTCAAATCAGTGTTTATACTCATGTTTACTGAAAATTTCTCTCTCATAATTAGTTAGCAAGTATGTTAGAAATTAAAAATAGACAAAAATAATAATGTATGTAAGGCAAGAAATTCTTAAAAATCTACTCGTGGCATTGTGTGTTCTTTGCTATAATAAGTATCAATATATTTTAATTTTCTGCTGGCAAGCAGCCATGCACATTTGTAATGTTTACCGTACATTGTCATTTCAGCCTGATCAGGATCTCTTTGCATCACAAGATGCACCAGATATAGAAGATGTTTTGGCACCACAGTCACAGATTCCAAAAGCTCTGGGGCCAACTGTAACAAGTTCCAAACGCAAGAGAGCATCAGACTTGAGTAAAGAAAGTGATGACTTGACTAAAAGTTGGCGAGATGTCCTGGGCAACCCTCCCAGCATGGGTAACTCTAAGGTAAGTTTGTGAATATGAGTACAACTGGGGCCCCTCTATGTCAAGATAGTCAACAGCTTGGGGTCACTCATTTTTACTGAACATTTTGTCAGGTTCGCCAACTGTTTAGTGAGTATTCTTAAAAGAAATCTCCTACTCCTGTGTTTACATGTAGTCTAAGCATAGAGAGTATAACATCAACCCCCAAACAACTGATAGGCTTATTACAGGTTCTCATAGGCTTATTTTTCCTCTTAGTAAGAATGTTAGTGTGTTGATTAATCTGAAAATAGTCTGATTTGATAAGTATTTTGTTCATCTATATATATACAAGGGGTCCCAGAATTAACCGTCTATTTCTGTGAAATTGGACGAATCTATTAACAACATACATAATTTCATGTTATTACCTACTTTTGATATAAAACAGATATATAAATCATAAGTCAAATCTTTATTGAGAACTTTCAACATGGGTTCCTTCTGAATCCCTGCATATTTCAAAATGTTGAAAAGCACATTTTGTACAGATCCAGTTCTTTTAAATTTGTTCACAAGTTAACGAATCTCTTTGTCTGTAGAACCTATTCTGTGAAATTTCTTTATATATCATTCTTGGATCACATTATATAACTATCCTTTGATACGGGATGTCACAACAAAGGTGTGTTCTTGTATAATCATTATTAGAGTTGGGGTTCTAAAAAGAAATGAAATAATTCAGAAATTTTGACAGTTATAACACACTAAACATGAAAAATATTAATAAACATGAGTTTTTAACGAGATTTGTCTGATTTTATAGAAATAGATAGCTAATGCTGGGACACCCTGTAATTATTATATACATTCTGTAAATACTACTGTAGATTAACCTAAACCATGCTTTAAAGGCTTGACAAACTGAAATGAATAGATTAATTTACAAGCAAACTAGTAAAATTTCATGTACCACATAAGAAAATGTATTGTACTAAACTCTAGCATTTTACAGAATGGTGCTGGTGCTTCATATAGCTGTAGAAAAGGGCTTAAATTTCATATTCACAAACTACTTAACCTTTACTTAGTTTATTGCTATTTAATTTGTGCACATTCCCATGTATATTGAAGGCTGAAACCCTTAAGTTCCACCATTGGACCATAGGACCAAACTCTATGATGATGATGATAATAATTAATAATAATAATAATAATAATAATAATAATACATTCATACTATTCTGTCCCCAAACTCTCACCATATTTAGTTACCTTCTTAACCTTCTACTCCTCACATGCTCATATTTGCTCTTAATCTTCACAACTGTTGTTCATTTATTTAGCAAGACCATTCCATCTTGACACACGTGCATCATAAGAGTCACATGCTTTTGCATTCCACATCTTGCCATCATGTTATCATTCCTAATTCAAAATGCTTATCTTATTTGTTCTCATTTGTACTTCACCATGCACCCCCTATAGATATTTCTACTTCTTTTATCTTATCTTCCCACATAACCCTATTTGTAGGCTATACACATGGAACAATATCCATTGTCATAAGCCAAATTCACCTTTTACCTATATTTTTATATAAGTAAAAGATGAATATATTTTACCTATATATACAGTATTTTGATATAGGTAACATTCTTCTGAATGTTACTTAGTCATTCTAGTGGCACACAATTTTAAAGTTTACTGAAATGTAGATAAAAAAAATGAATTATGCTTATGAATAGGGATTTTTAATATAACTTTGCTATATAAAAATTACACAACCTCTGATCATTGTTTCATATGCTTACGTCAATTAAATTTTCAGGTTAAAAAAAATGGCAGATTTACAATAAACTTCTATGAATATTCTAAATATTTACTGCAAAAATTATTACAAAATTTAAAAGTGCTTGGGAACAAGCTATTGATTTATATTGAATTTAAAGATTCTTCTGAATGGTTCAGCTTTACTGAGGCCATAAGTATGAAGAGTTTAAAAAATTGTCCATTGGCAGCCTACAAATGTTTGTCCTGAAAGTATATGCTAAGAAAAGAAATCTGGTAACTTTTCATTAAATGTTTCAGGAAGAAATAATGGCATGGATCACCTTTCAAAAAAAAAAGTGGGAGTTCCAGCGTTTACAGCGAGAAAATCAGTCGAAAAGACAGCGAACAGGAAGCTACCCAACCATTGGTAGAGTTAGTGGGAGGGGTGACACGGGAGTAGTTAGGTCAGGACCTGCCACCACACTTGGAGGATTCCTCCGCAAAACACAGCGTACTCTGATGGATGTTCCCTGGCAGATCATTCAGGTAACCTATGTGGGAAGTTAACTCTTCTGTAATTGTCATTTTATAATTTGGCTATCTGTATTTTAGAGATATTTTGAGTGTTTTGCAAAGTAATGATATAGATTAACATTATTGAATTATTATTTTTTTATAGCTTGCAGAAACAAACACACCAGGACTGTACAAACTGTGGGCGTTGGTAGGCAACGACCTTCATCTCATAAAGTTAATTGTTCCCCGTGTGTTTTATGTCAATCAACGAGTGCCTAAACCAGAGACCGAGGCAGGTGGTGTATGGCGCAAAGCAAACAAAACCCTTCCTCGCTCACACCCTGTCTACAACCTGTATGAGTACACGGTTCCAGAAGAGGTGTTTCGGGAGCATAGCAATGAACTTATGGCTGACCTCTCCACTCCCGATATTGAGGGAATTTATGAAACACAGGTTTGTGATGTGTTTTCCTGCAGGTAATTGCTATACTGTGTAATTAGTAATTATCTTGACTTTACTATATAAATTAAAATTAAGAATATCACTTGGAATAACATGCAATTACCCTTATAACTCCCTTATATTGATGTCATACCCCACATGTTGTATATAAATATTGCTGAGGTGGAGGCCAGTTCCAGTTGTCCAAGCTGTATATTAGATGAAATGTGAATAATATGCTGTACCAGTTGTTCTAGTATTGGGAAATGGAAAATAAAGGTTGTTTTATCACAACTGAAGTGGTGGTGTGGGTATACATTATATAACATGTATATAAGTTTTGTTTTTATTTTTTCCAGGTTCCTCTGGAGTTTAGAGCAGTGGCTCAGCTAGGGTGTGTATGCGTGGTTGATAAAACAATAGCTCGTTCTGATACCGACACATTTGAATTAGGCCAACTTAAGTTTAAGACTGTGGCCCAGTTCCAATATTTAGAAGAAGGCAGCCTGTCTCATGCATATATTTATCATCATCGAAGTGGCAACAAAGCCATGTTTGGTATCTTCTTCTACCAGAGTAAGAAGGTACACGTTTTTGTGTTAGATACAGTACGAAGTAATCAGATGCCAAATTTAAATAATCTCTATAATGCTGAGAGAAATGCCAAAATTGCCAAACAATGTGAGGAAGCCCTGTTACCAGAATCCAATTTTGTATTTGAGATTAAATTTGAAACTGAATTAAGGCAAGTTTACCGCCAAATTCAACGTGTTTTACAAGGGTACAAAGATGAGAAGAGAGGGCCAACTTTTCTGGCCATTCAGTCTCCACATGACATGCCCACCATAACAGCTCTCATGCCAGGTTTAGGAGATTTTCCTCAAGTGCCTATCCATATCGCTGATGTTGATACATTATATAATGTCCTTGACTGGCAACGGGTGGGTGCTAGGACAATGATACGACATTTCATTGGACTGAAACAATTATTACATACTGCAATGGAGCAGAGTCGATATTTCCATGTGCCTGTTGGAAACTTGCCTCGTGACGCCACTGCTTTTGGTGCCGACCTGTTCTATGTGAGGCACTTACAGAAACACAATGCTGTCATGTGGTGCTCGCCAGGTGCGAGACCTGACTTGGGTGGGCATGAGCATGACGACAATCGCCTGGTAGCAGAGCTAGAAGAAACTGTGTCTGCTGCTCAGATAAACAGTCCTGGTTGTTACTCAACAGTTTGTGTAGAGCTGGATTTGGATGCATTAGCAGTGACTACACTCTTACAGGTAAGAATAATGATTAAATGTATATAGTTTAAGAATGAAACTGAATTTCCTTCAATTTTCTTCATTTTTAATTTAAGCAATATAATTGTGATTTTAGCATTTTATTCATTCCTCATTACTATTACTGTTTCCTATTTTATAGGGTGGAGAGGTATCAGCCAAGAGAAAAGAAGTTTAATGACACTGTATAGTAAGAGAATGGCTCTAAATATTAAGAGAAATATATAATTTATCTATTCGTAGTGAAAATTATGCTGAAGTACATATGTTATATAGTATAATATATTCACCCTCCTTATCAATCCCCCTCTTCCCAGCCACATTTTGTGTTTACACTCAGTCCCCCATTTCCTCACATGCCATATCCTCTCTCCTTTCTTCCCAGCTGTCCTCTTCTCATACATTCACATTTACGTGAATACACAATTTTTTTTTACCCATCCATTTCTTTAGCATGCCCAAACCATCTATTTACAGAAATTCAGTTTTTGCTGGTTGTAAATGCTATTTACAGTAAAATAATTTAGATTTAATTTTATATTTGATATTCAATACTTTCTTATAGTCTGAAGCCGCTACCATCAGAGTGTTCGAGATGTTTCACCTGATATAAACATTAGTTATGTTAGACATCTCTGGATGGATAAATAGTTTGTTCTCAGCAGCTTGAGATTTATTTATTTATTTAATTTATTTATTTATAGAAGGTACAATGAGTTTTGGTGATTGTGGTACATGCTCACAAAGCCACTAACACTTTCCTTATTAACACAAGGAAAGTGTCGGCTTTGTCATATTTGAGTACTGTAATTAGTAGTCTTATTGGCCCTGTTTGAATCAGTTTTTTTTTTTTTTACAATAGCATTTTTGTTATATTAAAGTTTTAATTCAGTTTTTGCATACTTTTTATTATGGCACCAGGTTATTTGCTAAATACAATTAGTTTAATGTATGCAGTAGTTGGAAAAAATTATTTCACTATAGATTTTTGTAGCTGACGAGACCACACACTAGAAGGTGAAGGGATGACGACGTTTCGGTCCGTCCTGGACCATTCTCAAGTCAATTGTGTGATCACAAGTCGATCACACAATTGACTTGAGAATGGTCCAGGATGGACCGAAACGTTGTCGTCCCTTCACCTTCTAGTGTGTGGTCTGGTTAACATACTTCAGCCACGTTATTGTGACTCATCATCTGCATTTTTTAGCATTTGAGGCATTTTCAGTATTTCTTTGAAATGCTTAAATAATGTTTCAGTTGATTTTCCTCTATTATGTGATCATACCAAGAACTTTACTAGTATGCTGATCTGTAACTCCCTGGTGGCATTATTTTACTCTTAAACAAGTGATGGTTGCTCTTAGGAATTATGTTGACTTTTTTCAACAAAGTCCTTTGTGTTTAAGTATGTATATTTATTGAGCATATAATATGGTATATATTTTCAGGACACTAAGCCTTTTGTGACAGTTTTCATATTATATACAGTATCTAAATACAATGTGAGGCCATTATTTGTTATTGGCCTTCTATGCTATTCCTGTTCGTTCTGTGCCATTTAAACTAATTCATAGTTTTAAGTTCATTACAAAATATTAAATAGATTTGTCTTCATTTTGAAATTTAATGCCATTCATATTTTAAATAAATACATATTTATTAATTTTGTTATCTACAGGCACATCACATTAATGAAATGGAAGGAACAAGTAGCAGTGTGGCCTTTGATGCTGCACCTCAAGCTTCTTTGCAAGACATGATGGGTGGGGCTGAATCCTCTCTCACAGCTTATGATGAAACTGCCCGTTGTGCTCCAGCATTCAGGATTCTCCGGCAGATGGTAGCTGCTTGGCTTCGTGACGTTTCCATCTACCAAAATGTATTTGCCGACTTCCAGATAATACACTTCTACCGATGGTTACGAGATTCAAGCTCGCTAATGTACGACCCTGCCCTTCATCGTATTCTTCACACACACATGCACAAATTGTTCCTTCATCTTGTTGCCGAGTTTAAGCGATTGGGATCTATCATTGTATTTGCTAATTTTAATAAAATTGTTTTGTGTACTAAAAAGAGAAGAGTGGAGGATGCTATTGCTTATGTTCAGTATATAGTAAACAGCATTCGGGGTAAGGAACTATTTCATTCTATTGATATATCTTTTAATCAGTGTTGGGAATATCTTATGTGGCTGGATCCAGCAAACCATGGTGGCATTAAGGGAAAACTACCCAAGGATCTCTCTCAAACGGAAGGTAAAGATCCTGATGAAAATAAAGAATCTGATGATGAAGGTGAGGACCAAGAAAGGCAAAAGAACACAGATAATAGTGAGGAAACAGAGGATGAGGATGGTCCCGTTATTGAAATGAATTGGAATATGGCTGAATTCCTTCCCGAGTGGTGTGGTTGTCAAAGCAGCTTCAATAATGTTATTGCCTCATATATGAATGCCGTCTATGAAAAATTGCAGGAAGAAAGTGGCCGATTTACGCCAGGCAATACACCCATGAAACGTAAAGTGTCCAGCCAGATCAGTCGAAAACCTGCAGATGCTCTCCAAGGTTTTGAAGAGTTTGCCCAAGATCTTGTGTCTGGAGAATTGGCACAAAAACTGTTCTTTATCACTCAGAAAATTCATAAAAAAGGAACAAGTGGAAGAGAGGAAGAGGATGACTCGAGCTCTGTGATTATATCTTCAGACTCGCACAGCATTCCAGCACTGGAGTTTGTGAAGAGCATTACTAAAGTTTTGTCCCTGGACTCGGCTGTTACAGAACAGGTATGTATTGGTAATAGATACTTGATCCTTGCTAAATTGTGTATTTGTCTGATTTATATTTTCCCAGTTTTATTTTCTGCAATCACTACAAATTACAGTATTTGAAAATTTAGTTTTTGCATGAAGTTGTCACATACAGAAATGAATATACAAATTTTACATATAGATGTGGGAGCAGCCAAAGGTATCAACAAGGGGCTCTCACTACCCGCTAAATGTTAATTTTATTGTAAGTGTATATCGGGTTATCTAATGCCAGATTCAATATTTACGTGGATGGGATCACGAGGGAGGTCTTGGTTAGAATGTCAGAGGGATGACAAGTTAATTCCAGCAGCTAGAAACTATTCAGTTTGACGTAAAATAATGCTTCAGAATTGACTTTATCTCACCACAAAAGATGGATAACTTTCAACTGTCTCCTGTCTTTTTTCAGGTTTGCAAACTTCGTAGGGACCTCTTGAAACTCTTGAATATTGGAGAATTTTCTCCAGAGGCAGAGTGGAAAGACCCATGTGTTTCCTATGTGCTGCCAGAGGTCATCTGCCGTTCCTGTAATCACTGCCGTAACATAGACCTCTGTAAAGACGCTCATCAGTCTTTGGAGAATGGAATGTAAGTACTAGATTTGGGCATGGCTTCAGTCCATTCGTGTAAAGTTTTGAAATGTGCACTGCTAACACACACTTGCCCATAAATTTGCTCTCTGCATGGACATGTGTGTACTCAGTCATGTTTTCTCAAAACACATATTCATTCATTTATATTTCAGTAATATGGTAATTTTAATCAAAGAGAAATTAACTGGGCAATGAAGGACCCTCATGGAGGGAATGACAAAATTAGTGGACTCTACAAATGGATACATTCTTAAGCAGCAGCCTATAAAATCGACAGCAAGGGGGAATAGAAGAGGTTGAACAGGCAATAATTAAACCTGGTATTTATCCAGGGTGAGATGAATATTCAGCTTGTTGTCACATCACAAAAATTATATACTAAATTGGTTTAACAGAGGACCTATGAATTGAAAACGTAACAGCCCATCAATTTAATAAGCCACTGTTAATTATAGTACATCATATTTTCATGTAGGGGATCTTTACATCATAATATGATTTGAGAGGAGAGGTTGTAATATTAATGGAACAAGATATGAAGAGCTGCTTGGTACTAGTAACCAGTGTTATGTGACCCATTTATTATTTTTATTACAGCCAAGAGAATTATCAAAACTTCAGTATAGTTACTAGATGTCGACCATTTATTCCCACGTTAAGTCATACTATCTTGCAAGTTGCTACCAAGAACAAGGTGCCAGAATCCTTATACTGTACCTCTTTGTTAGACTAAACTCGAGGGATATCTTACGTTACTTAATAAAATGATACCGTATGCTGTTTGGCTGTCTTGATTTGAAATTAGCCTATAAGAAGGATTGTTGACCAGACCACTCACTAGAAGTTGAAAGGACGACGAAGTTTCGGTCTGTCCTGGACCATTCTCAAGTCGATTGCGATTCTCACAATCGACTTGAGAATGGTCCAGGACAGACCGAAACATCCTCGTCCCTTCATTTTCTAGTGTGTGGTCTAGTACACATATTTCAGCCCTGTTATTGTGACTCATCATCTGTATAAGAAGGATTCTTTTGATGGCAAGTTTGGCACAAAAAATTTATTGACATTCAATTTTTGTCTAAAAATTCTACTGGTAATTCTGTGATTCATTTGGATTTATGTAATATCATCCAAATACCTACCTTATATAATTACCACTATATATTTCCAGACATGTATGGCTTTGCCCTGTATGCAACACAAACTATGCTTCTGGTGAAATACAGCATCAGTTGATTGATCTTATCCACACCAACTCCATGGCACATGTTCTACAGGACCTTCAGTGTGATCGCTGCTCACAGGTTAGTGAAAAGCAGTATAGTTGTACAGTATGGATGTAAGAGTCACTGGTTATTTGTCAATAGTTTGGAACATATAGATAATTAGTACATACTACAATTTTTTATTACTTGAAAGTGCAATCACCCTATAACAGTTTATTTATTCACAAACCTATGTCAATTTGAAGATGTCTCCATTCACCTAGCAGTTAATAGGGACCCAGGAATTAGTCAGTGATTGTTGTATCCTTGGGAAGGTCAGTAGTCTGCCTATGGTGTCCTCGCTGAGCCTGACAGGTTTTTTGTCTCATTCTTTCCTGAAGTGCATATTTGTAAAGGCCTTTTTATTTTCTTGACACCAAGTATATTTAGTAATTTATGTAACTTATTAACTTAGGTGAAGCAGCCCAATATGGCCTTATACTGTACGTGTGGAGGACTTTTCAAGACACTCCTGAAGCGTGAAGAGTTCAGTCAGAAATTAAGAGTCTTCAGCAGAATTGCAACTATATACAATATGCCATTACTGAAGGAAACCATTGAATGGATGATAACAAATAATACTTGGATTCAAACATAGCATTAAAGAAGTGTGCTTGAAGGCTGTACTGGATACAAGTGTAATTTTAAAGTGTTTTTGTAAATTGTTTTAATTTTTAATCAGAAATAGTGAGCATCCATAAAATTTGAAAATTGTTAAGTGATATTTTTCTTCATAATTTGGTTACCATTTTATTATTTTGAAAGGCTGTAGAAGTTTTTTTTTTTTTTTATTATTGCTGGTGTACAAAATTTGAATGTAAAAGGTGTGACTGCAGGGTAAATTGTTTCCTAATTCTGATTTTTAAATTATTATAAAATTATAATATAAAATCATTTTATTTGTCCAAATTTAATACAATAGATTTTTATGTGAACTTACATTCTAACCGTGAGTGGTCCGTGATCCCGCAGCAGCTTCATCACGTTATCCAGAACAATCATTAAAAATGTGTTCAATCGCAACATCTGAGAAAGGCTGTGAGGGCTAAATTCAACCTTAAGAAAAATGATCAAGCTAAAGAGTATCTAGTCATGCTAGAAGCTGGAATGGCACAAATAAAAGGCACTATTGGTTTTATTTAGGCTCTACTCTTTTGGGGGTTGTGCAAGTATGACAGCATACTAGAATGTCGGGAGGTAGGGGTTCTTGAGTAATGTTTCCTTCCCATAGACAACATTGTAAATACATTGCAAGTGAATTAAGTAATAAATTACCAAAAAGCACCAAGCCAGGAGACTGTGTTGCTTGATACTTAAAAGGCCAAAAACATCACAAGATGCCAATACGAGAACAAAAGGACATCAGGCAAGTAATATCAAAAGGCACCAAACCAGGAAGGCTATGTAGCACCGTCAAATGTGCGGAATAATCATAGGGCGCTAAATATCACTAAGGATGCCAATATGAGAACAAATGCATAGGGCCAACAATATCAAAATTATTGAGGGATGTTCGGGAAGCAAGACCCGCTCGTACTGGAAGTCAGGACATTCATAACTAAGAGGGACAATGCAGTTTAAACAATAAGGAGCAGGGCGGCACTCCGTTAAGTGTGTATGGCCAGTACGCAACCTCGCCAGAGCTGGTTACGAAAGTAGGAGGAAGGCCACCGGGAGACACTACTCTTAAGAGCACACAGTTTGTTACCAGTAACAGAAGACCAATAACCCTGCCCGTTATGAATAACTGGGTAAAAGTCGGAATATCAGATTCACCAAGGTCATCCCAAAAATTGGGAACATTCTAAAAGAAGGTGCATGACTAAGTGGGACAATGCACTTCCGACAAAATTAAACTGCACTTTGTTCCATCTAGTGACCAAGAGTTAACTCAACAATACACATCCGAGCCAAAAGCTGTTTCCCCATTGTTTATTATAGTGGTAAAAAGGCCAAGGGGTTAAGGTCACTTAAGAGCACACACTACCTTTAATCCCTGACCAACAACTCTGCCAACAGCCACAGAATGAATGACTGGGTATAGATCTGAATAAAGAATTCCTTTCCAGGGAGTGTTGCAAACAAATGGCAAACTCCTTACCATGTCAAGGAACCACCCAATGAGGGGATGTACTTAAATAGGATACCAGCTACACTAACATTGCTGTGTCACTTGATCCTCAGTCATATTCCCCACCTCCACATTATATACTGTTTATCCAGACTGTGTGTTTTCTATTTTTTTGTAAGTTTCTTTCCTTGAGTTGTTCCCTTATTGATATACAGTATATGCATGCAACATTTTCACACAATTGATTCCCAATACAAGTAAAGAGCCAAAAGTACTCAAAATAACTGGGTAAGATTGTATATGTGGGCACCTCCATAAGGGTTGAAAGTCATCAGAGGGAACAGCACATCAAAGTTATACACTGTCAGCAGAACATCAATGAGACTGATAGATGCTGCAGGTTACTTTCTTATGTTTGTAACCATCAATTAGTGCCCATAATTCCTCGCCAATGCTGAACAATGATATCTCAAACAACGAAAATGATACGACAGGACATATTTTAACCTGTGTGATCAAGTACCAGACAGTAAAGATGGCATCGAATGGCAACATCAAATATATGTAAATTATGAGAGTGGGAAGGATAGCTAAATGCACTAAATTTGGTTAACTTAGATTAAGCTCATCTGTTCAGACAGTTTAGCTCTACTACAAAGAAATCTTATATTTACACTGCCACTAAGCATCCGTGCAGTATTTTTGGCCTATACGTTTTTTTTGGGGGGGGGGGGGAGAAGAAATGGCAAAATATACTTGATACATAGGCTATAACTTTCAATTATCCTGTACTGTACTTTAATAGAAAACTGCCCCATATTTAAATAGCACAACACTTGCCCTAAGAAATGACATACAGGCACAGGCTGTTAGTGGTATCCTTACCCTATTATGATATCAACATTCGTATAATAAAAAGTACCTTTTAAATATTTAAAATTAGTTTTTTTATTACATTTATGTGCACCACAAACCAAAATTTTCCCACGTTTATCTCAACACTTAATTCATTGCATCAGACACTAACTAGATCATAATTCTTATGGTGCATTGACCTGTATTTTATTACAGTATGGTGAGGTATTACTGTGCAGTATTTTACATTTTTGTGGTTTTATAAACTAAGCATATTGAACTTAAAAGAATCCCACTGCAACTGACAAATATTACATACAATTATTTATGGGCACATTTGTAGATATGGCACATATTAAATTTATTTAAACCTAAAGTTATAGATTTTAATTAAAGCAATATATATTAATCAAATGTTTTAATAATGGCTTTCATGTATCTTTCAAAGTTTGAAGACTTTAAACTTCTTACCTACTGTTATTGTAGATAAAATGCTCAGTATAAAAAAATTGTGTAAAGGCTAAATTATTATTATAAACTAATTTCATAAAGTCTGGTAACATTTCTAAAATACCTTACAAAACACACCCTGAGTTCAGCCTAATATTTCAGAATGCATCTAGAACCCACAATTTTTCTACAGTAGAAAGGTACTGTACTAACATCATTTTATACAAGTTCAGAAAGTTTTTGAGTATTGGTAAACTGGTAAATCTTTCAACCAAATTACAGTACCATACTGTACATAATTTGCTGCCAGTAGTCTTCATTTTACTCAAGAGAAATAATTATCAAAATGGGCCTGAACATAGCAATTTTAGTATTCCCTGAGGAAAGACTGAACACAGCACACAGTTGCTCAGTGCTATCACGCAAAACAAACATGAGATGAATTGACATATTTCACAGTGTTTGCACCTTGGATCTTAACACACGTTCTCCATGTTAAAGCTAACCAATGCTTAATAGTAACAAGACATTAAAATATAAAAAGATTTATCATTAGGTTAAAACATTGTATATACAGTAACATGAAAACATACTTGACTAGGTGTAAAATAAAATAAACAATGAACAAATATAAAAATTAGAGCTTACCAGCCGAATACACTAGAGCTTTGCATCACCATTTAAAACAGGATGTGTATCTACTGACGTGGAATTAGTTTTATCATGTATAGTCTCTCTTTCACAAGTGATGTTGTATATTACTTGGTTTTTCTTAAATGCTGGACTAAAGATATTTGTTGCCTCTACTCGAACTCCATTCCTACGGGTCTCAAGGAAGCATTCAGCAAAGAATCTATTCGTCTCGTGAACATCTGGATGTTTAATATACTCTTGAAGCTGAAAAAATGTGAGAGATGTCTTGGTATACTGTAGTAAAAGGAGAATATTTAATACAAATTACCTCAATTTGTGACTAGATTGTCTATGATGTGAAAAATAATACTATGATAAATTGTCAACTTTTAACTTTCTATGCAGTTCTGTAAATGTGCATTTTAAATATATCAAATAAACACAAATTTTTACATATTAATAAAACGGGTACCACCACTGGTGCAATTGCAAGGACCCACAGCCTCGGAGAAGGGAATACAGAGCATTCAAAGAATTCTTATTTACTAATAAATATATTAAAATAGTAATATATATACTTATATATTTATATATTATCAATGTATTTAATAATTTTTTTTTTAACAATTATAAAACAAATTATGGACATTATATTTTTAATTCACTTTAAATTGTCATAGCTAGGATATTTACCTGTAGGCCACTATTCACTACTGGCCTCGAAGACAAAAAATATGGTGGGAATAGTGTACATGATATGCTAAAAAACATCTTTCTTACCTTCATCCATTCACATGCAGATAGCTCCGTCTGGCACATAGTTATTCTTTGAGTAACAGGACGGAGATGAACAATGAAATAGATGTCTGAACAGTTGAAGCTTGCACCATGGACATGGCGAAATGACACTAATGACACAAATTCTGCGTCTACACCTGTTTCTTCTTTCACCTCTCTCACTGCTGCTGCCCCTAGATCCTCTCCTATGGAAGAAAACAAAATTCTTAGGTAATGTTAAACAGTTATCACCTGCTATCTCTGCACTATGCACGTTTTTAGCAACATTTTGGCCCTGGAGTGAGTTGTCTCACATTAAACTAATTACAATAAACAGGTGTGGAAGAACATAGATATACAGTATTGTGTGAAAACTGCCTATATAATATTTAGTATGTTGCTGGAGGAGTGTGTATGAGGAGGCATAATACGGGACATTTCACCATATTTTTCACCGTGTGGTACAATAAGATTGGCTCACAAGCCACTCTGCCCTCTTAACACGATGTCAATATGGCTTATCCTCGGGCCATTCCTATCATGCATTATTACAAATTTCATGTTTGAAGACTTCCAACATTGAATATATGAAGTGCCTCGAGTTTGATTTTAGTCCATGTTCTACTGCCCCAACCGTTTGCGATACATAAAATGGATCGTAGGGCTTACATTGCGAAGCACTACGTAGTCAAAAGGGTCATCCAATAAAGATTTTGACTGATGCTTTGGCATAAAGTACTTATTTTCATTGTGCTGGTCCTATGGATATGATATCAATGTTGGTCTTACAGTTTGCATATATTAAACACAACATTTGTTAAATTTGCTGTAGTGATGAATTTGTGAATTTAAATGACATTGCTTTGAGTGACCTTTATATTAAAAAGCAGTTGTATAAGTTGAAGTGTACTCCAGAACATCCAATGCAATATAGCATCCTGGCCTCATAATTTTTATATACTGTATCAACATTTATAATTTTTTGGGAAAGGCCATATGATTACAACAATGACACTGTATTATGTAACTTGTATTAGCCTAAAACTTAAATGTATTAAATGGTTGATATGATTTTTTTTTTATTTTTTTACTATTTTATAAGCAATCTTCATAATTCAAAGTTAGGGACCACTTGAATTATGTAAAAGAATTTCTGATGCAAGTATTTTCAGTTTAGTGATGTGATAAGCATACTCCACTTTGCATATAGACTGGCTTATGACTCCTATAATAGTCCCTAGTCCAGAAGTGTGTGTGGGACCATTAAAGCTAATCATTATACTAAGATATCAAGGGCTTTCATCCAATTCCATGGAAAAACAATGTGGTGAAACTTCCTGGATAGGAGTGATGTTCAGGCATCACTTTTGTACGTACAAGTTTATCAATTGAGCTTTGGAAGTAGGTTGTGAGTGGTAGTCTTTGCTATCTTATTGGCCAATTTATTAAAGATAACACCAATATGAGTAGGTACCTAGTCAATCATAAGCTATTTGGATAGAATTAAGAAGAAATTTGTGAACTTTAGTATTAGCAACACTCAAAACAAATTCTACAAGGTATAAAAGTTTTACTTAGTAAATTAAAAATAAACTTAAGTGAATGATGGCTATGTTGTCTTATCGGCCAGTTTATTAAAGATGGCACCCATATGAGTTTAACTCACCTTGTATGTACTTTTACCTGAATAAACATTTGATTTTTTGATTGATTTGATTTGTCTCTATTACTTTAGTTGCCTATTTTCACTTCACTTTATTCCAGAAGGGATTTATGAAAATCTATTTATTGTTATTGTTCTAATAGCCAAACTACTTTACCTGGCTCAACATATCCACCGGGTAGCTTCCAATTTGGACGCGTGTAGAATCTCTCTTTAACGACTAGTAACTCGTCCTGATCATTCACTACAAAGGCACCAACTCCTACAACATTATGTGCATACCTGGAAATATTATAATGTACATGTAATCTCGTTGCTCAAAAGGCAGTTACAGCATATGTGTATTAAAAAATTTGGCATATGAAATGCCCAAACACTTATGCTACATTAGGTTGAATTGATAATATGGTTGAATGTTTTTATATTAACAAAATTAAATTGCTTTATTGAAGTAAAAAGCACTGTAATATTAACATTTCCTAGGATTAATAAGCATCAGCACATTAGGTGGAATGTCTAGGTACATATGCTCCTGGTTAGGCAAAACTGCTTAAATTTTATGTTTGTCAAGTCATGCAAATGTGCTGATTAATCAGTGATCAAATTTGTTTGTTTAATTTTCCTCACCTGGGTATATTGTTTGGTTCACTGACTGCTAACCACTTCACCATCATCACAAACTGTGACTGGGCATGGTGATACGTGAAGTCATGCTATAACATAAGAAATAAGATAATTACAGTATGTGTTTGGCATAATAAATCCAGAACTATATAAAAGATGAAACGGAGCACTTAATTTTTTTTCTTATCTATGTAGTCTAAGAATTTTATTTCTGGCACATTGTGAAAAATAATCTCGTGCCAGATATATTACATTATTCAGCAAAAATTCTTAACATTAGTTATACAGATAATACACAAGATTAAAAACAATTCAAATACAGAGTACTGTATACTTACCATATAAATTTCAGTTTTCTCTCAATAAGGAATTTATTTGATGTTTACCAAACGATAAAATCTAAACTTACTTTGGCCAAGACAGGTACCCATTCTGCGTGTTGAAGGTCAACCTTAAACCAAACTCCTCGGATTTTTTCCTCTATCCAGTGATTCAAAGATGCTGTGAATAGAATAAATTATAAAATTGATTACAAACTAATAATCATAATTCAGAAGTTATGAGTCATTTGAGTGACTTATAGGCCAAGGTACATACTCTTGTAAATAGGAAACACATTTAGGGGAAAATAACAAATCTGGGAGGGAGAAAGCTGCATTCACATGATTCCCATCCAGTTACTAGCCATACTCAATAATACTCTTGACTGTGCAGTGCTATCATTATCCACCAAGTCACCACAGTGAGTTTAAATCCATTGCCTTCTAATGCCCAGTTCTTCATAATATTACATAAATGTAGTCAGAATTAATTCATTTTTACAAACTTTCTAAAATACGAACTTTTGATACCGAAAACCTACAATTTTTTTTACAGCTTTATGCAATAAATTTATTCACTGCTTATCTGTTGTGTGCACCATAAAAATTTACCTTTTTCTCTTTACACTTCAGAGCAAAGTGAAGTAGAAATTCTCTCTTGTTAGCAGGCCAAGAGTTTTTTCTATCTCAGCTTGCTTTTAAAGCATTATCCTGCTTGTTTTTCCCACAATACAATCTGCTAATCATTTTATATCCAAGTACAGTACAGTACAAAATAAAGCTGGTTGCACAGGGGCAGTGAAGGAACTGTGCCCAATTATTTCTTTCTTCCTAGGATTTGGTTCATTTACTAGCAGGAACATTCAACACGTTTGTTTTTTTTAAATATTAATTCAGGATCTTTAAAATAAATTTAATTTACTGAAATATCTGGGAAAGATTCTATATGTGGGTATCAATCAAGTCCTGGAAGGTATATGGCATGAAGATAGACAGAAATATGTACATATACAGCACTGTATTACACCTAGTAAAACTGCTTGCAGTGCAGTACAGTACAGTGTATACATACCTAGTAATGATGCCTCTAAATTTTGTATAGATGTTGATTCTTCCACGGAAGATACTGTTATACCAGAGAATCTATCTCTGATGCCCTTGGAGAGAAAACAATATCAGTAGAATTTACTTGTTAATAATAACTAATATGATAATGCAAAAAATGTAAACAGTTTACTGTAAACAACAGAATAATCCCATATATGGTCAGAATCCAACTAATCCTCAAGCTCTTGACATTTAGAAGTAATTAATGCAAATGTCATATTGCAAAATGGCAAAAGCAATGAAATGAAAAGCAGAGGATATTAGGATGCACACGTAATAATCATACTACAGTGAGGATTACGAACTTATGCAGTGATCATTGTCAGTGTGTGCAAGTGTTAAAATGTCTCATGTTAGAAGGGTTAAACATACTTGAACTTTCCTTCCAAATCAAGACCACTCAATTTAAACAAATATATAGATCAAGTCTGTACCCTTAATTGTGAACAGAAATGTGGTGGGAAATGAGGTTAATTATCAGTACAGTAAATCGTAAAGTGGGAGTGTTTTATCTATACTGTACATGACAACTTACAAAGAACACTGTACACCTAGTCTTATGAATAGGTCAGGTGCTACTGTGAATAATTTGCTGGATTGTGAAGGTGCTTGTTTTTATTCATGGTCCTTTACCATCATTAATATATTTTAAATTTTTTTCCGATAATATTCCTCCTTCCTACCCCACAAAATGGGAACAAGATAATGATAGTGATGAGAAAAAGGAATGCTCAGAACAATTCTGGAAATGCTAGGCATGCATAATATTGCCTTGATAATTACAAAAATACAAACTGTGATATACCTTAAATTGAACTGGGGCCTCCATGATGCAGTACAAGGGAGCCTTTTTGTACTGGTAACTGAGAACTCGACTAGTAGTGGCAGTCAGCTGAAGCCTTTGATAGGAAATGGTAATATGTCCTCAATCAATCAACACTATTGGAAGTTCAATTTTAACCTAATCTTGGTCCCATGTTTACTACTTCTGCAAAAGTAAAAACATTATGCCTTAGTGTTCATAAAGTTAGGTAGAAAACTGTACAGTACAATGAAAACCTTGACAAAATCCTTCTGTTATACCCAATATTGTAATGGATCGGGGCAGTTCAATGGAAAAATATTGAATGCAATGGAAGAATTCTGATTCAATATATCATTGATTGCAATTTACTAGACTATCAAGGTAGTTAGCATGGTACAGTCTACTGTACCAAAACAAATTTTATGATCTGTACTACTCAGTTTTCCCCATGGCAAAATTTCTGCTGTTCCAATGGATAGGATTATGCAGTCACTAAATGCTAGTTGCCCGTGTCTGTTGACCCCAACCACCACTAATATGGCAGCACCAACATTTCAACAAGTCAAACATTTTTGCAGTCTCCGTGGTGTAGTGGTAAGACACTCGCCTGGCGTTCCGCGAGCGCTATGTCATGGGTTCGTATCCTGGCCGCGGAGGATTTACTGGGCGCAATTCCTTAACTGTAGCCTCTGTTTAACGCAACAGTAAAATGTGTACTTGGATGAAAAAACGATTCTTCGCGGCAGGGGATCGTATTCCAGGGACCATAGGATTAAGGACTTGCCCGAAACGTTACGCGTACTAGTGGCTGTACAAGAATGTAACAACTCTTGTATATATATCTCAAAAAAAAAAAAAAAAAAAAAAAAAAAAAGTTACCCCAACTCTGCCCACCTCACAAAATTAGTGATGCAGTAAACCATTGAAAATTTGTAGGGATACCCGAGCTCAATACTTTATGTTAATTAAAGAATTGCTATCACAGATATGGCTTATTGACAAGCATTTTAAATTCTGTTGAAATAAGCTCCCTGTTACACATGCTTTGTATTTTATTTTTACGAATTAGTATACAAGTAAAAAAATGGGGAATACATTGTGGCACATGATTTACCATTTCAGATTGTCAAGAACAGGAAGAGTGTTAGGCTCATTGATGCTTTCCTTAGCCAACAACTGACTTTCCTCAGGATACAACCACAACCTGCCAGCTATGGTATCATTAACAGAGTCCTACCTCCAATGTATAACAATACAGTATATTATTAATACAGAGAAGTTGCATGTAAGTCTGTTACTAGCTGTCAATATACAGTAATTATATGGTATGCAGCGTGACTGGAATTATATATAAATTTTCATGGAGGTCTAAGACTTTGTGTTCTCTTATCCTTTTTTTTATGCTGCTACTTACGGGATGAGTATGAGGTGTACGATGAACTAGTGACCTCTGGCTGCAACAATAAAATTAAATTTATCACCCTACCTGGTAATGGAATTAGGATTAAATCAGTTGCAAACCGACTGCACTGATCACGGTGCTATTTGGTATGCACTTAGGAATTCCTTCCCTTTGTATTCTTATCAACTACATCACCCTTACTTTTAAATCACAGTGTTCAGTGTACTATTGGAAAGCAAACCATATCACTGAGTATTGAACTTTTTCAGGGGTAACAGTTGAATTTGGTGAAGTCAACTGTTATAAGCCTTTAATGTCAGATTAACTTAAAGATTAATACTGTATTTCACTTTTATATCTATGGAAATAATCCTTATATACTGGTACTATAGTTATATTTGACATTTTTTTTTTGTAATATTCCCAGATTTTGGAGCTCATCACATTTAACAATTCATTAACATTTTCTATACCTATTAAATGTAAATGTATAGTATATACAGTATACCAATATAGAAAAAATAAGAGATCTTGAATATTACACACACATTATTTTGAATGCAACTTTTGAGTCTGACAATCTCGGAAAAGGGGGTGGAACGACATTCCAACATAGGGAAAAGGAGTGCAAGAAAGGTCAAGAAACACTACATTTGATAATTGTTGATACAAGTCAATGGATTATTCATCAGTGATATCCCAGGCATTTAAATAGATATACTGTACCAACTAAATCTGAGCTACTATTTACGTACAATCTCGGTTTACAGAATTAAAATTACTATTTAATTTTGTCTAAAATAAAAACAAGACTCTATAAAATCAAAATAATAGGTGTAAATATTTTATAAATTATACTACAGTATTTGGATACATGGCATTTTAACTCAAACTGTACATACAGTGCGGTGTTCAAATAATGCCTGGCTTATGGGTCTACATACAAATTCAAATGTTTATTCAGGTAAAGTACATACATACAAGGTGTGATACAAATATTGATGAATTTATAGATAGAGCTAGTACATACAATGCCTAAACCTACTATTACGCAAAGCGTTTCGGGGCAGAATTTTGGGCAGAATACATTTTTTATTTGCTTATCATGCACACTAGACCCATCCATGTAGTGGGCAGCAGTGGTAAGATTGCAAGGTTGCTCACAGTTAGCATATTGAGAATAACACTATTTGGTAGTATATAATTGAATAAAATACATATTTCTTGAAATTTATGGTAGTCATTGTGCCTTTGTAAACTTTTCCATAACCGCTCACTGGATGGGTATGGGTTACATAATAAATCAACTGAACTTAAACTCATACGGGGCCTTTATCCAGGCGATTCATTACCCTATACATGGTTAAGAAAGAGTTCTTAATTCAGTTAGTACTATACATCAATTACTCCCTCATCTTACATGCAATCTTTACGACTTAAAAACAAAATGCCTCATAATTCTAATAAATTCTCAGTTTATTCAACATCAACTGTAGTCTAAGCTCCATCAAAATACATTCATAAACCCTATATTCCAAATATGCAAATTTTAATCCAATTCAAAACATAAAGAAGGAAAATTAAAACATTCCTACTCACAGCTTCCCGGTGATGCGTGTTGACCACATGCAGACGACACACTGATCAGCTGACGGCCATAGCAGCTGGCAGTCAGCTGGCAGCTGTAAATAAATAAATAAATAAATGTTTATTCAGGTAAGGTACGTACATACAAGAGATTTTACAAAAATTGATAGATTTATAGATAGAGCTAGTACATACAATGCCTAAAGCCACTTTTTTTTTATCTACGGTGTAATCTTTCATATAGCATAGAGTAGCAGTACATTGTTGTGTATACCTAAGCTTGTTAATTAAAAATAATAATAATAAAAATCATTCAGATTTTACTTAAACTCTTGACCTTCCATTACTCTTAACCTTCCCTCCCAAGTACTCAAAATCTTGCCTTGTTATATATTCCGTCTAACTATACTAGTTAATACGAGATATTCCGGCTAACGTCTTTGCCGCAAAAATTATATACTTGGGGGTTAATATTAAATGTAAGAGTCAGTTTTTTTATTATCTTCATTGTTATCGAGATAAGAGATACGCAAGGCTTTTATAATCAGCTGACTCAGCATTTAATTATTTCATTTTTTTCAGTAATATCAAGAAAAATGATACCTTATTCTTTTTTCATCCTATTCTTACTTATTCTGTTGTTGCTTTAGATTCTATTGCTCGGAACCAAAAGTTACAAGTAGCACGGGCTATGGAGAGCCCATAGTGGACTTATCTGGCACAGGAGCGGGGCTGGATATGGTGGATGATGCCTTATTCATTTACCTGATATATATGGTGCTACATAGCCTTCCCGGCTTGGTGCCTTCTTTTGATAATTACGTACTTACCTGCTATATGTATAAACCTGTGCTCCTATTCTCTTATACCGGCTGCTCACCCCACTCTCTTTCCTTATATTTGCTGTACTTTCCTTTCTTCTACTACACGGCTTGATGATGATCCAGGACAGACCAAAATGTCGTTTCTTCACTTTCTGATATATCGTTTGGTCATCATGTACCCCTTTCTGATTTTTTTTGTATCAACAAGCTTGGGTATACACAGCAATGTGCCGATACCCTATTCTATATGAAAGATTACACATCATTACCCCTTTCTGATGTGTTGTTTGCTTATCATGTTCCCCTTTTGTGATGTGTAGTTAGTCATGTATCCCTTTCTTCATGTGTGGTTTGGCCATTATATTTGCCTATACGCTTGCGCGTTAGTGATTTTACAAGAATGTAAAAGCATCAATGCTATGTACTCTCATAAACCCAATGTACCTTCTTGTATATATATATATATAAATAAATAAATTATAAATAAACAAATCATATACCCCCTTTCTGATGTGTGGTTTGGTCCTCATGTACCCAATGTTACGTAACCATGATAATGTATCTGTAGGAAGTATACTAATATACTTGCTTCATACTCTCATTAGCTTATGTGCAGATAATGAGATGGGTTTATCAATCCTACGTAACCTATCTTCACGTTACTACATTCCTAATTACAATTCCCAATTGTACAACTAATTACAGTTAATACGTCTTCCCAGCCTGCTAGTGGGAGTTTCGGGAGCGGACTCACAGAGGGCATTGACGTCGTTGCTCCATGCTCCGACGGTGGAGTCGGGTTCGGAACTGTTGATAACACTCTCCCGCCTACAAACAGCACTAGTCAGCTTTTCGCTAAGTAGTAGGGGTGATGTTGGATCTCTCATCACCCGTACACAGAAGGTAATATTGAACTGCTCATCTTTTACATATGGTTGGGAGTTTCAGCTCCTCCCTCATGTTGATGATTTTTGTGCATCTGTGGGCTCCAAGAATTATCATCATGGCTTCATTTTGAAATTTACTCTAAAAATTTCTGCCTATTGCAAGAGAGACTAATAAGGTCCAGGGCATGGTAGTCGACTAGTGACCTAATGAACATCATGTAGAACATTCTATCATCTTTGACATTAATACTAACGTGCTTTTCAACAAGCGTTTTAAGGGAGTAATATCACCACCTCTTTGAATTGGTCGACAGTTATGAATTGCTGAGTAGTTTGGTACGTTTAAAGAGTTGTGTTGTATCCTCTTTCAACCACGTTTCAGTAAGTATAATAAAGGAGAATTTGTTTTCAGCTGTTTAAATTAGGGCACTAACATCATCAAAGTGTTTGCTTTGAGATCTTACATTAAAGTTAATTACAGAACCATTGTGATTATGTTTTAATACATTGTTTACATCATGTGCTGTATAATACCTGCAATTTTGATCATTAAAGTGATGATTGTCATAGATACTTGATAAGAGGTTTCGTTCTGGAAACCTCGTCCAGAACGAAAATGGACGTTCTGGACGAACTCTCGAATTCGCGTGGCGGGTCCTTACGAATAGCCCGTAAGTGGTGGCCCTTATGAGCCATTACCAGTATCAATAGATGATACTGGAGATCTGTGGAGGTGCGACTGCACCCAGCGTGACGGGAGATGTCTCCCGTGTTCTGATGATTCGCTGTCGACTGGTTATATTACCAGTCCCCATCTCACCTGACCATCCTCTAGCTGCCTAAATGGACGACGCCATCTGATAGTGGCAGTATGATACCTGCAAGAGACGCTAGATTCCTTCAAGTTCAAGTTCAAGTATGTTTATTGAGACAAGCAATAAATACATCTCAAAGGGACAGAGTAGCTTAGGCTATTTCTACCCCCCTCTACTTCAAGTCCCTCAAGGGGCGCACAAATTCAGTGAGTGCTAGATTCCTGCCTAAAGAAATTAGGAAGGACAGAAGAGCAGTTACTAACACACACAGACCAGAAAGCACGAGTAAGAGCTATAACATGCTTAGAACGAGAATTATATGTACGAGCAGCATAAAGCATCCACTAGATAGTGTGACCGTGTAATTGCCAGAATTAGGCTGTGATATCGATATCTATAGCAGGTGGCTGCAGGTAATGAATCTCCCAATGGTGAAGCTTCCAATTGTTAACTATGTGAACAAGAGCTGGGACATGTTCTCCAACACTATATCTGTGATTGCCCTGTTATAACCCGCCAAACACACACCGAAACTACGACGTTGGTACAACGTTCGAATAAGTTTTAACACCTCCTAACCAGTTATAACAACCAATATAGCAAGTTGTAACAACGTTCTAATACGTCATAAACACGTTAAGCCAAGATGTGACAACTTTATTACAAGTTGTAACAAGCGGAAAATAGAGACAGTTTCGGTTTGTGTTTCCAGGGAAGTGACTTCAGATCAAATGATATGAAGTATTTTGAGCTCTGTAATTACTTCATACACTCAGGAATATTGGAAGATATTCTTGTGCTGTACCCAGATTTTGCTAGTGGAGGCTAGATCAGCCTTACATTTAATTCTCTCCTGATTTTTTTTAGTCAGAGTTGATTTGTTTTTGTATTGAAGCTGGTATTTTCTCCCCTAAATACATATATGACTAACTATTCTCTATGAGATGGGAATATTAGATGAACTTATAGCTAGTTTTTTTTTATCTACACTGTGTAATCTTTCATATAGAACAGGGTAGCGTAGTAGCACATTGCTGTGTATACCTTTGTTAAAAAAAATCGTAAATAGCAAAGTAATAATTTTTAAGGATCAATAATAGTGCATTTTTCTCTTACCAAATTCAACTGCAAATTTATGGGAGAATTGAGCGAACGGTGAACAGTTTCCACAACAGTTTCTGAAGAAAAGAAAACGTGAAAATTGCACTTGCGTTCCGCTTGACTCGCGACGAAGGCATTGGAAAAATATTAGCCCATAAATAAAGAATGAAATTATCCCTCAACGTCGTAGTATTTACATAATGCAGTAGTTTCAATGTAAAAACACATGCGATACAAAAATATGAACAATCCAAGCATAAGTACAATATAAAAACACTTACTAGTTCAATGAATGGTGATTTGTCTGTCATAGAACCTCCCCCCCCCCTGCACCCAGCGGATAGTTATCAGTCACTCAACTGATAGCCAGTAGAGTAGTTGACAACTTTGCTATATGGTATATCGTGGCCAAATGACATAACTAATAAGGTATTTATTACACTAAACATTATAAATTTAGATAACGTGTGAACGAATGACAGCATTACCCTGTAACTAGACCAGACAGGGAACGCATACACTACAGGGTCTTCTTGTATAGTTGGCTGCGTTCTCGACTCACAATCAGGGATCTCTGATTCAGTTTCCGGCGGGACACAAGTAGGTGGGCACGTTTTCTTTCTCATAATGCCTGGTCACGTAACCGTAAATAGGTACACGGGAGTTATATCTGAGTTTACCTGAGAGCCACTAACACTAGTGGCCTCGGCGAGGACAGGAAGCCGGCGGCTTGTCGAAGGTCTCCCCCCTCCCATTTATATATATATATATATATATATATATATATATATATATATATATATATATATATATATATATATATATATATATATACATATATATATATATAATGTGGTTCATATGGATATATTCATGCAAACGTCCAGTCGTAACGGAATACAATTAAGGGTGCAAATGCGACCACCCACTTACAGAGACCTCGTAAAAATGTTGTGATGGCTTTAACATATGGTGATTGAAGTTTTCGTGAGGGAGGGAGAGAAGGAGGGTGAGAAGGAGGAAGGGGAAGGTAGACTCAGGAAATAGGACCAGTCTGTGGCCGACACTGAGGTAGGTGACACGACACATTCAGAGGGTGAAAGACAGAAATCGTATGGTATTTAGTAGAGTTGAGTTCACGGTAGATTGCTAGACTTGGTATACTGCAGGATCTAATAGAGTGTCAGACTTTGGCACACCTATCATAGATGGTTGACGGCCACACACATTGTAGAGCCCATTACCAGGTAGTCTGCCGGACCTGCAGCACTTGTTAGACTGCTGCATCTGGTACACTTCCTTACTTGAGAAAAGGTCGAATCTGCCAGACTGCCGAGACCGTTAGACTTCTTGAGCTGGTAGATTGATGCACTTTGTAATCTTGAGATTATCTTGAGGTTATTTTGAGATGATTTCGGGGCTTTAGTGTCCCCGCGGCCCGGTCCTCGACCAGGCTTCCACCCCCAGGAAGCAGCTCGTGACAGCTGACTAACACCCAGGTACCTATTTTACTGCTAGGTAACAGGGGCATAGGGTGAAAGAAACTCTGCCCATTGTTTCTCGCCGGCGCCCGGGATCGAACCCGGGACCACAGGATCACAAGTCCAGCGTGTTGTCCGCTCGGCCGACCGGCTCTGTAAACTGTCATATCTAGAAAGATTTCGGCAACATAAAGACTATGGTAATCATGAGACTGCTTCACCTTCCCGGATACCTACGAGGTATATATATATATATATATATATATATATATATATATATATATATATATATATATATATATATATATATATATATATATATATTTACCTGAGAGCAACTAACACTAGTGGCCTCGACGAGAACAGGAAACCGGCAGCTTGTATACGCATAACATTAAAATGATCAAAATACAAATACCTTTGCAGTGTACGATGTTCCTTCGTTCACTGCTGCTGGTGACGCTGGGCATCCTGGTGACCCACACGCCCTCGACTGGGGAAGAGACGGTGGGCGTGGGGGAGATAGTGGGCGTGGTAGAACAGGCGATAGAGAAGCACCTGTCTGCGTGTCCCTTAGTGCTACTCACAAGTACCAGGGATTCACCTGTTTTCTCCAGTATTAATAGGTGAGTCAGTTTTTGTTAAATTGCTGAAAACTCAATGAATAAATGAGAGGGGGACAGATAAGTGAGAGTGGATGGGATAATAATGAATGGATAGGATAATAAGTAATAGAGTGGTGGATGGGATAATAAGTGGATGGGAAAATAAGTAATAATGAATGAGGGTTGGTAAGTGATGAGACTTTTAATAAGCCTCTGTCCTCGTCGAGGCCATTAGAGATGATGGTGCTCATATAAATGTTTACCTGAGAGCGACTAACACTAGTGACCTCGACGAGGACAGGAAGCCGGCGGCTTGTAGAAGGTTCCTCCCCCCTCCATTTGTCTTGATCTTTTCCAAGTGTACTTTAAAGGTTAACAGTGTTTTGGCATTTAAGGTTACCGCGGGTAGGCGGTTTCATAGGTTATTAAACCTGTGGGTGAAAAAGCATCTCCTGTACTCAGTCCTACTTTGTGGCTAATTGAGCTTGAAACCGTTGCTGCTTTTTTGTGTTACATCTGACTTTTTGAAGAAATTTTCCGGATCAACATCCTCCAACTTGTTCAATATTTTAAAAGTTTCAATAAGATCCGCCCTGTCATTCTTTGTTTGCAGTGTTGCTAGCCCCTGTGGCCCTCAATCGCTCCTGATACGTGAGTTTACTTAGCTCTGGAGTGATTTTTGTTGCCCGGTATTGCACTTTCTCCAGGGCAGCTATATCCTTGAAGATGAGGTCTCCATGCTTGGACACAGTAATCAAAATGGGGGGCACTAGAGATTTATACAATTGAATCACTATCTTCTTTTTCTTGATGTCAAAGGTACGCTTGATTATTCCAAGTGTTTGGTTAGCTTTTTTGACTGCTGTTCCTACCTGCTGTGCAGCTTTCATAGAGTGGTGGATTTTGACTTCAAGGTCCTTTTTTTCATCAGTCTGATGTAATGTAATGTTATTAATTTGGTAGTTGTGGCGCGGGTTGTTGTGCCCCACATGCAGGGTCTTGCATTTGTCTATATTAAAAAGCATTTGTCTATATTAAAAAGCATTTGCCAGTCATCTGACCATTTGTGGAGTTCCTGCAGATCTCTTTGTAAGACTTCAGCATCATTATCATTTCCCACTATGCCATAAATCTTTGTGTTATCTGCAAATTTGATGATGTGGTTTGTAATATTTTCATCTATGTAGGTCATATACATCACTCCATTGATGTATATGACAATAAATAAAGGTTGGCCCAAAAACGAACCCCTGTGGTACCCCACTTACCACATTTCTCCAATCAGATTTATTTCCATTTAGCACCTCTCTTTGTTTTCTTTGTTTTAACCATTGTTTTATCCATTATAGTATCCTTCCATTTAGTCCAAGTGCTTGTAATTTCTGTTACAGTCTTTCATGTGGTATCTTATGAAAGGCTTTAGCAAATATAGCTTCAAATACCTACATATTAATTTTATTAGTAATTTACAGGTTCTGAATATAGAGAGAATGGTTACAATTTAGTTACAGATAGTAAAGTATTTTATTGCAATTTGAAGGTCATTCCAAAATATAGGGCGCTTTTTATGTATGGTATTTGAGTCGGACATCTGGAACATCAACTAGATACTAGTTTCTCGTGTGGTGTCTCTAGGTTCTGCTGCAGACTTCTAAAAAACGTTTAAGAACAGTATTGGTATTGCACTTTAGAGTTTTAGATATAAAGTACACCTTAAAATGTGTGTAGTGTCTACAAAGATGCAGGTTCGAATCCTCGTCACGGCCCTTGTGGATTTGTCTATATTCAGCATGTTCAAGGAGTTACCTGAATTTACCCTTGAAGGTGCTGCATATTGTCTGGGGTTGAGATGTGTTATTATTCAATTGAGGATTTTTGTTGAGCAATTCTGTCTATGAGGCAGATTTGAGTCGTAGATCTCCAGGCACAGATACTGTAAGGGAGATATTGTTCACACGCATTCAAAAGGTCTAATATGGTATTATAATTTATTTTATTATAATGGTAGTATTTTTAAAATATATTATCATTTATCTGTCAGTAAGAGGCTTGACCCAGCCACGGTGGTAGACGTGGGTTCCTTGAGTTGTCAACACCGGCCAAGCCAGAGCCAGCACCAGGTGGTCAAAAACCACACTCATATGGGAACCCAAGATTCGGATCACATAGACCATAACCAGGATCAAGTGGATCAGGCAGCCCAAATCAAAGGGCTGCTGGGAGGCTATAAGACCAGCTGCCGTAGTGTCGTCGTGGATGTCACCGCCAACCTCGAATTCACCGACTGCGTCCTCAGGTGATTAGCCTATCATTAAAAATTGGGCTCACTTAATGTTATTGAGTGCTTTTGATGGTTAGGTGTCAACACATTTTTATAACACATAGAAGAGCACAAAGTGTTGATGAAGATGTAGAAAAATACCTAGAAGAGAAGTAATCGTCAATACGCCTTACAGGTGAAACTTCAACCAGTATTAAAGTCAATTCTCCCATTAATATTTCTCTGTACGAAATTACAGAGAATTCCCAAATAACAGGAGATCCTGTGATCTATAATAAGATTATCTAGCGTGTCTGTTTGTGTCGCAGCAGCATAGTCATTTGTTCTGTTAATATAAATGTTGCCGCAAGCGGCGGCATTTTTGAGCGGTAGCACAACATGATTAGACATCCCGTCCTCTAAACAAAGGCCCCAAAGTCCATTCCATGCACCCGCGCAAACCCCCCCCCCCCCTCATGTTTGTGAATGAAAAGCGGTTTACACACGACTCAGAACTGATGACGTCCGAACACTTCCGGTACAAGTGCTTCGCTGACGACTTTTGTTCGAACCACAACGCTATGAATGTTTCCCCCACGTACTACATATACAAATAATCGGCAACAGAACCTAAACATCAAACCTAACCTAACCTAACCAGTGCCTAAATATGCACAATATGCTAATATACATTAATATCAATTTATATTTGAGAAAAGTTCTGTTTTGAATGAACAGAATGTTAAAATTGACGAATGCGTCTTTGAGGTCGACCGCTGGATAGAATGGACTTGGTCTCAAGATGAGTTGGATTAGAAGGCACGAGAGGCCTTACTCAGACCCGAGCCCGTCCTCCAAACGATGACCCCACAGTCCATTACATGCACCCGCCAAACCCCCTGTTTATGAATAAAAAACGGTTTACACACGACTCACAACTGATGAAGTTCGAACTCTTCCGGAACAATAGTGCTTCACTGACGAATTTTGTTTGAACCACAACACAGTAAATGCTTCACCTACGTACTACAACAGCCCGTCCTCCAAACAAAGATCCAAAAGTGATTCCATGCATCCGCCAAACCCCCTGTTTATGAATGAAAAGCGGTTTACACACGACTCACAACTGCTGACATTCGAACATATCCGGAACAAGTGCTTCACTGACGAATTTTGTTCGAATCACAACGCTGTAAATGCTTCACCCACGTACTACAAATACAAATAATCGCCAACAGAACCTAAACACCTGACCTAACCTAACCTATGCCTATATATATATGCTCAATAAGGTAATATACTATAATATTAATTTATATATGAGAAGATTTCCGTTTTGAATGAACAGTATGATAAAATTTATAAATGCGTCTGTGGGGTCGACCGCTGGATGTAATGGCAACCCGTCCTCGACTCAAGTCCATTACATCCAGCGGTCGACCCCACAGACGCATTCATAAATTTTTACATGCTGTTCATTCAAAACGGGAATTTTCTCAAATATAAATTAATATTCTAATTTATTTGCATATTGAGCATATATAGGCATAGGTTAGGTCAGGTGTTTAGGTTCTGTTGGCGAGTATTTGTTTTTGATGTACGTGGGTGAAGCATTTACAGCATTGTGGCTCGAACAAAATTCGAAGCACTTGTTCCAGAAGTGTTCGAACGAAATCAGTTGTGAGTCGTGTGTAAACCGTTGTTCATTCATAAACAGGGGGTTTGGCGAGTGCATGGAATCACTTTTGGGTCTTTGTTTGGAGGACGGGCTGTGTAATGGACTTGAGTCGAGGACGGGTTGGTAAATGCTTCACCTGCCTACTACAAATACAAATAATCGCCAACAGAACCTAAATATCTAACCTAACCAGTGCCTAAATATGAGCAATATGGTAATATAAAATGATATTAATGTATATTTGAGAAAATTCCTGTTCTGAATTAACAGCATCTTGATATTTATGAATGCGTTTTTGGGGTCGACCGCCGGATGGAATGGACTTGGGTTGAGGACGGGTTGCAGATCCAGTGAGTGTTGCTTGACAAGTTTTTACAGTTTATATATAAAGTTTATGCTGTTCTTTGGCTGTCACTCGTTTAGTGTTTTGCTTTCCAACTCTATTAATCTATACAATTTATCAAATATTTATGTATATTCTAATTTGCTTTATATTTGACGAGCTCGAATTCAATAGAAACGCAATGCGTGTTAGTGGTTTTGCAAAAATTTAAAAATACCAACATTATGTACTCTCACAAACCAATTTTACTTTTTTGTAAATAAATAATAAATAAATAAAATAAATAAATAAAATTGGACCTCTGTCCAACATGCTCTTAAATTATAAAATTATGCAAGATAAAAGGAAGCACCTAGCCATCATTGGTGATACCATAGTGGATTTTGAAACATGAATTTAATTTCCTTCTCTTCTTTTTGATAGTAGGTGAAGTTTGCATGAAGGGTTTGTCCTCCCGATGACTGCATGTTTCCTTCTCTATCATGTTATTATTGGTAAGTTTCTATGATTTTCAAACATTAATTTAGCTTACCAATTTTAATCCATGCTTTATCAATTATCTTAAGATCACCAAAGAAAATTGTTTAGGGGACACTATTCCAAGTATAGAATCTTTCTCTATTGGCAGTTTGTTGGATAAGGCGAATCTTAGGTTATGGCCGACGACAAAAGTGGTGGTGGTGGGTGGGAAAGCGAGAGTGCACGAAGTCCTTCTTCACCACAGCCTCCGCAACACCCTCGATGCCCTCTACCTCGCTCTCGACGACCTCGTCCTCCGCAACCTTATCTTCTATTCATTACCTTATCGGAGTTTTCTACGTAGAAACGTCACGCAGCAAAGTTAGTAGACAACGAACAAGAGAATTGACGGCTTATTAAATGTAGAAAAATTGCATAGATTCAGATAACTAAAGCGTGGCAGGTAAATTACAGTTTGCCAAGTTTGTATACATTTATTGAAATATTTACAAGAGAGTGCAATAGCTTCTGTGACAATTTTGGTGTGTAAATGACATATTCGCGTAGCCACTAACACTATCTCTAGCGACTGTGGTGAGTATAGGAAGCCTGTGGTTTTATTTATGAGTTTTCTCTGCAAAACTGAGTTTACAATTTCGGCATAATGTCTGTTCTGAGCTGAAACGTGGTAAGTTTGAAATTGCTATCTCTAAAATCATGATGGATGTCTTGAAGACACTGTCTAGCTTAAGATTTCCTAGCTTCTTCAGAGAAATCAGACTTGCCATGTTTTGTTTGAGGAGATTTTCCAAGTTTATATCTGCAGTGTAAGAGTAAATTGAGAAATAAGATCGAGAATGCAGAGAGAGAGAGAGAGAGAGAGAGAGAGAGAGAGAGAGAGAGAGAGAGAGAACAAAAATATTGAATACTTAAACTACGGTAGCGCCTCGCCCTTGCTTCTTGTAGGGTCGGCGTTCGATACTCTTGTGTATCCAAGTGGTTGGGCACGATTCCATCACTTAGCTATCATATGTAAGCTCACCGTCCTCGTACACCTCCAGGTTTTATATAGTCATACTGAGTATGCCCTTTTTTGCCGATATTTATCTTACCATGTGTATGGCAGGCTCTGGGCGTGGAGGTGTGAGTGTGTACAGGAGATGCATGTACTGCAAGGGCGGAGAGGCCGGCGTCCGGCTCCTCCATCAGGGCAACACCACCACTGACAGCCTCATTTTATACGATAGAATTCTCCAAGGTAAGTAGTAACGATTTAGAAATAATGGCGAATAAATATGAAAATAATAATATTAATAATAATTTATTCACAAGAGGGTACAATGGGTTGGTGAGATTACATAGAATTACATTGGTATTGGATACCAATATGATTGGTATCGGAATCATAGCGTTTCGGGCAGGTTCTTAAACGGTTTATCTTTATCTACCCTGTCAATTCTTCTGAGAATTTTGTAGGTTGTGATCACGTCTCCCCTTACTCTTCTGTCTTCCAGTGTCGTGAGGTGCATTTCACGCAGCCTTTCCCAGTAATTCATGCCTCTTAGTTCTGGGACTAACTTCGTGGCATACCAAATTTTTTCCAGCTTCGTCTTATGCTTGACAAGGTACGGGCTCCATACTCCAGGATTGGTCGTACATATGTGGTATACAATGTTCTGAATGATTCCTTACACAAGTTCCTGAAGGCTGTTGTGTGTGTGTGTACTCACTTAGTTGTGCTAGCGGGGGTTGAGCTCTGGCTCTTTGGTCCCGCCTCTCAACCGTCAATAAACAGGTGCTCAGATTCCTCCGTGCTCTATCATACCTTCATTTGAAACTGTGTATGGAGTCAGCCTCCACCACATCACTTCCTAGTGCATGCATTCCACTTGTTAACTACTCTGACACTGCAAAAATTCTTTCTAATGTCTTTGTAGCTCATTTGGGTGCTAAGTTTCCACCTGTGCCCCCTTGTTCGTGTACCATTCGTGCTGAAGAGTTTGTCTTTGTCCTCCCTGTCAATTTCCCTGAGAATTTTATAGGTAGTTATCATGTCTCCCTTTACTCTTCTGTTTTCTAGGGACGTGAGGTTCAGCTCCTTCAGCCTTTCCTCGTAGCTCAAACCTCTCAGTTCCTGGATAAGTCTGGCGGCATTTCGCTGAATCTTCTCTAACTTTGTCTTGTGTTTAACTAGGTATGGACTCAAGGCTGGAGCTGCATATTCCAGGATTAGTCTGACATAAGTGGTACACAGGGTTCTGAACGATTCATTACACAAGTTTCTAAAGGCAGTTCTTATGTTGGCCAACCTAGCATATGCCGCTGATGATATCATTTTGATGCGGGCCTCTGGGGACAGGTTCGGTGTGATGTGTGTGTGTGTGTGTGTGTGTGTGTGTGTGTGTGTGTGTGTGTGTGTGTGTGTGTGTGTGTGTGTGTGTATTCGCACACACAGTTGTCTTCAACCCGTTCTCGTTCCAGAGTTTCAAATTAACACACATTACCTTCCTACTATTCCCGTCACGTGGAAAACTTTCCAAATCTCCTACTATCATACCCATACATGCTTAGATGATTGTGTTCAGCCCGACGCAAGGTTGCGTCGTCGGCCTGAACGCAAGGATGCCCAATGCATCCTTTTTATCTATAAACGTCCCCCGCTGTTAATGATCGCGAGCTGCGTCGATGATCTAATTTTCCAGACCAACTCAAGGACTTGATGGGGCACAAACTAACGTCCTTGAGCATGTCATTCTTCCCGTATACGGACTTCTTCCGGGACGTGGATGTACCGGGCACCACCATCACTCTCATGGATACCCTCGACGCTAGGATACTCTACACACTAGGCTCTCTCCTCAACTTCACGTACGGAGTCTTGAGCACTTATACAACCTGTTCTTTATCTCTTATAAAAGTGTTTGTATTCTTAGTGATCATATGTATTGAAATATGTATTAAGAATACAAAGATATAAATGTTGGGCTGATCGTTAAGATGTTTTAAGTTTTAAATTTGACTTCATACATAAGAATTTAGAACATATATTACACATGCTTTTACTTTGTTAAGTATCAAGGCTTGTCAAGTATCATTATATTTCTTGTACAAATTTATTTTAGTATATTACTTCGTATGTTTGCAATTAAATACTACATTGGCAAGTCCACAACAAACGCCTTTCCCCACACTCTTCTGAACTGAATCCATGTATCTATACCAGTACACGGTTCTTACCACAATACTCTTATGGGCTATTCATGCCCGTGCCCAACCCGTTATCGCACTTTCTTACAGTCAATATTGACTTATTAAATAAGTGCATATGTGACATACTAATTGATTGTGAGTATTTTAGTTTACCTTGAAAAGCTTCATAGAAAACACCGATCTTACCTAACCTTCTTAGTATGTTAAGATAAGCATCTTATTGCTTCGTAATTACAATTATTACTTAACCTATATCCATAATAGGTATAGGTTACCTATTATACGTCACTTCCTGGGTGACTTAATCTTCATCAGTCACAATACTCGGTCAGGAGCGAGACTCGGGAACCGCCAGAACGGGCATGGGGACTTCCTCTGGAAAATGGGTCGTACAATGGCATGGTGGGGAACCTACAGCGGGAAGAGGCCGACTTCTCCACCAGCATAGCGCCTGGTGTTGGGCGCTTTAGGGCGATAGATTACTACAGGGCGTACCCCGCCGACAAGCTGACTCTCACCTCCCTCAAGCCTTCACTTCTTCCTCAGTATCTTGCTATCGTGCGTCCACTCACAGGTATACACGCATCTCTTCATACTTATTTTTTTATATGAATATTTTCTTTAATTAGAAAGAACGGATAGACGGATAAAGAAATAAACGGATTTTTTACGAACAATTGAATAATTACTATATTTATTATTTATTTATATATATACAAGATGGTACATTGGGATTGTGAGGATACATAGCATAGTAATTACATTCTCGTAATGCCACTAGTACGCACAGCGTTTCGGGCAGAGGTGTATATATGTGTTAAATAAGACTTTATTGGTAAGAACAAAATTAAAATTAGAATTAAACGTAGAACAATATGATTTAGATTTTTCAAAATTTTGCGTATTGTGTTACTCAAATTTAGCGTACAATGACTCAAATTTTGCTTACATTGGCAAGTGTAATTACCTAAGTGTAATTACCTAAGTGTAGTTACAGGATGAGAGCTACGCTCGTGGTGTCCTGTATTCCCAGCACTCTTTATAACGCTTTGAAACTACTGACGGTCTTGGCCTCCACCACCTTCTCACCTAATTTGTTCCAACCGTCTACCACTCTGTTTGCGAAAGTGTGTGTGTAAAACTGAGCTTTCTTGTATAGGTGAGCTGTGGGTGTTGTTAGTGGTGGTGGTGGTGGTGTGGTGTGTAGGGCTGTGGGGCTTCCAAGCCTTGCCTCGCTGGGACTCCACCGTCACGCCTCTCGGGCTGAGCTCCTCCTTCATGTACGTCTGGGGCTCCCTCCTGGGCACTGTGCCCCATGTGCCCACCCTCAACCCCTCCGGCAGGGTAGGTGGTGGTGGCCTTGTAAAGTACAACACTACTCATGGAAACGTTAATCTTGGCCATACTGATGACTAAGTGTAATACTTTTTCTTAATATGTCGCTAATAAAGATTATGGAGCATTTTGCTTAATCTTCTTTATGAATAGAATAATAAAATGTAACAATTTATGTAGTTGCATTCGCTCCTGATCAGTATTGGCACGTATAGGTGGCTGTGGTCACCACCTGCACTGTTACGCATGTATAGATGGGTACTTGGTCATTACCTGCACTTGTATAGGTGGGTGGTTGGTCACCACCTGCACTGTTACGCATGTATAGATGGGTACTTGGTCATTACCTGCACTTGTATAGGTGGGTGGTTGGTCACCACTTGCACTGTTACGCATGTATAGATGGGTACTTGGTCATTACCTGCACTTGTATAGGTGGCTGTGGTCACCACTTGCACTGTTACGCATGTATAGATGGGTACTTGGTCATTACCTGCACTTGTATAGGTGGCTGTGGTCACCACTTGCACTGTTACGCATGTATAGATGGGTACTTGGTCATTACCTGCACTTGTATAGGTGGGTGGTTGGTCACCACTTGCACTGTTACGCATGTATAGATGGGTACTTGGTCATTACCTGCACTTGTATAGGTGGCTGTGGTCACCACTTGCACTGTTACGCATGTATAGATGGGTACTTGGTCATTACCTGCACTTGTATAGGTGGGTGGTTGGTCACCACTTGCACTGTTACGCATGTATAGATGGGCACTTGGTCATTACCTGCACTTGTATAGGTGGGTGGTTGGTCACCACTTGCACTGTTACGCATGTATAGATGGGTACTTGGTCATTACCTGCACTTGTATAGGTGGGTGGTTGGTCACCACTTGCACTGTTACGCATGTATAGATGGGTACTTGGTCATTACCTGCACTTGTATAGGTGGGTGGTTGGTCACCACTTGCACTGTTACGCATGTATTGGTGGCTCTTTGGTCACCACCTGAGCTATCACCCCAGATCTTAGTATTGTTGCTGTTGTTCTAGATTCAGCTACTCTGAACAATACGTTCCAAGTAGCACGGGCTATGGTAAGCCCGCAGTGGACTTACCTGGCACAGGAGCGGGGCTGTAACTATTAGCTCTCTGATTCCCCTCCCCCGATCTGGTCTTTCTCTCTCTCACCCAGATGTTAGTGTGGTGGTGGCTGGTGTTCTGCTTCGTGATCAGCTCTGTGTTCAGGTCGTCTCTGGTGGCCCATCTTACTGTCCAGGGGAAGACCAAGACGATAGAGACCTTCAGGGACCTGTTGCAGCAGAAGGGCTGGGAGTGGGGCATCGAGGGCTGGATGATGACTGGGATGCCCCTCCAGTACTTCTCCCAGCACGTCGACCCCGTCGTCAAGACCATCTACTCTAAACTCCAGGTTAATCAAAATAAAATAAAAAAAAAAACTCAAAATACTAAATATTTGCACACTAGTTCGAGTCCCGGGTTCGATCCCGGGCGCCGGCGAGAAACAATGGGGAGAGTTTCTTTCACTCTATGCCCCTGTTACCTAGCAGTAAATTAGGTACCTGGGTGTTAGTCAGCTGTCACGGGCTGCTTCCTGGGGGTGGAGGCCTGGTCGAGGACCGGGCCGCGGGGACACTAAAGCCCCGAAATCATCTCAAGATAACCTCAAGATAGTTTGGTGTTGGACGTAAGGCCTATATCACTCTCTGGAGGGGGGTATTAAGGCTAATACAGGCTACTTTAGAGTTGAACGTAGTCCAGGACTGATGTTAAGTCTCGAGTATATACCTTCCAGGTTATCTTGAGGTTATCTTGAGATGATTTCGGGGCTTTTTAGTGTTCCCGCGGGCCGGTCCTCGACCAAGCCTCCACCCCCAGGAAGCAGTCCGTGACAGCTGACTTACTCCCAGGTACCTATTTTACTGCTAGGTAACAGGGGCATAGGGTGAAAGAAACTCTGCCCATTGTTTCTCGCCGGCGCCCGGGATCGAACCCGGGACCACAGGATCACGTGTCCAGCGTGCTGTCCGCTCGGCTGACCGGCTCCTTTAGAGAAGTTGAGTTCACCTCTCGGTGCATATATCACTGTCCGTATATTTATAATTTACTTAATTTGCACCAAATTACTGTATATTATAATGGCTGTTATTCATATTAATATGTCAGTATAGCAAAACACAACATGGGTTTTGATTTAATAATTATATATCTAAATTTATATTGTTAATTTAAGCGAAGGTTAAACAATGGAATTATTAATAATTAAACCTTTACTTGATCGTAAATTTTCCAAAATTATTTTTCAGAAAATTACATATGTTAATATTATATATTTATACTCTTTATAGGCATTTTAAATTAATTTAGATTATATTGTATATCCAGATTAGAAATAACTGAATTCGACTGCATTTTACCCCAAAGTTCTCGAGTCTGGACAAGGCGCTTCCGAAGGTGCTGGCTGGACATTACTCACACATTGCCTTCAGGAACTTCATTAGTGTGACCATCGCCGCCCATTACACCGACTCCTACGGCCAGACGCCCTTCTACACCAGCAGGGAGGGCCACGTTATTATGGCCTGCTTCTGCTGGGGGTTCAGGTGAGTGGTGGTGGTGTTGTGGTTGTGGTGGTGGTGGTGTGGTTGGTTGTGGTGGTGTTGGTATTGGTGGTGGTGGTTGTGGTGGTGTTGGTTGTGGTGGTAGTGGTTGTGTTGGTTGTGGTGGTGGTGGTGGTGATGGTGGTGATCGTGACAGTGGCTGTTGTGATGACAGAGGTTGTGGTGGTGACGGAGGTTATAGTGAGTATAATTAAATGAGCATCTCCCCAATTCAACACCCTTCTCCTGAGTTTTAATCACAACCCCTCCCCCTCACCCTCCCCCACCTCGTCTCAAGGAAGCAGTTTAAGGATGCTTCCTTGTTCTGCTTAAGGAAGCAGAACATCCTTAACCACCCAACTTCACGAACAATTCCGTCCACCCACATCCTCCAACATCAATTTCTGTACCACACTCGCACCACTATTCACATACATGATCACCTACAATTATATACTCATTCCCACTCACTCACCCACCCACACCAAACCACTACCATTACTCCAACACAGCCACCACCCATATGGCTACACTTACACTATCTACACCCCCATACCAACCATATGCCAATCCCATCGACGTTCTATACCCCTCTTCCCCACCCATAGATACCCTGGGATGGGCATCGCAGATACCCTCAATCGGTTACCTGGTTGATACCTGGTTGATGGGGTTCTGGGAGTTCTTCTACTCCCCAAGCCCGGCCCGAGGCCAGGCTTGACTTGTGAGAGCTTGGTCCACCAGGCTGTTGCTTGGAGCGGCCCGCAGACCCCCATACCCACCACAGCCATAGATATTAGTATATATTTTGTTATAAAATAAAAATAGATTTGTTTTTACATTTTTATCTCAAATTTGTGGGTTTGCTGTGCATTTGTTTCAGATATGGCACTGTGACCTTTTGGGAAATGTAAGGTCTGAGGTTGTCCTTGGCACCAGTGCATCTTTTCTCCCAAACGGATCCAAGTCGTGGCGGTAATAAATGCCCGGGAAGGGGGTACGGTGTTGGCTAGCCTGCCATTAAACAAGCTGCCGTGAACAGTTGTCGGCCCGCTGACTGACTTCAATAATCATCACGGTTGAGGACTCATCGGTCTGCCTGCTAACCACGGGATCTGACCGTAGTTGATACAGGACTCGGTCTCCTGTCTGGAAATCATATCGCTTCGTGCCTCAGAGGACTCCCTCACATCATTTATAATATCCTTTATTTCAATAAATTTAGCAGTAGCAGTATGTGATCAAGAAGGTTTTACGCCAAATCCTTATACGAACCTGTATAGATTAGTATATAATTGTCTATTTTCAGGAAGGGTGCTCCCTTTGAGGATCGTTTCATGGAAGTGTTTCTCCGACTGGAGGAGGCGGGCATCATGGAGAAGTGGACAAGTGAGGTGATGGCCAGGAGGGTGAGAGAGCAGCGCGAGGCTGCAGGAAAGGAACTCTCCTATGTGCAGGTAGCTAAAGCCCACCTACGTACAGGTGGAAAGCGAAACCACCTATCTACAAAAACCCTTTTATCTGTAGAAAACTTATCTGTAGAAAACCTATATACACAAGCAACTAACTAATTTTTACCATGTCGTAGCTCAGTCGATTAAGGCAGCGTCTCGGATGCTCTCGGACGTAGGTTCGAATCTTCATCATGGCTCTTGTGGATTTGTTCATTTGATGCATCACGCTATTGTGATTTCTGTGGGCAACTAACACATTTACACATAACTAATGAATCCTTCTAAATACAAGTAACCCATAAAGTAGTTAATGGACCCATTTAGTATCAACATGCAGGTGACTAAGAAACCAATTAACACAGGTGACTAAAGAACTCATTTATGAACACATAATGCTAAAATAACCATATAACATATAAATGAAAAAAAAACGAATTATTCTAAAATGTTATTTACTATACATACGTAGAACACAGTGAGACTGGACAGTAAACTGTAGGACATTCCGTGTTGCTTGCAATTTAATAACTGATAATTGTGTACTGTTAAACACTGATACCTTTCATATAAATTTCGTAAAATTTTACATTATCCTTCTCACAGCTGATAAGCGAAAGGGACGTGGTGCTGGGGCTGGAGCACCTGCAGGGCGCCTTCTACCTGCTGGGGTTAGGCTGTGGCCTGGCTCTCCTCACACTCCTGCTGGAGGAGTACCTCCCTCACTCGCGCTCCAACACCCACTAATCTTATTCTGCTGGAGGAGTACCTGCCTCACTCGCGCTCCAGTATGTCACGCGCAACAGACGGCGTATTGGTGACCAAACCTCACACTAGAAAGAGAAGAGACGACGACGTTTCGGTCCGTCTTTTCGACGACGTTTTCGGTCCGTTTCGGTTTCAATGTTTGCAGGACGGACCGAAGCCTCGTCGTCTCTTCAATTTTTTAGTGTGTGGTTTGGTCAACATTTTTCAGTCACGTTATTGTGACTCATCATCTGCAGATGGCGTATATTTTCCTGAGAACTTAGTCATGAACAAGTTTCAGTGGTGTAAACTTATCCACAAAATTTCAGTGGTGTAAACTTATCCACAAAATTTCAGTGGCATAAACTTAGCCAAAATCTTCAGTGGGGAGACCTTAGCAATAACAGTTTCAGTGGTGTAAAATCATTTAGTCATTTTGATGCTGTATGTATAGGAAATTTTATATTTATAATGAATAACTTCAGACACAGTAATTAAAACCTTATTTGTGTAAACTAAAATTAATATAACTGGAGGGTTAACAGACAGCAAAACTTTATTTTAGTAAAACTTTACTATAGGAAACATTACGGTAGTATAATATCTCCATAGCTGAAACAATTACCTATTAGTGATAAGACCTACAATTAATGTATAATGGACATAAAAACATTAGAATAAAGGTAACTGCAGAAGGCCTATTGCCCATACGAGGCAGCTCCTGTTTATAACCACCCAATCCCACTCATATATATGTCCAACCCACGTTTGAAACAATCAAGGGACCCCACCTCCACAATGATTAACTGTAAATATATAGCTATGGTAACAGAACATTCTCTGTAACTAGCTGACATTATAGTTATAAGGTGTGACGGATAGATGAAATTGTTAATGTAATATTCTCCGTCGAGGTCTGATAGACCTTTTGAGCCCTCTGTAATGTAATCCTTTTTTGAGCTACCGCTCACAGGATAAGGATGGGGTGCACAATAAACTAGTCGCTTCCGGCGGCAACAAACATAAAAAGTTCAACTTTACTGTACGAAAACTTTACAATACCTTGCTGTTGGAAAACTTTACTGCAGTGAAACTATACACAATAAATTATAAATTCTTCACATCCTATGATATTTTCTCTAATTCCACAGTGCTGCTGTAATTACCATTGATTCCTATTACATAATAATCTTGTGTAAAGAAAATACAATATTTAGTGAACATATATATTATTATTTTCGGCATTTTCGCCAGTTATTAGTTCTGTTTCACCCATGTGACGCGTATCATTAGGGTCGTATTCAGTCTACACAGTGGCAAGTGTTCATGGCTAGTCCTTTAGTTCAAATTATTTTTCATAATACGCTTCAGAGTTCTGAATTATAAATCCATAATTCATCTTTGTTCTGTAATTAACAAATAATTAATAAAATAAAATTAATTTTATCGAAAGAAATCTAGGATAAATAATATGTAATGAAAAGAACTATTTAGTAACTAAATTTGGTGTTACCAACATGTGGGAATCATCGTATCTCAGGAAATGTCAACACAGTGCAGAGTTACAAACCCATTAAGATTTCAACTTAGATTCAACAGAGCAGAAGAAGTTGTTAAACACGTGGGACAAAATCTTACTGAAGCGACCATACGAGTCATAAATACTCATACTCCGCCCAAGTAAAACAGAAACAAGCAGCACTTAGTGAGCCAGCCAAAGGCTTAGGGCCCGCGCAGGAATATCCCTGCAATAAAAAAATATCGTATCTCAACAGGATATCCATTTTTTTTATAGAGGGTGGAGAGGCAAAAATCGTTTAACTCTTTATTTACAAGCTGAGATCTCATCTTCCCACAGTTCAATGTTTGCAGGCTAAAAGCGCTTCCGTTCCATAGCCGATCTGATGCATTAGCGATGATTAGCCAATTTGTTTTAACCATAAATCGATCTACTAATTATGCCAAGGATTCGAACCCAGGTCATCTCGCTTACAAGCCTAATTCGACAGTCTTGATCTCACAATCAAATTCTATTCCATTAATATTAAGACTATAATTGCTCTCTTGCGTAAAATAATGTCTTTCAATTGTTGTGACAAAACAAAACGACACTTCTCGGTGTAAGGGACGACAGCGCAGGAGACATCATCGGCTGGGACCTGCCTGCAGGTCATTGTTAGACAAGTGCTCGTCTGGTGATTATTTCGTAAAATGCTCATAAATAGCCACAAACCCCTAGTACAATTGCGAAAATAAGTGAGGTGTGATCTTTAACGATATAATTCAACTTTACGCAAATAAAATGTTACTTTGCACCTCAAAAATAAAGAAAAAATATTTTTGACAATTCAGTGCTTGTTACTGATCGTGGTGTTCGCTGTGTGGGGGGTTTAAGCCCTGATCGTGAATGAACTAACACAGTTCTTCAAAGAAAACTCCTTCAGAGAGGAAACCAAGCAGGAAGGAAACAGCTGATTGATTGTATTATCCCTGATAAATGGTAAGTGCATTATTTTCTGTTATTACAATTACATACGTATTAGTGCTAATGCTGAAATTGGTGTTTCTCCAGTTTTTACAGCGATTAAGCCTGACCTGGGTTAGATTAGATTTTCCTACGATGGCGTGTAGTGAAAGACTTGTTTAACAAACAGGTTCCCGGAGTGACAGACGATGCGATCACAGGTCTCTGAGGATGCCTTGTGACGCTTCCGTGCTGTAGGGAATTCAATTTAGTCCATGAAATTACCGAATTCAACTCGTCATCAAAGCCAAGCGAGGCGACTCCTTCCCTTCCAGTCCAGTTTGAATTAGAGAATTTGTTGGGACCACATTGTCACTTATTCATGATAGTCTCTCATATAATTACCAGACGGGACTGAAGCTCTATTAATGGTTTACCTTAACTACTGGGTATTCTTGTCAAGGAATTAATATATTTGATCTAAATTTAATGTTAACGCTGAAATAGATTACCTATATTTGGCTGTCAGATTTTGAAGGTATTTGTAGGAAATTGTCTTTCATTAGACATTCCCAAAGAGCGTGCGTGGAGGGCTTCATGTGTGCCATGAGGTAGGGGTAAGGGTTCCTGTTTGCCCATGAGGTAAGGGTGTGTGTGTATGTGTGCCCATCAAGTGTAGTGGGATCTTTATTTGTGCCCAAGAGGTCTTGGGCACAAATATTTGTGTTTGTCCCCACATTAGGCTATCCTAGTCACTAGGCTATCCGCACTAGATAGGCCCACACTAGGCTATCCTAGTCACTAGGCTATCCACACTAGATAGGCCCACACTAGGCTATCCTAGTCACTAGGCTATCCACACTAGATAGGCCCACACTAGGCTATCCTAGTCTAGTGTGGGTCTTTGTGTTCCAGCTGCTGGGGGAGGAGGTGGGGGTATTTATGTGTGCTCATGTGAAGGGTCTTCATATATGTGTACTCACGTGAAGAGTCTTCATATATGTGTGCTCATGTGAAGGGTCTTCATATATGTGTGCTCATGTGTAGGGTCTTCATATATGTGTGCTCATGTGAAGGATCTTCATATATGTGTACTCATGTGTAGGGTCTTCATATATGTGTGCTCATGTGAAGGATCTTCATATATGTGTGCTCATGTGAAGGATCTTCATATATGTGTGCTCATGTGAAGGATCTTCATATATGTGTGCTCATGTGAAGGGTCTTCATATATGTGTGCTCATGTGAAGGATCTTCATATATGTGTGCTCATGTGAAGGGTCTTCATATATGTGTGCTCACGTGAAGGATCTTCATATATGTGTGCTCATGTGAAGGGTCTTCATATATGTGTGCTCATGTGAAGGATCTTCATATATGTGTGCTCATGTGAAGGGTCTTCATATATGTGTGCTCATGTGAAGGGTCTTCATATATGTGTGCTCATGTGAAGGGTCTTCATATATGTGTGCTCATGTGAAGGGTCTTCATATATGTGTGCTCATGTGAACGGTCTTTATATATGTGTGCTCACGTGTAGGGTCTTCATATGTGTGCTCATGTGAACGGTCTTTATATATGTATGCATTAATATTTTGGAATTCAAAAAGGTTACAAGAAAAACAAAAATTTCTATATGCAGCTGATTTATAATACGAAGTGCATAATTGTGATAGATATATAATTACGTTTATAGGTACAGTATTTGCATATAATTCTGATAATATAAAAGTAAATGAGGCTTCAAAAGTTGATGTTCTAATTTGTAATAGCATAAACTAGACCAAATGAGAGAAACAACAATTAGACTAAGCTTATGAATCATACAAGCACGATACAGTTACAGTATTGTGTACAGTATTATCTCTACTCTACATCACGTCTAGTTATACAAATAATTAATTAAAGTTAACATAAAGTTAGGCGATGGTAACAGGTAGTAATCATTAATTTAAATTCGTGTATGATAGTATGCTTAGCAAATCAGAATGCAGCCCCTCTCTGCGCCTACCAATCGAAAACTAGGAAATAGATTACATATGCGGATTCCTTGACTTGCGTCGTAAATCCTGTTGGTCTGGCATCTTGCTCTCTCTACAGAGCATCATTTGTGTAGTCCTGAAAGTAATAAATGATGAAATTAGAGTCCGCTGTTAACATAGGTTTCTTGGTTGACCCCCCGCCCTTCTCTCTCTCTCTCTCTGTCTCTCTCTCTCTGACAAATTTGTTTAACGCAATTTTATAACAAATAGAAACAAAATAAATGCAAGTGTCAGAATATAACAGAGAAGTTAATTTCCTGTTTACAGTAATGTTAAAATACTGTAACGACAGGATGAAAGAACAAAGTTGGTGGTAAGCGTAATGACATCCTGTGTTATGAAAACAATTTTAATATTGTCCTGAGATAATAGGTTGTATAATTTGGAAGAAGTAATAGGCTGGTAGTGGTATTACCAGCCCATTCTCCTGTATAGGTAGTAATGATAACGATGAGGACCATCGCACATATATTGACGGAAAAGGCAATTAGAAAAGTAGAAATCGGTATTATTATATTTTGGTACTACCCATACATGTATAACCTAACCCATACATGAAATCAAATGAGTGACGATGTTTTTGTCCTTGACATGGTGAAACGTCGTCACTTTCTCTTCATTTCATGTACACGTGGCTTGGGGATATTTATTTACAACCATGTTATTGTGAATTACTCTCTGCATACCTGTACAAGTAAGCTATAGCTGTACAAGTAAGCTATACCTGTACAAGTAAGCTATAGCTGTACAAGTAAGCTATACCTGTACAAGTAAGCTATAGCTGTACAAGTAAGCTATAGCTGTACAAGTAAGCTATAGCTGTACAAGTAAGCTATAGCTGTACAAGAGAATCTATTTTTCTGTAGAGGTTTTGAGCAGTTTTCCTCTTTTCATAATATTACAGTTTATGAGATAGAGAAAGGGGCGAGATATATATATAGAGACAGAGTGGGGGTGGGGGTCAGCCAAAAAGATAGACCTAGGCACCACTGGATAACCCTTCTAGTAACCTAATAAGATTGTATAATTTGCAAAGGCAGTAAAAGTACCGTATCATAAAGATAATTAAATCTTCAAGCGCTGAATAAAATAGATAAATGCAGAACAATAAAAACTTTAATGTTGCTGTAATTATGAAGTGCAAGACAACAAATAAATTCATAACCCTGACGTAAGCTGGGGCCACATGACCTGACGTCAGTACCTGTATGTCTAACTATGACGTCAGTATCTATGTGTCTCACTATGACGTCAGTATCTAAGCGTCTACCATGACGTCAGTACCTGTATGTCTAACTATGACGTCAGTATCTATGTGTCTAACTATGACGTCAGTACCTGTATGTCTAACCATGGCGTCAGTACGTGTGTGTCAAGGCCGTCGGGTACTCATCAACTGGGTGCCAAGTCCTGTGGGAATAATAGGAAATGACATTGTAGACGAAGCTGCAAAACTTGCAACTAAGACAAGAAATGTAGACATTTACATACCACAGAGTAAACAAAAAAATTACATGTGTGAACGTCATCATAATGTTAGTAACTGCGTGTACTTCGTCAGATCATAATTTGTTTTTATGCCTGGCGTTTAGGCTGTAGTATATACACGTCACTCATATGTCTGAAACTGATTTTGATTTGATTGTTGTCGCCGGAGGCAGCTGTATGGTGCGACCCCATACTCATCCTGTGAGCGGTCGCGCAAAACGGGTTACAGAGAGCTCAAAAGGTCTTTATCCAACCCGTCCTCTTAAAAATAACGTCACTTTTGGCTGGTTTGCGCGCTATGGCCAAATTTGGACGTAATTTGAAATGAAATCGACTCACAAAAGGGACGTACTGTTCCGTTTTCTGTTTGAGTCGTCCGGGTTACTCGACCAGCTTAGAAGAGGATTCTTTCCATTAATTATGATCAGATCTCAAGGGCAGGAATCACAACCACAAACCTGGGTGTAGCCGACGATAACGTTGGTGGTGCGACAAGCGGCCAGGGTCAGCAGGGTCCGGGCGTCTAGGGCGGCCTGTGCACAGGACAGGTGGGCTGCCTCGCTAGGGTGGCAAGGGGTGACGCGATGATAGATGTACAGGTCGTCAGGGCAGAGACCCTTGTTGCGCTCCACCTGAGTGAGGGACTAGATCTTGTGGATAGGTGCGAGTTTGTGTATAATTTTGAGGGTCAACATTTATGCATTTCTAATAGAAGGGATATATATATATTTTTTTCTGAAAGATGTTATAGATGCATTTCTAATAGAAATGAATATATTCATTCTGAGGCGTACATATGTTTAATTTGGGTGGATATATGGTTTAGTGGGGTGGACAGCGAGAACGGGTATATACAAATGAGAGGATCTATATAGTACCTTCTGGGTTGACTAGATAAAGTCAGTGAATATACAGTAATTCCCCTGGATGAGGATAGAGGGGTGGATAAATACACCTCCTAAGGCTACGGACCTACAACAGTTCTACAATATAGTGTGAATATGTTA